AACAGCATCTCCAACAATGCTCCACCAGCGATGCAATGAAGTGTCAGCCTGGACCTTGAGCACAAAGTCCTAATTCATGGCTTGAACCCACAACCTTCTGACTCGGAGGTGAGAGCACTACCAAGTGAGTCAGGCTGGGATAGTGCCCAGGTCCTGGATATCGGAGAGCATAAAGGTGGGAAGGTGAAATCTGGAGTTTCGTGACTTTTGGAAAAGGCATATTAACATTCAGTAACTTGACCGTTTCTAGAACTGTAGTTTCCTCTTGTACCTGGGGCGTCATTCTTGCATTATCTGCCGCCGAGGAAAGATGTTCTGCTTGCATCCATTGGTATAACTGGCTTCCAGTTGTGTACACAAGTATAAAATTGGCAACTTCATTGAATGGTTAACCTGATTTTACGGCACTAGGTCTCTGTTTTAACACGTACTGAGTCCTTTGCATTTTTTGCATTTTAACTTTTGAATGATTCATATGTAAACCTCAGGACAAAGGAATTGACATACGTGTGGGTGGAGGTGATAAGACTTAACCCCTTGATGTCAACTCCTTTTCACCCTTTAGATCATACGTCCAATCCACTCATATTTAACTGAACTTTTCTGACTGTATAATAGGACAAAACAAATATCATAACAATAATAAACCTTGCGTTTGATACAGTGCTTTATCATGTCTTCGAGATGTCTCTAAGTGCTTCACAGAATATACTGTAAAGTGAATTGAGTGTATATTTTGTGGGCGATATGCGGCAGCCAGTTGCGCACAGCAGTGTCTCACAGATTGGGATTGAGTGGATTGAACAACAATTTTTTTTAAAAGGATTATTACCATCAATCAACTAACAATTGGGTTCATACTTACTGCTAGATAAACAGAGGCGTGTGGAGTAAGGAAACTCGCCTAACATTTTGCCTTGCCCGGGACTCGAACCCAGGTCTTTTTGTTTGTGAGGCAAGTGCCCTAACCACTACACTACAGAACTCCAATGTCCAAATATGCAGAATAGTTTAATTTCCCCATAATTGTGGTAGAAAGCTGCAGAAAGAGCAATGTTATGTTTGTCCTCAGCAAGAAGTTAACGAAAACAATTGTGCGTCAGTAGGAATCTTTATTCTGTAGAACATTAACTTCAGGTGCTAATCCAGATTAGTGGTTTGAGGGCAAAATCCGACCAGTTTAGCTGAGTTGTGTTTTTTGTATTCAAAAAAATAAATTGCTTTAAGGTTCACGTGGATGCGCTGAGAGACTTGTACTTTACCTGCTGGCAATTAGCGATCTATTTCCCTTTTTTCTGGCCACCGTTCCCGTTTCTATGACAGTCTTCATTGTGGCGGAATTTGCTGAACACAGACCAGTCTTTGTGTCCTGACTGCTAATTGTGTTCGCACAATGTGAGATGAATATCTGGGATGAAAGGGGCTTAGCTGGGATGAGAGGCTAGAAATCCTGAAGTTATATTGCTTAGAGAAGAAGAGATCAAGAGGTGATTTTAAATATTGATAGGAATTGACAGGTTTGATAGTGGGCGAGTCTTGACTCTGGTAGAGGGTTCTGTTACAAGGGGCAGAACTCAGAACCAAGAAAATTAGAACTGAGACCAGAAGCGTTGCCTTCACACAGAGTGTTGTGAAGATTTGGAATGCTGTGTCCCAGAAACCTGTTGAAGTAAATTCAAGGTGGATGTTTAAAAGAGATTGGCAGAACTTGGGTGATCGCGGTATTAAATCCATCTAGAACAGAGTATATATCTAGACCGGATTTCTATCTCGACCGGGTTCCTACCTAGAAAGGGGATTCTATCGAGAATGGAGTATCTCTTTTTAAAGCTCAGTTTAACATCTCATCCCAAGGATGTCAGTGTCAGCCTGACGTGTCAACCTAGGCCCTGCATGGGACTTGCACCCACAACCTTCTGACTCAGAGACGAGAGTGCTACTGACTGAGAAAAGCCTGAAACTTACTTCCAATAATGATTTTGATTAACAATAGCTTGGGAGCCTTGTTGGAACGGTCTCCTCCCCTTTTCCCCGGTTCAGCCTCAAACTCCGCTATTGTTAAACGCTGTGGGATGTGAAGGGCACGATATAAATGCAAATTGTTGTTGTTGTTGTTGTGCATAGTTGAATGTTGTTTCTAAGGCCTCACACACTGTACCAATCCCAATATCGGGCCCCGCCAAACATTGCCTCATTGGTAACTGAGAGCGAGTGAAGGTTAGATACTGGGTATAAGCATCAGCCTCCAGCTGTTTGAGAGAGATTAGCACATGCGAAGCCACTCCAACACTGTCCGCTACAGTACACAAGGATATTGAATTTGAATTCACGTCAATATTCGTGCAGTTAATAAATACAGCAGGTTTGGCCAGTGAGTGCATGTGTGGTAGCAGTGGGCAGCAACACAGCTTCATTACGGTTTATAATAAATATAATAATCCTTGCGTTTGATATAACAACAACCACAACCACAGCAACAACTTGCACTTATATAGCGCCCTCCACGCAGGGTAGCGTCTCAGAGCGCTTAACAGTAGCGGAGCCTGACTCCGAGCCGGGGCGAAGGGAGAGGTGGCCGTAAGCACAGTCGAACAGCAAAGTTTTCAGGCGGGACTTGAAAGAGGGGAGAGAGGAGGCAAGGTAGAGCAATTGAGGGAGAGTGCTCCAGAGTTTTGGGGCATAATGGCTGAAAGCACAACCTCCGACGGTAGGGCGGAGAGTGCGAGGGACGAGCAGGAGGCCGGTGCCAGTTGAGTGGAGGCGCTGGGTGGTGGAGTGGGGTGTGAGGAGGTTGGAGAGGTAGAGAGGTGGCAGGGAGTGAATGGATTTGAACACAAGAGTGAGGATCTTGAAGTCGATCCATTCGGTGATGGGGAGCCAGTGGAGCCTGGGCCAGAATAGGTGAAATGTGGGTACAGACATTGATCTGGGTCAGTATGCAGGCAACAGAGTTTTGAATGAGCTGGATCTTGTGAATTGCGGAGCTGGGGAGACCAGTGAGAAGTGCGTTGGAGTAATCCAAGCGGGAGGTGACAAACACATGCACGAGGGTTTCAGCTGCATTTGGGGTTTAAAGTACGGTCGGAGGCGTGGGGCGGATGTGGAAGAAAGCGGTCCTGGTCAGGGATTGGACGTGGAGGGGAAAAGACAGTTGGGGGTTGAACCGGGCGCCTAGGTTGCGCACTGGTTCGATGAGTCTGAGGGAGAGCTCAGGGAGGTTGAGGAGTTTAGATCCACAGGAGTGAAGACAATGACGGAAGCTTCCGTCTTGTCCACATTCAGCTGCAGAAAGTTTGCACTCATCAAGGCCTTGATGTCTGTCAGGCCAGCTGAGAGAACATCGGTGGACCTGGAGTTGGTACTGGAGGAGGCAAAGTACATTTGTGCGTCATCCGCATACATGTGGAAGTTTACCAGATTCCTCCTTTCTGTGCTGAATAGATTCCTGTAGTTTAGTGGTTAGAGCACAAAATATACAGTCAATTCAGCAGCACTCTTGTTTGAGTTAAGATACAATCAATGAACAAAACAGACTGATAACCCACCATCTCGAGGTCGAAGACAATGGACACTTCTGCAATAAGAAGAGGTCAGAGGTAAGGAGCAGCAAGGCCGTAAAGGGTTTTGAAAGCAAGGATGAGGATATTGAACTCTGTACACTGGGGGATGGGGAGACAGTGGAGACAGGCAAAGATGGGGGTGATAGGGTCATGGATGTGGGTGATAGGGTCATGGAGCTTACAAACGAGTCCCATTATAACAAGAGAAACAACTTGCCCTTCAAACACTTAACATAGTAGTTTCGCTCATAAAATACAGTTAATTCACTTTATAGTATATCCTATGAAGCGCTTTGAGATGTAGCCCCCTACACCACCCCTCCCCCATGCTTGGACCCGGACACCTGACTGTTCAGCTCTTTGGGACGTCCTCCCGACGTGAAAAGCGCTCTATAAATGTAATTTTGTTATTTGCTGTTGTTGTAGTGATCACATGATAAGGCACCATATCAAATGCAAGGATTATTATTATTATAGTCAGGTGTCCAAGGGGTGTGACTATTGTCTTGGAGGTGGGGAGGTAAGTGGGGTCTCCTTGGAGCTGAACTGACTCCAAGGTGATATTTTTGGCAATGAAATGTCAGGATCAAGCCAGCCCTCTGTGACGGTTTCTGGTCCAGTTCCTGAGCCAGGTGGGCACAGTATACCAGGGCACTATTGATGAAAGCACAGCCCAGCTTGGCTCATTGGCAGGACCCGGAAAGGCAGACCAGTCACTGGGGTCAGGGAGTCATTCCACTCAGCTCCTGTTAACCCTGCAAAACAAAGTCCTAAAGGGTAGGATGGTCCTCGCTGGACAAGAAGTAGGAAGAGGAGGTGAGAGGAGTGGGGGCTCCACAGGCCAACACTGCATTTCTTACCAACTGGACTCTCTGCTCACTCTGTAGAAAATTCAACGATGTGATCTGTTGCTGATTCACACAGACCAGGAAGGCTGAAGGATTGGCTTTGGTAACTATTAGCGAGATAACTGATCTCAGCTAGGCGAGGGAGAGAGTGTGAAACAAAATAAGTCAGGATTCTCATTCCTGATTGTAGTGTAGTGGTTAGCATGCTCGCCTCGTAAGAGAAGACCCGTGTTCAATTCCTGGGCACGGCGAAATCTTAGGCAAGTTTCCTTACCTAGCAGTAAGTAGGAATCTGGTTGATAAGCAATTGGCAGATTGCTTTCTGGGGGTAATAATCACTTCAATTAATAATAATAATAATTTGGTCACTCAATCCACGACTGTTTGTGGGTCACTGCTGTGCACAATTGGCTGTTGCACTTCGCTCACAAAATATACAGTCAATTCACCTGAAAACAATTTTGAGGGATTATTATGATAAGATCAAATGGGTCAAAAGTCCTTATTCATCCAAACTTCCTCACGATCTTGTGCTAATGTATCACTCCCCCAACACTGTACCTGCCTGGACAGTGAGCCCAAAGTCCAAATGAACAGTATTACAAAACGTAGTCCTTTACACACACTCACACATGACCAGTAACCTAACACAAGGTACATTATAAATACACCACTGGATAATTTTTACATTGCTGATGTTCAGGTGCCTCTCTCGACTTTTGTAACGTTTAGTTGAGTAGTGAAGTTAATAATTCTTCCATTTTAATATAGAGAACATCATCGAGACATAGCACAACAATTGCATTTATACATGGCTTTATGTGGAGGAGGTCAGTGCCCAGAGAGCGCGGACAGGACAGTAAAGCTTTAGTAGATTAAGGAGATAGGGAGCAGCAAGACCATGGAGGGTTTTGAAAGCAAGGACGAGGATCTTAAACTTGATCCTCTGGGGGTTGAGGAGCCATTGGAGCCCAACGAGGATAGCGATGAACGGCTCCTGGAGCTTAGTGCGGGAGTGGACATGAGCTGCAGAGTTCTGAATAATCTGGAAACTTGTGGAGGGAAAAGTTGGGAAGTCCAGCAAGCAGAGAGTTGGCGCAGTCAAGCCTAGACTTAATGAAAGCATGGATGAGGATCTTGGCGGCCTGAGGGGAGAGATAGTGGCGGAGGCAGACAATGTTGCGGAGGTGAGGAAAGGCAGAACTGGTCATGCACGGATACAGGGTTCAAAAGGCAGTTTAGTTGAGTCGAACAAGGCACCAAGGGTTCCCGTACTGGCTCGGTGAGGTGTAGAGTGCATCATGAACAGTGATGCTGTCAGCGCCTGAGGTTGAGGAGCCGATAGGAGCCTGAGTAATCAGGTCCTTGCCTGAGTTCCTCAGCTCCTTGTGATGCAGAACGTGTTCCGTCCTATCATAGCTATGTCTCTTATCGAGCACAGAAACAGCCCGGAGCCGAGGAGATAAAGAGACAAGTGCAGAAGCTGCAGGCAGACGGGAGGGAGGGGCTCACCTCAAGTGTTATATCTTTCAGCTGCAGAATTCCAGCCGTGAAGGGGAGGTGCAGCGATAGCAGAATTGTGCCCCCACCCAACCTCGTACTCCCAACACCCCTACCACTCAGACTCTCACTGGCCCCCTATCAAGCCCCCCGTCTCTCACTCTCTTTGCCCCCACCCAGACTATCACTCCCGGGTCTCTCATTTTTTCCTGCTCTCTCTCTCCGCGCCGCCCCCCCCTCTCTCTACCCTAGTCCACGTTGAGGACACTGAACTCAGTCTAGGCTCCCGTACAGTGCTTGGGGCAGTGTTGCATTATCAGAGGTGCCGTCCTTCAGATGAGACGTTAAGAGACCCCAAGGCACTATTGAAAAAGAGAAGGGAGTTTCTCTCTTTCATTGTCCTGGCTATAATCCCCCAAAATAAAATTGATCATTGATTTCATGGCTCTTTGTGGAACATTGCTGTGCATAAATCAGCTTTTGGGTTGACCCACAAAATACACAGTCACTACACATTACAGTAAAATTCTGTGAACCACTTGGGAGACATCTCGGCAATGTAATAAAGCGCGATATCAAATACAAGAATTATTATAAAAACATACTGCTCCTTTAAAAGATTGAGCACGAGCACAGGGTTCACTATCGTCTCAGGTTATAGTCAGGAATCCCTATAGGAAAGCTTTCATGTTCTTGTGGGATACTATGGCAGAACATCCAATAATATAGTTGCTTCAGTTGGTTAGATTTCAATGTTGTGCACAGATTGCTCTCTGGTTGTTTTGCTGGTTTCCCATTCCTCAACAGCGCTTGGGGTGCTCAACTCGAATCTGTGGAAATTAGAGAACAAGTATAGACTTAACTCAGTGTCTCGTCAAAAACATCTTCCTTCGACCCATCTGTTCTCATCCCTCCAGAACATCCCACTCCAAACCATCTCCATTCCCCCCACTCAAGGTGACTCCCAGATTTACTTAACTGAGGCCACGCCCAGGCTTATACCAATACTGCTCCAAACCCAAACAACAACAACTTGCATTTATATAGCACACCTCACACAGGGAAGTGTCTGAGAGCATTAGACAGTGGCGGAGCCTGATGCTGAGCCAAGCGATGGTGACAGTGGATGAGGGGGGGAAACAGACCGTAGGCACAATCAAAGAGGAAGGTCTTCAGGCATGGCCTGAAGATGGGGGCAAGACGGAGGAATAGATAGAGCGTTCCAGAGTTTTGGGGCGTAGTGTGGCTGATGATGGTGGAAGGGAGAAAATGAGAGACAAGCTGGAGGCTGGAGCTAGTCATGCAAAGGCAACGGGTAGTGGAGTGGGGAGTAAGCAAGTCAGAGAGGTAGGGAGGTCCCAGGGCATGAAGGGATTTGAAGACGAGTGTGAGGATCTTGAAATCAATCTGTTTGGTGTTATGGAGCTGGTGGAGCCTTGTGAGGACTGGTGTGATGGGGGTATGGAGTTTACTGTGGGTGAGTATGTGGACGGCGGAGTTGTGGATTAACTGGATTTGGTGTCGAAGCAGAACGTGATGAGATGCCCTTGAATGCATCTCCTCATCCCTGGGTCTTTATGGTATATTGCAGCAACCTCACCAACATTAGCTAACATTAAGTCTGTATAGCTCTGAACCACAGCAAGCAGTGCATTGAGCACCACTGAGATGCAAAGGTAAATTACTTCAATCGCACATACCCTTCTCAAAAATATCCATGACAGTGGGACCAGGAAGAAGGAGTGTGCTCCACTTTGGCGCTTCTATTATATCGAGCAGAGATGATAACTCAGTGTCCAGATAATTGACTGTTTCTTCTACGTTCTGTGAGGGAAACAAAGTTCTAATAAATACTATAATTAATAATACTTGCATTTGATATAGCACCTTTCATGCCCTGGAGTTTCACAAGCAATCCTGTAAAGTGCAGTGACTGTGTATTTTGAAGGTGAACACGGCAGCCAATTTGCACACAGAAACATTCCACAAACAGCCATGGAGTGAGTGACCAATCTTATTTGAGGGATTGTTGACCAGGACACTGGGAGAGAGAAACTCTCTTCTCTTTTTTAATAGTGCCATGGGATCTTTAGTATCCACCTGAACTGGCAGACGGAATCTCTGTTCAACATCTCATCCAAAGGATGCACCTCCGACAATAAGGTATCCCCTAGCATTGCACTGGAGTGTTATCAAAGACCAAATGAGCTCAAAGTCCCAATCCAGCACTGGCGAAGAGGCACATTGTTTTTGTTGATTGGAAGCAACACCATAGAAGGGGATTTATGTATTGGTTTAAGGTTCTCTGAGCAAACTCTGGAATTGGAGAGGGAGGAGTGGGATCTAGTAAATTGCAACTGAAAATACCTCTCGCGATGGCTCAACAGGTTTATCCACAGATTAATGAGTTTTACAGACCGGAAAGGTCCAGAGTTCAATCGTGGTCTGAATTAGCTAATCTCTTCTGTGCACCACTCTGGTCACTGTGGCTCAGTGTTCCTGAGTTTTGGAAATTAAACATCAGCCAAGTGATCGTTATCCAGTCACGTATAAAGACATCACATGAGGGCAGGTTAGCCCCAGACGTGATACATTAAAGGCTGTATAAATTGTATAATCGTGTAAGTCATACATCGGTCCAAGTCCCCTTCAAGAGTTTATATTCTCTGTAAATTTGACATAACTCATACTTTTCGCAAGTCATATTAAATGCATGGTCCGACTGATGCAAGGTTTACTGTAATAACATATAATAATAATCCAATTGCACACAGCAGCGTCCCACAAACAGTTGTGGATTGAGTGACCATATTTTTATTAAGGGATTATTAGCTCAGAAAGCGATCCGCTAATCGACTAACAACTGGGTTCCTACTTACGGCTACTGTGGAGTAAGGAAACTTGCCTAAGGTTTCGCCCCACCCGGGAGTTGAACCCGGGTCCTCTAGTTTGCGAGGTGAGCGTGCTAACCATTATACTACGGGACAATTGAAGACAACACTTAATTTGCCTATCACTGTCAACTTTCACTGACAATGGACAATATTTAATGAGGAAGCAGGATTATTGTCAGCATGTGCTGCTATGGCCAGGCTTAATCAGCCCTACATTGGGGACTTTGAGCTCACAATCTAGGTCAGGGGTCTCTCAACGGTCGATCGCTGCTTGGTGTCATCTCCCACAGGCTCAATAAAATAAGGGGAAGGTGCGATATTAACCACAGTTTAAACAACAGTTTATTATTCTTATACGGTTTCATTTTTCAATTGGACTCAATAATGCCACAGTTCTATCACTCCTTCCTCTTGCCTTTTTGATCATGCACGACAGTGCCAACTGGTACAGGGTCCTTTGGAATGGATGATAAACCAACGTCCTGTTTTCCTGTTCAGGTGGATGTTAAGTATTCTGTGGCACTATTTGAAAAGAGCAGGGAGTTTCCTAGCCAACAATCTTCCAGTTAAATTGCTCATGCACCTCCTGTCTGTTTGTGGGACATTGCTGTGCATAAATTGGCTACTGCATTCACTTACAAAATACACATTATAGTAATTTGAGCCTATATTAAATGCAAACATTATTATTATCATCAACAAACATACAACAACTTGCATTTGTATAGCGTCCTTCATGTAGGGGAATGTCTCAGTTACCGTTCATCAATGCCCATTAACGGGACACGGGTTAGATATTGGTTCCTGTTACCTTTTCTACATGGTCCATACGCTTGTGAAGGGCTTTGTGGTGTTCACACCAGACACTGTTTGATGCATTCCCATGAGGAGCTGTTCCTGTAAAAACAGTTTTATTAGAGGGGAGGAGCGCTACATTGTCAGAGGTGCCATTCTTTGGATGAAACGTTAAGCCAAGGTCCCGTCTTGCCTGTTCAGGTGGACGTTAAAGATCCTATGGCACTATTGAAAAGAGATGGGAGTTTCTCTATCTCTTATTTCTGGCCAATAAGATGTCTCGAAGACGTGATAAGACGCTATATCAAATGCAATTATTATTATTGTGATTATTGTGATCACCCCAAGGCTGTTTGTTGGACATTGCTGTGTACAAATTGGCTGCCACTTTTGCTTACAAAATATACAGTCACTACACTTCACAGCGAATCCCTTGAAGCGCTTCCAGACATCCTTCCAGCATAAACGTGCTTCATCAAATGCAAGGCCTGTTTTATTGTTTTATTATTTATTACATTGAACAGGATAAATCTTCAGGCTTTGTGCTATGCACCATTGTGACCACTAGAGGGCCACCTCTGCCACATGATGGCACTGTTAACAGAGCGATGAGGAGGTCATTGATGAGAGATCACTCAACTGGACTAACTTGGTGACACTTCCACTACTTACCCAGGACTGACCGACGGAAACACAGCACAAAGATAACAATAATAATCCTTGCATTTGATATAGCGTCTTATCGTGTTATCGAGATGTCTCAAAGCGCTTCACAGGATATACTGTAAAGTGGAGTGACTGTGTATTTTGTGAGCAAAATGGGGCAGCCAGTTTTGTGCACAGCAATGTCCCACAACAGTTGTGAATTGAGTGACCAATTTTATTTCGTTGGCAGCTGTTGGCCAGGGCACCGGCCTCGGCAATACCTTAGGCAGGTTTCCTTACTCCACAAACCTCTGTTCACTTATCAGTAAGTAGGAATCCGGTTGTTAGTCGATTGGCAGATGCTTTCCAGGGGTCCAAATGAAAAAATTTGGTCACTCAAACCACGACTGTTTGTGGGACACTGTTATTTGCATTTGGCTGTGGTATTTTGCGCACAAATACACAGTCAATTCACTTTAGAGTATATTGTGTGCAGCGCTTTGAGACATCTCAACTATGTGCTTTGGGACGTCCTCCCGACGTGAAAGGCGCTCTATAAATGTAATTTTGTTGTTGTTGTTGGTTATCAAATGTATCTCGTCAACCCGCCCCCCCCACTCCCTCCCTCCCTCTCTCTAGCTAAATCCACAGTTTTAAAAAGAACAGAATCGTTCTACAAAAACTAAGTTAGGAAAGAGAAGTCAAACAAGGAGGCTGAAGGGTACAAGAGTCTGGAATAGACTATGTGTTAAATGAATAAATTTTGATCCTCGGGAATTGTATAATATTTATAATAATAATTTTTGCATTTGACGTAGCGCCTAAATCACATCGTTGACATGTCTCAAAGCGCTTCACAGAATACACTGTAAAGTGAATTGACTGTATATTTTGTAGTTAAAACACAGCAGCCCATTGCACACAGCAATGTCCCGCAAACATTGAGTGACCATATAAATTTTTTTGAAGGGATTATTACCCCTAGAAAGGCATCCATCAATCACCGAACAACCAGGTTTCTACCTACTGCTAGGTAAACAGTGGTGTGTGGAGTAAAGAAACTTGCTCAAGATTTCGCCTTGCCTGGAAATTGGACCTGGGTCCTCTCACTTGCGAGGCGAGCGGTCTCACCACTACACTAAAGGACTCCACATCAATATCTCGAGGAAACATGCAGCATAGGTGTCCCACCCTCTTACCTACCTGCTGGAGTCACTCCCAAGAGCAAGAGAACCGCAAATAGAACAAAAGTTTGTTGCATCGTTGGAGAAAAAGTTACAATCCTACTTTTCCTTCTGGTTTCAGCAATTGCAGTATTGCACAATGGAAATGAAATGCCAGGGGGGAGAGGGAGGTGTTAAAGCTGGAAACAGCCAACACTGCGTTTCAATCTGAATGAGTGATCACATTCACTGTGTTAACCACTCCCAGGCCAGCTGCAGGCATTCAACTCTCTTGTGTTTAAGCTCCATTAAACAACCCAGTTTAACAGTGCTGGAAAACATGCTTTCCTAGTGCGATATAATTTGCTCACAGAATAACACATGTGTTAATACCGGGGTCCAATTTACATTATAACAATAATAATAATCCTTGTATTTGATATAAAGCATTATCACGTCGATGAGATGTTTCAAAGCACTTCACAGAATACATTGTAAAGTGGATTGACTAATAGCTTTCCTGTTAGTGGGGGTTGCTGATTTGCTCAGCGTAAAAGCTTTGTGAATCTTTAATGCAAGGTGCGCTTGAACGAGTTAAGTTTGGCGTAAGGCTCAAATCCCATTAACTGATTGATGGGCACGGCTCAGAGCGGATGAGCACTGTTACATCACAAGATGCCTTTTGTGGGTCCCGAGTATTATCCTGCCTTTCACAGTTTACTATATGCATTACTCCGCAAATAGAAGTTTTATTTTGTCAGCCGGTATCTGACAGTGCCGAAACCCATCTTCGTGCTTACGCTCAAGAGTGTGGAGCCGAGCGAGGGGAGAGGCGATTGCCGGAGAGTTTATGTTTTACATAAAAATAAAAAATAATAATTTAGACGCTCAATCCACGACTGTTCGTGGGACACTCCTGTGCGCAATTAGCTGCCATATTTCGCCCACAAAATATATAGTCAGTATATTCTGTGAAGCACTTTGATACGTCTCAACGACACGATAAGGCGCTATAACAAATGAAAGGATTATTATTATTAACAATCTTCAAACCAAACTGAGAATTCCATGCGTCCAACCTAAACATGGAAATCCCAGAGATAGACTGTTGGAATGGAATGTGCACTCTCTCCCTGGAGGGACGCAGTCTGCTTAACTAATTCCAGAGAGCATTAGGCACAACTTGGCAAGATAATAATAATGACAATAATAATAATTATTATAAATTATTATTCATTATTATTATCATTATTATTATAATTATTATTATAGTTATTATAATTATTATTATTATACTTATTATACTTATTATAATTATTATTAATTATTAATAATAATAATCCTTGCATTTGCGCCTTGTCACATTGTTGAGACTTCTCAAATGCTTGACGTGATATTCTGTAGAGGGTAGTAACTGTATTTTGTGGGCGAAACGCAGCAATCAGTTTGCGCACAGCAATGTCCTACAACCAGCCATGGAGTGAGTGGCCAATTTTATTCGGGGGAATGTTGGCCAGGACACCGACGGAGAGAAACTCTCTTCTCTTTTTGAATAGTGCCATGGGAACAGGCAGATAGAATATCAGCTTAACGTCACAATGTTTAATGTTTAAATTCTATGAGTGTGTGTGTGAGAGAGAGATAAAGAGACTGTGTGTGTGCGAGATAATGTTTACTGTTAAATCTAAAAAATGAGTGAGTGAGTGAGTGAATGAGTGAGTGAGTGAATGAGTGATTCAGATATAAAGAGCAAGGGAACAGATTGCAAGCGATATCAATCCTGCCCATATCAAATGCAAGGGTTATTATTATTATTATCTGCTCGCAAACATAAATGATTCTCACCCCACCCCTCCCTAAACAGGCCACTGCAACAACAACATACACTCAGCGCCTTTGACATCCCAGGACGTCTCGGAGCTGATTCGGTGCCTGAGTGGGAGTGGAGGGAGCTGAGGAAGGAGACAAAGGGGAGAGGTATCCAAAAGTGGAGTCGAAAAGAATGACCTTAAGGCTAGCTTTAAAGGTGTGCAGAGGGGCCCGAACTGGAGGGGCTCCAGGATGGAGTTCCAGCGAGCAGGGCCAGAATGGCTGAAAGTTCATCCTCTAGTGGCGGGGTGGACGGGCGGGAAATATGAAACAGGACATTGTTCACTGAGCGGAGGGAACCCCTTACACCACTGCCCTTGCACCACAACCCCTTACACCATAGCCCCTTAAGGGACATACACACTCACTGTCCCTTACACCATAGCCCTTTACACCACTCTCCATACACCACTGTGCCCCTTACACCACTGTGTCCCTTACACCATAGTCCTTTACACCATTCTCCATACACCACAGCCCCTTACACCACTGTGCCCCTTATACCACAGCCCCTTACACCATTGTCCCTTACACTACTACTTACTGCTAGGTAAACAGAGGTGTGTAGAGTAAGGAAACTTTCTTAAGGCTTCACCCCATCCGGGAATCGAACCCTGGTCCTCTTGCTTGCGAGGCAAGTGCTCTAACCACTACTCTATGGGTCTTCATGAAGAAACTTCTGAATTTACTTCATTTCATCAGGATCTGGGGAACATGGAGCTATTCATGGAGATGGAAATACAGCAGTCAAAGCTTAAATGTACCAAGCATCAGCCAAGCTTTAATCCATAAGATCAGAAACAAAAGGTTTCTTGTGAGGAACCCAAGGGTCAAGGTAAATTTAGCAAGTGAATGGAACATTGTGAGAAGCTCTCAATTTACATGGACTGTAATGACAGGAGTTTAGCTTGTTAAGACCTGATACTCTGACCCTGGTACTCTAAGCGGATTGAGTAATCACACACACTGGCTCAGCACAAATGGAGCTTCACAGAAATCCTCACTGCACAAGAAATGTTAAAGGAAATGGTGGGAAGGCAGGAAAGAGGGCAATAGTATGCAGTACTCTGGGGTGTAACAAGCCTGATGGGCCAAATGTCTTTCTCCCGTTTCTTAATTCCTCAAAGAATCTTCAACCTTGTTCTCCTCTGAATTCCTCCCACTCCTTACTCAATGTCTATCGCTCCCATTGTTAATTATTTTGAGTTCAGACGGATGTCTAAACTGACACATCAATGCAGCACTGATGGTGGGGGGTGTTGCATTGTTAGAGGTGCCGTCCTTTGGATGAAATGTTAAACCGAAATCCCGTTTGGCTGTTCGGGTGAACGTTCTGGGTTGCTACGCTGCATGAGGTGTGCTATATACATGCTAGTTGTTGTCGTTGATGTTAAAGATCCCATGGCACTATTCAAAAAAAGAAGGGAGTTTCTCTAAGTTCCAGCCAAAAATCCCCCCAATAAAATTAGTCACTCACTTCATGGCTGTTTATGGGGCATTGCTGTGTGCAATTGGGCTGCCACATTTACCTGCAAATGACAGTCAATACACTTCACAATAAATCCTTTGAAGTGCTTTGGCATGTCCCCCAATGTAAGGGTGCTGTACCAAAAGCAAGGATTATTATATTATGATTATAAGATCTATGAGGTGACAGCTGAGCAGGTGTGAGAACTGATGGGCATTTTCTTTAGAGAGTAACAAAGGCTTTAGACGTAGCTCTCAGTAAAGGACGTCAGTGGCTAATCTGAGGCTAAAATTGACAGTGATAGCTCGTCGGGCCAAATAATCCCTTTAAATAGCAGCCGTAGAAACTCTGTCCTCACCAATCACTGAACAAAGGAAATAGAGGGAGCATCAACCCCCAGGAAACGTTCACAAGCTTCAAATCAAAGTCTGAATTCAAGTAAAGTCAAAGGGAACAGAACATCTCCGAGAGCCTTTCCCTCCCTGAAATCCCAGGAAAAGACATGAACCTGGCTGCCCAGTTTCTGATCTCCAAGGTCAGGAACGCCAAAGCTCCAGAGCAGAACTCTTCTGAAGATCACGAATATGATCCATTTTGGAAAAGGTTGGAGCGAGCTTAATTTTTCTAATAGAACCTTTCAAGATCCTCCCCAAGACATGGGCACAGGAAGTGTTATGTTGGCTGTGGAGTCCTGTAACATAGTGTGCACTTGCCTTGCAAGTGAGGGGACCCAGGTTTGATTCCCAGGCAGAGTGAAACCATAGGCAAGTTTCCTTACTCCACATGCTTCTGTTTACCTAGCAGTAAGTAGGAACCCGGTTGTTAGTTGATTGGCAGATCTCTTTCCGGGGATAATAATTCCTTTCAAAAAATAATAATTTGGTCACTCAATCCACAAATGTTTGTGGGACACTGCTGTGTGCAATTGGCTGCCACGTTTCACCCACAAAATATACAGTCAATTCACTTTACAGTGTATTCTGTGAAGCGCTTTGAGACGTCTTAAAGATATTGTAAGGTGCTACAACAAATGCAAGGATTACTCTAAGTTAGCGTTCTGCTTCTTTACCTCCTTGCTGTAGTGTTGGTGGGTTCACATCTTTCCTTTTGTACTAGCCCTTTTCATAAGGGAATTAGCCCCATTATGTATAGGATTTACTGGTATATCATTCCCAACAACAACGTAATAATACTGTAATTCTTGTATTTGCATCCTTGTAATCCTCAAAGTGCTTCACAAAATATATTGTAAAGTGGAGTGACTGCATTTTTCTGGGCGAAATGGGGCAGCCAATTGCACACAGCAGCGTCCCACAAACAGTTTTGAATTGAGAGACCACATTTTTTTTGACAACTTTCGAAATAACATCAGTCTCTGCAAAGGTTTACTCACCAATCAGGCATCTTACTGAGGTGTTCTATGTTACTGTTAGACTGTAAACGTGTTTGGTGATGGGACCTTTCTGATAAATGACTTTATAACAAGACAAGAAGGTTTATAATGAAGAGACGTCTCTGGTATCGGACTTGAGATGGAGGTTTGCAATGTTCGGAGGAAGGAGGGGTGGTGGGTGGGGGGAGGGTTAACAACAGATGGTATTAATGAGAGTTTGAATGCGAACTTTGTATAATATCGCACAATGGGTAAAGGCAACTGAAGGCAGCACTAAGCCATGCAGACCAGAAGGTCGCAGGTTCAATACCTGGTCAGTGCTGAGTTGGCTGATTGCAGTTGGGGCTACAATTGGTCTGAGTGACTGAGGAGTGAAGGGAACAATAGCCAACATTCCCATTCCGGAGTGGAAATCGGAGTGGAAACCAGATGTGGCGGGAGGTCAGGATTAGGCTCAGTTGTGATGCCAGTGATTAACCTGTCAAAGCTCACTGACGGCCCTCATGAAATGATGGGACCCGGTTCGATTCCCAGGCGGGGCGAAACCTTAGGCAAGTCATAGAATCATAGAATTATAGAGCACAGAAGTAGGCCATTCAGCCCATCGTGTCTATGCCAGAAGTTTCCTTACTCCACAAGCCTCTGTTTACCTAGTAGTAAGTAGGAACACGGTTGTTAGTCGATTGCCGGATCACTTTCCAGGGGTAATAATCCCTTCAAAATAAAATAATAATAATTTGGTCACTCAATCCACGACCATTTGTGGGACACTGCTGTGCACAATTGGCTGCCACGTTTCGCCCACAAAATATACCGTCAATATATTCTGTGAAGCGCTTTGAAACATCTCAAGACATGAATGTTATAACGTTTTTCCGAAACAGTCCAAGCATTTGGCTTTCCCGTGCTGAATCCTTGCCAGCTGAAAATAAATATTTAGCCAACATTTTCCAGAGGTCTTGAGATTCTCACCAGCAATTTCTGGCTGTTGTGTAAGAGCAGAGCAGCCCAATGTAGGGTCAATCTATCACTGACTCTGGTGCTGAGATAACAATAATAGCAATTCTTGATATAGGGCCTTATCATGTCGCTGAGACATCTCCAAGTGGTTCACAGAATATATTGTAAAGTAGACTGTGTATGTTGCGGGTGAAACCTGGCAGCCAATTGCGCACAAACTGTGGTGGATTGAGTGACCGCATTTCGTTTTCTTGGAGGGAATATTACGCTAGGTTAGTGAACCTCCAATCGACTAACAACTGGGTTCCAACTTACTGCTGGGTAAACAGAAGCGTGTGGAGTAAGGAAACTTGCCTTAGCTTTCGCCCCACTCGGAAATCAAACCCGGGTCCTCTGGCTTGCGAGGCGAGTGCACTAACCACTAGACTACAGGACTCATACCTTTCTTTAGCCTCTCTTTAATCACCTTGTCCTTTACTTTTCTTCAGTCAATTGTCCCAGTGATGTGCACCACTGCTCCTAATAGGCTTTGTTTATTTCCAGTATTGTTGAGCGGATGTTTGGAGACAAGCGGATTCTTAAAGAGATTAATCTGCTTATTTTACTCAAACACATTAAAGGTCAAGTGACAAGGTTGGCAGCCGTCACCTAGTTATCCCCTAAACTGATTCCTCCTTGGATTTTGGTATAATAAATAATACACCATTTACTGTATACATAACTATTTGGTACAGTTACTGGCAAACAGCCTCAGTGTATAAAGATCACAAATTTGAATAATTTCAATTTACAATGAGTGGCGAAAAACTACTAAATCCTAACAACTCTCTGTGTAAAATTATTCTCTTAATCTTCCCACCCCCACCTTTTGTTTCTTTGCTAATTATTTTAAATTTATTCCCTCTAGTCACTGACTCACTGACCAGTGGAAACAATTCCTCCCTATCCACTCTGTCACAATGTTAGTTGTTGGCCAGGCTGTTTAAGTCTTGCCTCTGAGTCAGAAGCTGTAGGTTTAAGATCCACTGTGGGACTTTGAACTCAATATTCTCTAGATGAAATTCCAGTGCAGTGCTGGGAGGAGTGCTGCATTGTCCGAGATGTCGTCCTTTAGATGAGGCATTAAAGGTGTTAAAGGCGTCTGTCTGCCTGTTCAGGTTGACATTAAATTTAGAGATTAAAGATCTCATGACACTATTTGAAAAGAGAAGGGATTTTCTCTCTCCCGGTGTCCTGGCTAACAATTCCCCACTTGGTTACTTGGCTGCCGCGTTTCACCCACAAAACACACAGTCGATCCACTTTGCAATCTATTCTGTTAAGCAGTTTGAGACTTCTCAAAGACACGATGATGGCGCTGTATCAAATGCACGGATCATTATTTATCTTTTCACGTTTGCTGCAGCGATGAAGGAGCTTCCCAGCCTGTCCCGGGCCCGTCCCCCGGGTCTCACTGCCACAGGGACGGGCCAATCAGGAATGGGTGCCTGGTGCAGAGACGGAAGATTAACCCAGACAGAATGAAGGACTTTGGGGAGGACGAGTACCTGAGCAATGACGTGAGGATGTGGGAAGTGACAGTGACGGGCCACTCGGAGACACAGCTGAGGAACGCTCCGCCGCCATTGCCAGTGTCAGTGCCAGTGCCCGCGCGTCCCTCCGTCACGAAGATCAATGACTCTGCCTGCAGCAGCACACATGTCCGATTCGAAGACATCAGTGCTGCGGCCTTCAAAATCCAGTGCGGACTCCAGAAGACCCCCTGCACGGTACATTGAAGACCAATGTTCTCTCTCTCCCCATAGCGCAGTCCAGTGATGCCCAGAAGTGTAGGGTCAGTGAGACATCAACAAGCTCCTATTGTAATGTAAGGTGCGTGTCAGCCTGGCTCAATGATAACACTCTCGTCTCTGAGTCAGAAGGTTGTGGGCTCAAGCCCCACATCGAGACTTGGAATCACATAGTCTAAGTTGACACTCCAATGCAGTGTTGGGGTGGGGTGGGGGACTGGTGCTGCATTGTCGAAGGTACCGTCCTTCAGATAAGATGTTAAACCGAGGTCCCATTTGCCTGTTCAGGTGGATGTTAAAGATCCCATGACGTTATTTGAAAAGAGAAGGAATCCCCTCAAATAAAATTGGTTACTGACTCCATGGCTGTTTGTGGTACACTGCTGTGTGCAATTAGCTATCGCATTTCCTTCACAAAACACACAGTCAATCCACTTCACAGTACTGTATATCCTGTGAAGTGCTTTGAGGTGTCTCAACAATGTGATAAGGGGCTGTATCAAATGCAAGGATTATGATTATTATTATTGTTATTATTATTACACACCAGCACCAGAGTCAGCAATAGATTGACATTTTAATGGTGATTACAATGGGCTGCCCTCTCATACAAAACAGCAAGGAATTGCTGGTGAGAATCTCCAGGCTTGTAGAAATGTTTGCTAAATATTTACTTTCAGCTGGCAAAGATTCTGCACGGGAGAGCCAAAGGCCTGGACTCTTTTAGCAAAACATTGTAACATTCATCCCTGGGGAGTTACCAAGTATTTCTCTGACTTTCCCCAGTACTCCAGGCTGTCTAAGCAGTATGGAATGGAGATTCACTTAAAGAAAGAATACCTGCACTACACCGGGAGTACGAAAGAGAGAGGCGTGTGGTACATATTGACGTCTCTGCCTCAGGTACGAAAAGGCTGTCTCACTGTTTGTTCAATGTAGTTTTGGGAACAAGAAATACAGTAAAACTCGCACTAAAAAGTCTGATCTGTATAAATCGTACAATCATCCAAGTTGTACATCTCCCCAAGTCCCTTTCAAGAGTTTATATTCTATTCAAGTTTGACATAAGTCATACTTTGCATAAGTCATATTATTTGATAATGCGCCTCATCACGTCGCTGAGACGTCTCAAAGCGCTTCACAGAATATACTGTAAAGTGTAGTGACTGTATAATTTAGGCGAAATGGGGCAGCCAATTGCGCACAGCGGTCATGGATTGAGTGTCCAAATTATTATGATTTTTTAGTGAGGGATTATTACCCCCGGAAAGCGATCCGCCAATCAGATAACAGGGGCGTGTGGAGTAAAGAAACTTGCCTAAGGAACTGAACCCAGGTCCTCTCGCTTGCAAGGCGAGTGCGTTAACCACTACGCTACAGGACTCCACATGGTAATTGTGTGGCTTGTTTCACAGGAGCAGCAGAGGAAGGGGGTGATTGTGGCGTCTGACAATCACTTCTCCATGGCAGTGGCGTACCACGCCACCGAGCTCCACATTCCAGTCTTTGTCATCATGTCCACCAACACCCCCCTGTCCAAGATCAAGATGTGCCGGGAGTACGGGGCCATGGTGATTGCTTACGGAGGCACCGTCAAGGACTCCCAGTGCCATGCACAGAAGCTGGCCAAGGAAAACGGATACCTTTACCTCCAGGAGTGAGTTAACCATTGCTGCTGTCAGAATAAACAATCATGATCCTTGTATTTCCTCCATTTCATCATGTGTAGACTTGACTCCTCAGCTCTTACCTACATAGGCTACAGGCTATCCAGGATCCTACAGCTGGTGTCCTCAAAGCGCTTCACAGAATATATTGTAAAGTGAATTGACTGTATATTTTGGGGGCAAAACACAGCCAGCCTATTGCGCACAGCAGTGTCCCACAAACAGTCGTGGATTGACCACATTTTTTTTGAGGAAAGGAATCTTGTAGCGTAGTTGTTAGTAAGCTCGCCTCTCAAGCAGGAGGACTTGGGGTTGATTCCTGGGCAGGGTGAAACCTTAGACATGTTTCCTTACTCCACATGCCTCTGTTTACCTAGTAGCAAGTGGGAACCCGGTTGTTAGACGATTGGCGGATCGCTTTCCGGGGGTAATAATCACTCCAAAAAAAAATTAGGGTCACTCAATCCACAATAGCTTGTGAGACACGACTGTGCGTAATAGGCTGTTGCATTTCTCCCACAAAATATACAGTCACTTCACTTTACAATCTATTCTGTGAAGACTTGAGACAGCTCAACAGTGGGATAAGATGCTATATCAAAGGCAGGGATTATTATTGTTAAGGACAAGTTTGGGCTCAGCTGCGCTGTCTCCTACAGTCTCAAAGCACTGGGTTGACAACAATTTCAAACAAGTAAAACAGCTTTCCATATGGCTCAAAGATACCCCCAGCTAAAACTTCACACCAGATACAGATAAACTTAGTTAACTCAGGGAGAAAGAAATCTCTGCAACATGCATCCACATATTATAATAATAATCCTTGCATTTGATATAGCAACTTTCACATCGGGAAGTCTCAAAGCATTTCACAGGATATGTTGTAAAGTGTGGTTCCTGTGTATTTTGTAGGGGAACGTGGTAGCCAAATTTACAGGAGATATTAAAGATCCCATGGCACTACTTGAAAAGAAAAGGGAGTTTCTTGTTCCCACTGTGCTGGCCAACAATCCCCCAGATAAAATTGGTCATTCACTTTGTGGCTGTTTGTGGTAATGGCGATGGGATTGTTAGCCAGGACACTGGGAGAAAGAAACTCCCTTCTCTTTTCAAGCGGTGCCATGGGAATCTTTAATGCCCATCTGAACAGGAAGACGGGCCTCGGTTTAACGTCTCATCTAACAAACATCACCTCTGAAAATGTAACGCTCCCCCAGCGCCGTATTGAAGTGTTAGCCTAGATGAGTTCAAAGTCTCGACGTGGGGGCTTATAGCCACAACCTTTGATTCGAAGCGAGAGATTGTTACCACCTGAGCCAGACTGACCCGCACTGGATAGCTGAGGAGAGTAGAGTGGCTATCAAACTGACGGTATCTTTCTGGTTTGTGTCTTACAGGGAGGACAGTGTGTGTTATTTGGCTGGTCTGGGGACACTGGGGCTGGAGATTTTTGAGCAGGTCCACAAGCTGGATGCTGTCATATTGCCAGCGGGGGGAGAGAGCAACCTGCTGGTGGGAGCCGCAGCCTCCATCAAACACCTCAACCCACATACCACCATCATCGTAAGTGCTCTCAGCCTCTGGTTCGCCTCCCACTGAGCTCAGTACAGCTGGGAAAAGGCTAACCTTTTGCTTAATCAAAGCGTATCATGCCTTAAGACTGACCACAGAATGAATATTTGAGTAATGAGACAGTTCTACCCGATGTCTCAGAGCACTTCACAGAATATGTTGTAATGTAGTTACTGTATCTCATCTTTCACCTCATGGTAGGGGCAAATTCTCACCAGGAACCCGGTTATCAGTCGTTTGGTGGATCGCTTTCCAGGAGTAATAATTACCCCCTCCCCCAAAAAAATGTGGTCATTCAATCCACGACTGTTTGTTAAAAACTACTGTGTGCAATTGGCTACCTGTTTCGCCCACAAAATACAGTCAATCCACTTTACAGTATATTCTATGAAGTGCTTTGACATGTCTCAACGATATGCTGAGGCACTATGTCAAATGCTAGGATTATTATTATTATTGTTATCTTAGAAGGGAAGGGAACCTCACAGCTCTATATAAAATGTTCAATGACATTGAGAAAATCAACCCAGAACAATATTTACGTACCCACCAAGGTAGCAGGATCCAGACACAGATTTAGGGTTGCAAAGGGTAAGTGTGGGACAGACACCAGGAATTATTTCTTTACATCGAGATTAATTGACAGCTGGAAATGGGGAACAAGGAAGTTGGTTGAGAGCAGGACGATGCTTAATGCTATAATTCACTGCGGTTCTCAACTCCACACTATACTCTGTGAGCCGATCAACCCCAACCTTGCCAGAGGATTGAGTTTAAAATTCTTGTCCTCACTTTCAAAGCTCTCTAGTCTTGCTCCTCCCTACCTCTGCGTCTCACTAAATCTTTACCAACCAGTCTACTCTGCCTGCTCCATGACCCTCGCCCTGCCACCCCCACCATTGGTGGTCAGGCCTTCAGCCTCTCTGCCCGCACACTTTGCACCTCCATGCAGGAGCCCCTCTGTCTAAACCCCTCCCTTGCCTCCTTCAATGCCTGCCTTAAGACCTTCCTCTTTGACCATGCCTTTGGTCATCTTCCCACCACCAAATCCTTCCCTGTCCAGTGCCTTGGGACGTCCCCTGACATGAAAGCCGCTATTTAAATGCAATTTGGTGGTGTTGTAATTCAAAGATGGTTCGAGTGGATATTCTGGAAAAATGAGATCAAATGGGCCAATGGACCTTCTTCATTTGCACCCCTGTCTGATGTCTGTCAGTGACCTTAATTCCTCTCCCTTGTTTACAGGGTGTGGAGCCTGAGAGCTTTCCTACATTGCAACACTCTCTCAAGATAGGCCACGAACCCCAAGACACAGCCGGCACCAAACACACGTTCTATGGAGGTCGGTCTGTTAGACCAAGGATTAGTCAGTACAAAGGATCCCTCTCTCCCATCATATGCTCTCGCATAACACCAGAGTAACTAACCCCAATCCACATTCTATACTTCAGCTGCAAAACAGACTACGTCAACTATATTGTCCCTGGGAGACTTGCAATGGTTTAAAGGGTTCATGCAATTCCCGTTTAAATTGGGTCAAATAGTGTGTGGAATGTGATGGACACAATGGAGCAAACAGACCTGGGAAGGCTGGCTTCTGGTCTGGAAACCATCCTGATGGAGGAGTAGAGGGACATGGCTTTCTCTGTAGGAGGTTGACTAGACGTGAAGCTTTAACAAAAGCTTTAACCCTGATTGAGAGGCAGCACGGACTTGATGTTAAGTCAAACATAACTGAACAAAACTTGCATTTTTTTCCCCCTAATTTTATTATTGTCCTATTATTTATCCTACTTTCTCCCCACTGGTATATATACCTTCGAACCAGGTCTGGCTCTTATTTCTGTTTATCTAGCAGTAAGCAGGAACCCAGTTGTTAGTCGATTGGCAGATCGCTTTTCCGGGGGTAATAATCCCTCAAAAAAATTTGGTCACTCAATCCACAACTCTTTGTAGGACTCTGCTGTGTGTAATTGGCCATGTTTTGCCCACAAACTACACAGTCAATTCACTTTAAAGTTTATCCTATGAAGCACTTTGAGACATCTCAACGACACGTGATAAGTCATTATATGAAATAAATACAATTATTATTATTATATAACAATACAATCAGTACACCTTGACTAAATATGACCAATGTTCCTGGAGCTTTTACTAGAACAAATATCATGACTCAATTCCAATCTGTCCTCCCATTTCACAGAATTGGTCAACTCCACTTTTGGAACCAACGCCTTCCAAATGGCCAAGAAACTTGTCGACAAGATTGTTACAGTCACGTAAGTGGCCTCTCGCCTCACAAGCCAGAGGACCTGGGTTCAATACCCATACCCTCCCTGCCCTCCACTCTCCTGATTCCAACCCACAACCCCGTTTCGCCCACAAATATACAATCAATTCACTTTACAGTATATTCTGTGAAGCGCTTTGAGAAGCCTCGAAGACATAATAAGGCACTATATCAAATGCAAGGATTATTAGTATTATTGTCATTATTATAACCCCCAATGTGTGTCCAAATCCTTGATTGTCCAGCGTCTTGGGCATCCTCACAACCGAAAGGTGCTGTACAAATGTAATTTCTTGTTGTCTCTGTGTTCCAGGGAGGAGGACATCTTGCTCTCACTCCTCCGGCTCACAGAGTACGAGGGGGCCACAGTGGGGGCTGAGGGAGCTATCACCCTCGCTGCTGTGGTGGCGGGCAAATTGCCACAGCTCAAGGGCAAACGGTAAGACACGGCTCAAGTATAACCAACTGAGTCAATGCTGTATGTATAGAGAGACGGTGTGTCAGTGCTGTGTCTACAGAGTCCCGCAACATATTGGATAGAACACTCGCCTTGCCAGCGTCACACGCCACTGTTTGCCTAGCTGTAAGCGGTTGCTAAATCCGGAGGTAATAATCCCTTCAAAACAATATAACTATAAAAAATAACGATAATTTGGTCACTCAATCCACGACGCAATTGGTTGCTGATTTTCACCCACAATATACAAGGTCAATTTGCTTTACAGTATATTCTGTGAAGCGCTTCGAGACGTCTCAAAGACATAAGACACCATTTCAAATGCAAGGATTATCATTAGTATTATTATTACACAGACGGCACTGTGTGTTTATAGAGAGACTGTGTGTCAGCTGAGTGCTGTGACCACAGACTGGTCCACATTGAGGAGCTGAATATCGAGTGTGTGTGTTTGCAGTGTGGTGGTGGCTCTGTGCAGTGGGAACCTGGACTATCCTCTGATGCGACAGTGTCTGGACAGGGCCCTAGTGCTGGATCACAGGCTCTGTAAGTTCGCCGTCCAGATACCTAACCACGCGAGGGACATGGTGAAGCTGCTGGAGATTCTGGCACGTGAGGAAGTGCGGTGAGTGATGATAACAGTGGAGTCCTGTAGCTCAGTGGTTAGAACACTCGCTTCGCAAGAGAGAGGACCCACGTTCGATTCTCAGGTGGGGCAAAACCTTAGGCATGTTTCCTTGCTCCACAAGCCTCTGTTTAAACTAGCAGTAAGTCGGAACCCGGTTGTTAGTCGATTGGCAGATCACTTTCCAGGGGAAATAAAACCACACAAAAAAAATTGGGATCACTCAGCCCACGACTGTTTGTGGGACATTGGCTGCCACGTTTCGTCCATAATATATACAGTCAATTCATTTTACAATATATTCTGTGAAGCATTTTGAGACGTCTCAATGATGTGATAAGGCGCTATATCAAATGTAAGGATTATTATATTATTATTATTATTATTATTATAACACATTTCTGAGGCGAGATTGGAGAAGTTCTCACTGGAGTGGAAAAGGTTGAGGGGACTTGATTAAGATGTACAATATCTTGAAGCATTTTTGTTAAGAGTAAATAGAGAGAAGTTATTTCCAATGGTAGGGGAGTCACTGCCATAAGGACATAGTTAGAAGATAACCACAAGAAGAGTGGAAGGAAAACTTAGGAACAACTCTTTCACCCAGAGTGTTGTGGAGACATAGATTTCTATGTTTCTATGCTTCCAAGTAACATAGGATAATGTAGGATAACACAGGAGTACTTTATAAACTACCTTGCTCTTCATCTCTCTCCAATCCCTCATTTTATGTCAGCCTGGCTTAGTCAGCAGCAAACTTGTCTCTAAGTTAGAAGGTGGGGTTTCAAGTCTAACATGGGAACTATGAACTCACAGTCCAGGCTGATATTCCAGTGAGGTACTGAGGGGAGAGCTGCATTGTTTTATTGTCGTAGGTGCCGGGTTCTGACACATCTGGAAACCCATCATCGAGGTTAAGAGTTTCTAAACCCAACTGAGAATTCCATACATCCCACCTACACATGGAATCCCAGAGATAGATTGTTGGAATGGAATACGCACTCTCCCTGGAGGGATGCATCCGGCGTATCTAATTCCAGAAAGTATTAATTGCAGGTTGGTAAGACCCAAGGCTTGGGGCCTGTGCATGTTCATGTTAAAGATCCCGTGGCGTTGTTGGACAAGGGAGTTTATTTGATGACAAAAAAACATTTCCCGTTGAAAACCTGCCTCCTACTAGGGTGAAGTTTAGATTCATCCAATTCCCTGTTGATTCAATTCCCCGTTGATCACTTAATCAACTCTGTTGACTCAACCAGCCTGAGGTGCTCTCAGGTCCAGATGAACAATAACAGTAAAAGTGGGATTAATCCCTGGAAAAGTCCAGAGAGTTGGCTCATGCTCCACACATCCTCACAATGGGATCTTCTCTTCTCTCTGCCCTCAGGGTGTTGGATATCATTCAGGAACAATCGTTTATCACCACAGATATCTTCAGTGTTAAGGTAAGTGTAGAAAGAAACATTAAATCACCTCAGTACTGCACTACTGATTTCAGTATAAAGATTGTGGATTCAAGCCCCAGTTCAGGACTTTGAGCTCATAGTCTAGGCTAACACTCCAATGCAGTGCTGGGGGAGTGCTACATTGTCAGAGGTGTCGCCCTTCAGATGAGATGTTAAACTAAGATCCCGTCTGTGTCTGTTCAGGTGGATGTTAAAGATCCTATTGGCACTATTCAAAAAGAGAAAGGAGTTTCTCTGTCCCAGTGTCCTGGCCAACAATCTCCCCAATAAATTTAGTGACTAATTTCATGGCTATTTGAAGGACAGTGCTGCGCACAAATTGTCTGCTACTTTCTCCTACAAAACATACAGTCATTACACTGGAGAGTAAATCCTGAAGTGTTTTGAGATACAGAGGGAGCATTGCTCTCTATCTAAGCTGTGCTGTTGCTGACCTGGGAGCTTGGTCGGACAGTGTAGAGGGAGCTTTATTGTCTCTAACCCTGACTTGGACAAACAAGGGTTTGCTTTGAAATTGTGCATGGACGAGCTCCAATTTCTGTTGAAATGTAGCCAACAGAAGCCTTGCAGCCACCTGGCATCAGGCTTTGGACACACAGAGCATTCACCAAACCCCCATATGCTCAGTGGCCTGTGTTTCCTGCCTTAATTGTGTGAGTTTAACAGCATGTGAGCAGCACTGAAGCTTGGGGCCAAAGACAATACTCCCAGCCCTCCCGAGGAGATCTGGAGAGGTTCCAACAGGGCTATTTGGCTTGCATACAGTACAATGTAACAACTAACTATTCTTTGAGTGGCTGTTTGTTTGGCTTAGTTACGAGAGGGGTAAATGGAAAATATTTGAAAGAGTTTTTTTCTTCTCAAAAAACAAACAGATCTTGCTAAAGCTCCACAGCTGGGAATGAGGTAGTTTCAGAAGCCAATGTTCTGAGGAGATAGTGTGGGCTATAGCTTTCAATTAGACCCATTGTGTGACTGTCTCCCATGTACGTCAACAGACAGAAATAATTCTCCTCTGTGAAAAGAAACAACTCCTGGTTCGTCTGTTCAAATTAAATATTAAATAATAATAATATTAATCCTTGTATTTGACACAGCAACTTTCATGTGGTGAGGACATCTCAAAGCCCTTCACTGGATATACCTTAAAGTGCAGGTATCGTGCATTTGTACGCAAATATAGAAACAGGAGCAAACCATTCAGGCACTCGAGCCTGTTCCACCATTCTATAAGATCAAGGCTGATCTGTACCTAGAGTCCAATGACCCACCCTTGCCCTGTATCTCTTAATACGCTGACCTAACAAAATGTCTATCCACCTCAGTCTTAAAGATGTGAATGGAACGCAGCAGCCAATTTGGGGAAACGATTCCTGAAGCCGGGGGCAGCCTGTCAGCGCGTGTCGTTTGTGGTTTTCGGTCTCTCACTCCCTGGTCCTGACGCCCTGTTTTGCAGGTGACCTGCGTGGTTGAGACACGAGACAAGGTGCAGGCACTGCAGCTACAGACCTCGTTGGCAGAACACTTCTCCTCCATCATATGGCTGGAGCGGTAAAAGGACTCGGACACTCAGAGCACATCGCCTCCCCTCCTGCCCTCCCCATAAGTCGTATCAGTCGGACCATAGCTTTTAATATGTCTTACGCAAAGTCCGAGTTGCAGGCAAACCGTATAAATCGGATAAGATCCAATTGAAACAATAATCTACTCTGCGCATTCGGCTATATTTCCCACGATTAGATATGTCTTGACCCGTCACCACACACACTTACCGGCAAGCGTTGAAATCACAATGAATCGCAGGAAATGTTCTTCTGCACGAGCGTCGACGGATCAAACCCCTGATGTGGGGCTCGAACCCACAACCCTCTGACACAGATGTAAAAGTGCTACCACCGGAGCCAGTCTGATATGCACATTAGGGGTTTAGAGATGAGTTTCACTCGTCAATTCATTGTTATTTGAGAGGCTTTCGTGGCTGCTGCATTTGGATATTTAATACAAGGTGTTATTTCCTCATCATTAGCAAATATCAACTGATTTGATCATTAGTTTAGGTCCTGTCTGCCCTGTGGTTCAAGTGGAGACCCCTAGCATAGTGGTAGCAAAGTGAGAGGACCCGGGTTCGATTTCTGGGCAGGTCGAAAACTTAGGCAAGTTTCCTTATTCCACACGACTCTGTTTACCTAGCAGTAAGTAGGAACTCGGTTAGTCAATTGTCGGATCGCTTTCCAGTGGTAATAATCCCTCCAAATAAATAAATAATACTCCACAACTGTTTGTGGAATACTGCTGTGTGCAATTGACTGCTGCGTTTTACTTACAAAATACAGGCAATTTTGTGAGTGAAATTCACTTTACAACATATTTTGTGAAGCTCTTTGAGATATCTCAACGACGTGATAAGGCGTTATATCAAATGCACGGAGTAATATTATAATCTCACTCCGTAAAGAGCAGTGTGGAGTTTCTTTTAAGTGAAAGGCGCTGCCAAGGAGGCGTTAGATAAATCCATTACCACTGACGATTGAGGAGGGAACTGTTGCCCTCTGTTTAAATCTGTATGTAATTGAGCCGAAGACGATCTATAGTTTCCTTTAGGTAGGCAGGAATCTATTAGCAATATATTGCTGTGGGCTTCAGCTGTTAGATAATAAATGTCTGTAATGTGTAAGGCTGGTCTTGTGTGGTTACTCAGCTACTCAATTTATTAAAATCCACGAGTTCATAAATTATTCCCGCTACAATTGTGCATCCGTGCATTTGATCCCAGAGCAGAATGATATTCAGTGTAAGAGGAATCAAGTCGTGGGCAGAGATTAGACCAAGACTGTGGGGGGGAGGGGGCAAGATGGGCAAGGGGAAGGGCAAGGTCATCAGGGGAGGGGCAAGGTGGTCAGGGGAGGGGCAAGGTGGGCGGGGGAGGGACAAGGTGGCCGGGGAGAAGGTTGACAAAGATAAAGATGACTGAACATCTGGGAGTCAGCATTTGTAATGGGGTGGGGGAGGGGGGGTGGGGGGTGGTCTGTATAATACGGTCCCTGATTCCCAGCGCCCTGGGACGTCTTTCCGACGTGGAGGGCACTATACAAGAATAATTTGTTGTTCTTAATTCCCATGGACAGTCTCCAGATGAGGTATTGTGTCCCTGGGGCTAAATTTGCCCTGTGTTGAGTTCAGCAACACGAACAACAAACCGAGCAAGAACAATAATATTCTAAAACAGAGACGCTCATGAGAGAGACACAGCCATTAATCCAACACACTTATCCTGTACTATACTGCCAGCATCAGCTATTGTGGCGAGTTCAATTATTTTACATATATGTGTCCCTAGATTTGGTTGGAAAATACAGTCGCCCTAACTGTATAGGTGATCATGGCGATAGGTGTGTGGGGGGAGGGGGGGAGGGGGAAGGGGTCGATTGGTCCATTAGCTTGTTACCCTGGTCCACCTTTCTAGCGTTGGAAGCAAGAGGGAGATGTCCTCGTTGCCAGCGGACGGTGCTGGGGGTGGTAACGAGGAGTGGGAATGGTAGCTTGTGGGCAATCCGAGCTGAGCTGAGCCGAGCCGAGCCATCATTTGCTCTTGCTGTGTTGCTGTGGCATGTAGGATATCAGAAGTTGCAGGGAGGCGAACCCAAACAGGAAGGTCTGCACCAGCCATTTGAGCCGGGCGCTGGAGCTTGTGATCCTCTTGTCACTGTGGGGGTCAGAGAGACACAGAGCCAGTTAGAGCCAAGACAGGAGAGAGTGTTACCCTCAGCAAGAGGGGCTTTGCTACTGTAGAAAGATAAAGACTGAGGTTCAGCTCCATGGGCACCACACCAACCAACAACAACAACAACAGTTTACACATGTAGCGTATTGTTTAGAGCGCTCGCCTCGCAAGCGAGAGGACCTGACTTTGATTCCTGGGCTTAGGCAACTTTCCTTACTCCTCTCGCTTCTGTTTACCTAGCAGTAAGTAGGAACCTGGTTGTTAGTTGATTGGCCGATCGCCTTTCCGAGGATGATAATTCTTCCAAAAATAAATAAAATAATAATAATTTGGTCACTCAACCCACAACTGTTTGTTGGACTTTGCTGTATGCAATCAGCTGCCAGGTTTCGTCCACAAAATAGACAGTCAGCCCACTTTACAGCTCTCCCTCCTCACTGTTCTGCAGTGGTTGTGGATCCAGACTGACATTCCACAATGTTAATTCCAGTAAAACATTTTGATTGGAATATTCCAACAAACTGCGTCTACTCTCTGAGGCCCGCTCACCCTCCGTGTGTTTTGAAAGTCAGTTATTACACTCTTTCCCTTCTGGGTTACCTTGGGAACCGTGGCATTTAGCCAGGGTTAGTTGGGACAGATCACTAACACGTGTGGAGCAAATTAATCTAACTTTCACTTCACACTGAGTGACGATCCAGTGCCTTTACCTCTCTGACTGCCCCATTGGTCATCTTTTCTCCACCTCCCCCCCCACCCGAGCCCCCCACACCCGCTCAGGTTCCCAACCAGCTGTGTAAAGTGGTTTGAGACGTCTTCCCGACATGAGAGGCGTTTATATCGATAGTATTTGTATCTTCGCTTTCCACTTCTTTAACACAATCCTTCCACAGGATCCAGTCAGTAAATAAGTCTTTCTGTTGTCCTCTCCAACTCTTCCCTGCACAAGATGTAGATTATCCAGAACACAGCTCGTGTCCTCTCCCACACCAGGCTCCGTGACCCTATCACCCCCACCCTCGCCCAATTCCACTGGCTCCCCATCCCCCAGAGGATAGAGTTCAAAATCCTTGTCCTCATTTCTAAAGCACTCCAAGGCCTTGCTCTTCCCTACATCTTGTTACCTTTTAACACCATACCAATCTTTCAGCTCCTTCTGCTCGGCAGGCAGTGGCTTGCTCCACAGACCCTGCCCTGCCAACCCCTCAATCCCTCCATCTCACACCCTCCCTCGCCCTATTCAAGGCCCATCTCAAGACCTTCCTCTGTGAGACGTTAAACCGAGGTCATGTCTGCCTGTTCAGGTGGATGCTAACTGTTCAAAAAGAAAAGGGAGTTTCTGTGTCCCGATTTCCTGGACAACAATCCCCCAAAAGAAAACGGATAATTTGCTTCATGTTGTTTGTGGAACATTGCTGCGTGCAAATAGGTTGCCATGTTCACCTACAAATACAGGGTTGCATATATAATACACCTATTTATAAAAATACACTTTACAGTAAAATAGCTATGAAATGCTTTGAGGCATCCTCCTGATGGTGAAAGGTTACACCACCACTTTGTATTTGTTCTTCTCGTCCCTTTTGAGGGTAAGGTTCGATCCAAAAGCAAAGATTATTATTGTTATTCCTCAGATGTCATGTACACCAATTACAGGGAGATTCCCTTTCCCTTGTAATTTCACTGTTGAACACTGCCATGTTTAAAGCAGCAGCAAGGTTTTCCAGTACAGCACTCGCACCTGCTTGGGAAGAGCGGTACTTTAGGAAGGTCATTTTTGCTGAATCCCTTCTAGCAATAATAATAATCCTTACATTTGGATCAGCATCTTTCACGTCGAGAGGCCGTCCCAAAGGATTTATTGTAAACTGTAGTGTCTGTGTGTTGTGTGGGAAAAAGCAGCAGTCAATTTGCACACAGAAATAAAGTGCACCAGGGCATAAAGTGATTTGTATGTGAGTGTGAGGATCTTGAAATTGATTTGTTCTGCATTAGGGAGCCAGTGGAGCCTGGCAAGGACTATGGTGTTGGATATGTGGAGTTTGGCAAGGGCAAGAATACAGATGGCAAACTTTGAATTAATTGGATTTTAGGGCTGCTGGAGCTGGGGAGACAAGCAAAGAGAAAACGTTGAGGTCGGAAAGCGTGGATAACGATTTTCAGATGCGTTGGTTGTGAGGTACAGTTGGAGGTGGAAGATGTGGCAGAGGTGGAGGAAAGTAGTCCTGGTCACAGAGCGGATGTGGGTTAGGAAGGACAGCGAGGGATCGAACCTGACCCCCCCCCCACCCCCGTAAGGGATGAGAAGAACAAATAAATATAATAATAATCCTTGCATTTGATAAAGCGCCTTATCACATCGTTGAGACTTCTCAAGGAGTGTATTACTGACAGTGCATTCTGTGGGTGAAACAAATTACTTTTCTGCTTTCTGGTGGCAAATGCCCTTCCCCATGGCCTGAGCTGGTGAAGCCAATACCAAATATGCAAAATACTTGGAATGGTCAGAAAAAGACTCCAGTCTTCCCTGCAGTACTCACCCCTGCCAGCAGAGGACGGCCTTTAACCACGTAGTAACAGAAGTAAAAAAATTCCACGCTGCAATCTACTGGTTGGACATTGGTTGTGCGAGTCCATGTTTTCTCTGGCCCGTCAATGTGCGAAGTGCTTCGTAAAGAGTTAGCATCAAGAGACAGGAGCCGGAAGCCCAAAACCTCGTCCCCTCTCACTGTGTCTGCTCGTTTAACGAAGCGTTTGAAAATGAATGCGTTGCTCACGTACAGGTAGGATTAGGACTGGATCGTTACATCCCAGGAACTCACACTCAATCCACAACTCTACGTGGGATGTTGCTGTGCACAATTGGCTGCCTTGTTTCGCCCAAAAAATATACAGTCACTTTACAGTATATTCTGTGAAGCGTTTTGAGGCGTCTCAACGAGGTGATAAGGCGCTATATCAGATGCAAGGATTATTAATATTATGGCGATTTGGCTAAACTAATACAAGATCACAAGACTAGTTTGGATGAAGAAGACCTTTCAGCCAATCCAATCTCCTCCTCCAGAATACCCACCTTACCTTCTCCCCATCACAGCATCATGCTGCCTTTTAAGCGAGTCCCAGTGTCCTGTCCTCAACCACCCTTCCTGTCAAGCATGTTTCAGTTATTAGTTACCAGCGGGCGTCCACAGACTGTGCCAAACACTTCCAGGAGCAGAGAGAGTTAATGAGGGAAAGAGGAAGAGACCAGAAAGAGCAGCTGCTTGGTACTGGAGATAAGAGCCTCTCACCTGCAGAGTTTGATGCTGTACAGAGCTTCGAGAACGTGCAAGAACCAAGCAAACCTGTACCTGTGGAAAAGACAGCAAACTTCATTCAACAATCTGTGAAAAGACAACTTGCGTTTATCCAGCAGCCTTCACGTGGGGTAACGTCTCGGAGTGCTGTATGGTGGCCGGGTCGGACTCTGAGCAAAGGGAAGACCTGCTGAATAGCAAGGATTTCAGGCAGGATTTAAAATAACAACAACAAATTACATTTACACAGCACCTTTCACATCAGGAGGACATCTCAAGGCGCTGGAAAGTCAAGAAGTTGCACCCGAGCTGGGGTTTGGGATCAGCAGGGGTGGAGGGCAGGGAGGGGAGGAGGATGACTGAAAGCACGATCGAAGAAGAGGGTCTTGAGACAGGCCTTGAAGAGACAATGGAGCGGGCGAAGCAAAGGGGTTGTGGGATGGAGTTCCAAAGGGTGGAATAAATAGAAGGGGCGAGGCGGAGGGATTGAGGTGAAATTCCAGAGACAGCAGCACAATTGTGGGCTTGTAGCTCCTCACGTCTCAAAGAGCTTGACAAACCCAGCGACAGTGCAGAAGTTCAGACACCAAACCAAATTCCAGGCCGAATAGATGGGTGTTAGGAGGCTTTTGAAGGCAGGGAGAGATTACAAAGCAGAGTGTTCTGTCCCTCCAAGTCCTGAGAACGAGCCAGGCTGGTCTGTGCTGCCATCAGCAGCGCCCGGGAGTACTGCACACCCTCCTGGCTCAGGTGCTGGACTGGAGACTGTCAGAGCGCTGGCGTGATTCCGACATTCCATTGGCAAACACTTGGAGCAAGTTCAGCTAAGAGAAGACCCTGCTTACCCACCCCATCCCAGGAAGAACAGTCTATAAAAACAGTTACTACACTGGACAGTAATTACTGCAACGCACGTAGAGACGTTTGAAGGTGATAATTCTCGTTCTCTTCCACTTACCCGGCATACAGGTAGGGGTAATAGTTGTTCACCTGGTATTCCAGGAAGCTCCCGATCACTCCCAGATGCTTGTACGGGATGTTTTGTGGCCAGAAGATCACCACCTGGGGAGACGGCACATTGCTGGCGTGTGAAACATGGATATCTCTCAACAACAACAGCAACTTGCATTTATATAGCGTCCCTCACCGGGTAAAGTCTTAAGATGGCAAATGAGGAAACACTGGTCAGGCAGGGCTCAACAACAACATCAAAATTACATTTATAGAGCGCCTTTCATGTCAGGAGGACATCTCAAGGCGCTGGACAGTCAGGGGTCAGAACCCGAGCATGGGAGAGGGATGGGGTAGGGGTGAGGGGAAGAAGAGAGGTGGGAGGGCGACTGAAGGCACGATCGAAGAGGAGGGTCTTGAGACCGGCCTTGAAGGAGGCAAGGGAGGAAGTGAGGCAAAGGGACCGAAGGATGGAGTTCTAGAGCGTGGGGGCAGAGAGGCTGAAAGCCCGGCCACTGATGGTAGGGCGGATCAGGCAGGAGACATGGAGCAGGCTGGAGCCCGTTGAACGGAGGGAGTGGGCAGGTTGGTAGGGAGTCATCAGGTCAGAGAGATAGGAGGGGGCAAAGCCATGGATGGCCTTGAAAGTGAGGACAAGAATCTTGAACTTGATCCTCTGGGGGATGGGGAGCCAGTGGAGTCGGGCGAGGGTGGGAGTGATGGGGTTACGGAGCCTGGTGCGTGAGAGTACACGAGCTGCAGAGTTTTGGATGATCTGCAGCTTGTGAAGGGAAGAGTTGGGAAGGCCGATGAGGAGGGAGTTTCCATAATCGAGCCTTGATGTGATGAATGCGTGGGTGAGGGTTTCGGCAGCCTGAGGGGTGAGGCAGGGGCGGAGTCTGGCAGTTTTGTGGAGGTGGTGGTAGGCAGTGCCGGTCATGGCGCGGATGTGGGGGAGAAAGGACAGTTCAGGGTCAGCAAGCTTTCTAGGTTCCTGACTGGCTTAGTGAGGTTGAGTGTGCAGCCGTGGATGCTGATGCTGCCAGCATCCGGGGTGCAGAGGCGCTGGCGCGAGCCAATTAGGAGGGCCTCGGTCTTTCTGACGTTCAGTTGGAGAAAGTTGTCCCTCGTCCAGGACTTGGCAGTCGATCAGGACGCCAGTAGTCCTGGAGTTCAGGGTGGAGGCAGAGAGGTAGAGTTGGGTGTCATCCGCATACCCGTGGAAATTTACCGCGTGTCTGAGGATGATGTCACCAAGGGGGAGCATGTAGAGGGTGGCGAGGAGGGGACCGAGGACAGAGCCCTGAGGAACGCCGCCCGAGACGGTGCGGGGGTTGGAGGAGAAGCCGTTTGCAGAGACGAAGTGGAGGCGGCGTGAGAGGGAGGACCATTCACCAACTGCTTAAAAAAAAAGGCCGTTTCCCCTGCCCTGCACTGTGCTGGGACACTATCCTGCAGCATGAGGGGCGCTATATAAATGCAAGTTGTTGTTGTTGTTGGAAGAGGGCATTTAAGTGGAAAACCGCTAAGGCTGAAAGCCGATTAAAGTTACAAACAGCTGATACATTGTAATACAGTGTATCAGCTGTTTGTAACTTTAATACATAATAATAATCCTTGCATTTGATACAGCGACTTATCACGTCGTTGAGACATCGCAAAGTGCTTCACACGATATACTGTAAAGTGAAATGACCGTGTGTTTTAAAAGAAAGAAGAGAGGAAGAGAAGGAAAGACAGAATGGGAGAAACAGACATAGAGATAAGAGACCGAAACACAGGGAGGAGAAGAACTGTGGAAGATGAACAGAACCAGATACAAAGGAAGAAAGAAGGAACAGAGAGAGAGATAAAAGACTGGCAGAAAACAGCGAGAAAGGGGGAGGGAGAAAACAGCGACATAAAGGTAGACAGGGAAAACAGTGGGGGAGGGGGGTGCGGGCAGGTGGAAGGGGGCAGAGGGTAATACAGGTATCCCAGAAAGAAGACGTGTTGCGAAAAGGAGGCCAACCCTGGCTCCCTGGGACCGAGCGACTTACGGTGAAACAGCCAAAGGTTGCAGTGACTGCGACCATCCAGAAGAGGCTGGTTCTCTTGAAGTAAGCGCTGGGGGATTGACTGCCCATGGTTCCTCCCGCACAACAGCGAGTTCCCAGCAAACAACTACAAAGAGCAGCGGCTCAGCTACACTTCCTGTGCTGGAGCAAGCCTCCTTAAAGGCAGACCGTCTCAGGGAAATGCATAATAAGTCAACAGACGCAACTGAAGAATGCTCATTCAAGGAAGTTAACTGCTGAGTAAAAACAGTGTTACATTACCAACAACTTGCAGTTATATATAGCCCTTCACGGGGGGGTATACAATAATCCTTGCATTTGGTATAACAATGATAATCCTTGCATTTGATATAGCGCTTTTCACGTCGGGAGGACGTCCCAAAGCGCTTCACAGAATATACTGTAAAGTGAATTGACTGTATATTTGTGGGCGAACGCGGCAGCCAATTGCGCACAGCAATGTCCCACAAACAGTCGTAGATTGAAAATGACCAATTTATTATATCGCGTTTTATCACGCCTTCGAGATGTTTCAAAGCGCTTCACAGGATACACCGTAAAGTGTAGTGACTATATTTTGTGGGTGAAACACAGCAGCCAGTTTGCGTTCAGTAATATCTCACAAACAGTCGTGGATTGAGCGACCAATTTTATTTGGGGGATTGTTGGCCAGGACACCAGGAGAGAGAAAGTCTCTTCTCTTTTCGAATAGTGCCATAGGATCTTTAACATCTACATGAACAGGTAGAGGGGACATGGGTTCAACATCTCTTCCAAAGGATGGTACCTCTGACAATAAAACACACTGCACTGGAGTGTCAGCTTAGACGATATGATTCTAACTCCTGACGTGGGGCCTGAACCCACAACCGCTCAATCAGAGCCAAGCTGACACACATAATAATAAGCATTACATTTGATGTATAAAATGCACGTTTATGTTGCAGTGTCTCAAAACACAGAGCCTGATGCCAAGCCGGGGAAAGAGTACCATTGTCGGAGGTGATGTGCTTCAAATGAGACGGTAAACCGAGGTCCCGTAATAATATAATAAATAATAATAAATTCATAATAATAATCCTTGCATTTGATATAGCACCTTATCACCTTGTTGAATGCCAGGATTATTATTCTAAGGCTCACATCCACAGGACCTGGATGGGTGATCAGACAAGCTGCACCATTATTGGCCAAAGCTAACATCAGCCTCTGTCTGACAGTCAGCACCAGAGAGTGATGTGTGCGAGTCTCCCCTCACTGATGTACTGCGCTTCTCAAACTGGTGAGGGTGCAAAGAAATCAAACACATTTGTAAACATAACACGATTGTAAAGTTTATAATGTATAATAATCCTCGTATTTGATATAGAGCCTTATCACGTCGTTGAGAAACGGAAATGAAAGATCGGGAGCAAAGAGAGTGGAGAGAGGAACATTAGGAGAAAGAGGGTGTTTTACACTGAACTAATGGCATCAGATCGTGGCAGAGAGAGAGGCCATCACTGAGCTGGTATTCATTGCAGATGCCTCTTAAACAAGGCCACAATTTATTGCATAATCAAACCTAGGATACATTAATATTTACAAAATATTTCAATGAATTTTAGCAAAAATAACATTTCATATTTTATTGAAGGATTGACTGATAAAATGATAGTGTTGTGCTCTGTTAGCCAGGTTTTGTACATGGATCTCTGTACAGATCAGAGTACACTTGGTCATTCACCTCATGGCTGTAAGTTGGACCTTCTCTGTGCAGAACGTATGCAGCGTTTGCTTACAAATAGTCACTGTGCTTGACAGTAACTATTGTGAAGCGCTTTGTTTCAAAATGACAAGGTGCTATAAAGGTACAAGTTTCTTCTCTCTTTAGCTTCCTACAGCAATTGGGAGGGGGGTGTGGGGGGCGGTGTACCCTGTACCTCAGTGACACTGAGCACTACAGAACTGGCTGCTATTTTGTCAGATGGGCAGAAATCACGGCTAACAAACTCCCTGCTTTGTGGATTCGACAAGAGAGGCCTTGAGACACTATAGCTCTTCTACCGCAACCCCACAACTAATACTATAGCTTGTTATTGAGATCACTGTCTGGCAAGCTTTCCTGCTGCTTGTCCAGTTAGGAACACCCTATACTTTAGGGGTTAGCTTGCAGGATTAACAAGAGCTGAGTGCAATGACTCCCTGTCCCAAGTGACTGGTCTGCCCCTCCAGAGTCCTGCCGATGAGCCAGGCTGCGCTGTGCTGTCATCAGCAGTGCCCTGGAATCTGTGGACCCACCTAGCTCAAGAACTGGTTTACCAAGACCCCAACAGACATTCTGTTCCCCAGCTCAGCTCCAAGGAGACACTGTCTCCAAGGTGACTCGTGACCAGTGAGTTACTTGACAGTGGGATGACATTGCAGTGGGACAGCACTCACCACGGTCTGGGTGCAATTCCAGGTCAGTATGGCTCAGGGTGTGTCCACAAACCTAAGGCCTCTGTGAATACACCACAAGCTCACCAGGTACTGGGACATATCCAGCTGCAGTTACATAGCCACCCGCTCTATCGTTTTACAGAAAGATTGAAAGCTCACCTCCATGCAGTGGCTCGACATGTGACATAGCCCAACAGTATACACCTTGGCCCGGAGGGAAACAGTGGTAGTGGGATGGGGGGGAAGGAGCGGGTGGGACTTGTGGAGGAGTGGGTGGGGGGATAAGACACGATAATAATTTGAGGAGTAGATTTGTAGCCAAAAATCACCGGAAAAAAAGCCAAGTTTGTTCCTTTTCTCAGCTGAGTTTTCAGGTTACTTGCGTGGATTTCAGTACAAAGGCTCAATGATTGTACCAAGGCCAATCAGAATGCTACCACATGCAGTATTATTCCCTGCTCTCCATCCTTCCCTGTCAAAACCTATTTTCACGTTTTCCAGTTGTACAAAATACTTTGGTTAAACTTTCCCCCAAAAAATCTTTCTAGTAAAAATGGCACCATTGACTGTCCTACCAGTTTACACAAGACACCTCGCTAACACACATCATCTCCCTGAGTCAGTGTCTCACTCATAGTCAGTGTCTCCCTTGTGTGTGTCCCACACTGAACTTCAATGTCTCCCGTGTATGTGTGTCTCACACTCACCGACAGATGACACACCTGAGAATCGGTCTCACAAGTCAAGTGTCTCAGACAAGTTTGCCATCAAGAAGCAAAAGTGCTGAGCTCCACAGAGAGTGAGACCTTGTTTTTCTCAGGCTGCTCACATAGCTGTCAGTGGCCTTTTCAGAGAGCCCCACAGAGATCCGGAGCCTCCAAAGCCTCATATGTTGGGGTGCCCACAGACAGAGGGCGAAAGCAGGAACGAAAGTCAGTGGGGGGGGGTGGGGGGGGAGGGGGGATTACCTTAAAGACACACCAATGGCTGGTTTGTAATACTGTCTGTCAGTGTCAGTGCTCTGACTGACCTGCACATAACAGATACTGCAATCAACAACAACCATGTCCAGATCACCTCACACAACTGTGCAGCCTCTTCCAAAACGGAGAAGGGAGTGGATTTGTCTCCCCATAGCTACTCGGGAAGAGCGTGCTGGTTACTGAGTGCTGGCCTGCCAAGCAGAAGGTAAAACCAACACCGCGGATTAGATTGGACACGATTCCATCATTGAAAACATCAAGAATTCAGGACAAGGTATCTGCTGCCGCAGCAGGTGAAAGTTTCAGTCATATAGAGTTTCACGGGGGGGGCCCTTGCAGCAGATATAAGCGATTATGAGGTCCGAGTTTCTGCTCACTCTTGTACCTACGCAGAGCATGTTGTGTGTACACCCTACACACTCTGCTCCTCCCCTCATGACCTCTACTGATCTTGCCACTCGCCAGGCTCCTGAAGCACAAAGGGGAACAAGGTGCCTCATGATCCCAAACACAGGAGTCAAAACGTGCAGGCTGTTATCTCAGGGCAGCATCCATTTGCACAACTTGCTACAACTCTCTTCTGCTCCTGGAGTTTGTTCCTCCACGGCTGTGAGGTCGCATAGGGAGGGTGACCCGGGGACCTGGATAAAGGAGGCCAGGTTACAAAACATGTAGTACGTCTTTTTCCTTTCTCATTCGGCCCCTCCCGCGCCCCCCAGCCCCACAAAAAAAAAACTACCTGCGTGTAATCTAACATTACGCAATGACACCAATGAGCCGCTCCTCTCCACCGTAGCTGGCTCCTCTCTGATGTTTGACTTTTTAACNTTTTTAAATTCCGCTGCTTCCGTTCGACTGGCTCCAGTCTCCTGCTTGTCCGTCGTGCCCTCCGTTCCATCATCAGTGGCCGTTCTTTCAGCCACTACATCCCAAAACTTTGGAGCACTCTTCCTCAATCCCTTCGCCAGGCACCCCCCCCTCCCTATCTTGGAGCTTTCTCTTCGACCGTGCCTACTGTCACATCCCCCCAGCTTAGCATCATGCTCTGCCACTGTCAAGCGCTCCGGGGCGCTACCCTGTGTGAGGGGCACGATATAAATGCAAGTTGCTGTTGTTGACTGTAGGTGGCTCCTCTCTAGCCCAATGTGACTGCACTTCACTCCTCACCTTCTCTTCCTCCAGATCATGGCTTTCCTTTCTCCTCCCTCCCCTCCCTGACCACACCAGGGACCTCACAAACAAAGCAGAGAGCTACGCGATGAAAATATAAATTGTCCAAGGATAGACTCGGGATTAAGTCTCAGTGAATCTAACCCTTTGTCGCAGCCAGACTTGATCCTGGTCTATTCCCTACCAAGTGACAGCTGATGCTTGACTTCCGCCTCCTCAGTCTCAGTTGCGGAATGCCTGAGGCTGTGCTGGGGTAACATGTCCAGGTGAGAAGAGCTGGACACACTCAGGCTGATCCCAGTCACTCCAATACTGAGAGAATCTGGGCAGAAATAAAAAGCATTGAATTATAAAATCAGGCAGGTTGTTGTGATAACCCCCCAAAGTTTATAGTATTTCACAATAGAAATTTGAAAATACAATTTTTTATAATAATAATCCTTGCACTTGATATAGCCACTTATTGAGATGTCTCATAGCGCTTCACATGATGTATTATAAAGAGGATTGACTGTATTTTGTGGGCTAAACGCGGCAGTGTCCCATAAACAGTCGTGGATTTCTTGTATAATAATAATAATTATTTTTTGAAAGCAAAATAGCTTTACTCCTCCATTGTAAAATACAAAGGAGCAGTCTATTCACAGTACTGAACATTCGATGATATGTGTGTGTTTGTAGGGGGGGGGGGTGAGGGGAACCATTGAGAGAATGGTTTACCTGGCCCTGCAGATCCCCTGCCAACACGCATCTGATGTGCATTATCCAAAACAGTGAACGACCGGCGATAAGAGGTCTCCGACTGAAACAAAACACAATATTGTATTATTTCCCAAGGATCCTTTTACACCTCTGTTCTTTTTTGGGATGCTGGCTGGGAGTTGTCCTTCCTTGAAACAATGAATTCATCTCAAACATACTGACAAATTGAACTTTTGAATAAGAACTGATTATTTAACAAATTATTTAATCAGTTAATAAATTAATGTCTCTCTCATCTACCATTGGCTTCTTACCTGGAATACGTGTGTCGTACTGGGCCTGGAGTAGTACTCATCCCCGAGGAATCGGTCTCTTGGTAGTAAGTGGCTTGTCTCATCCATAACTGCACTGTGTGCTCGGTTAGCGTAGACTCGCATTTTCTGTGGAGAAAAAACAGTGAATAATACCAGTCAGCAGCAACAACAACAACTTGCATTTATATAGCGCACTTCACGCAAGGCAGCGTCTTAGAGAACTTAACAGTGGCGGAGTTTAACGCCAAGCCAGGGGTGGGAGGATGTGACCGTAAGCACGGTCGAACAAGAAGGTCTTCAGTCGTGATCTAAAAGGGGAGGGGGCAAGGCAAGGATTGAGGGTTCCAAAGCTGTGGGGCGTAATGGCTGAAAGCACGGCCGCCAATGGTGGAACGGAAGGGATGAGGCACAAGCAGGTGGCCAGAGTCAGTCGAGCAGGTATTGGAGTGGAGAGAAAGCAGGTCACAAAGGTAGGTAGGTGCCAGGCCGTGAAGGGATTTGTAGATGAGTGAGAGGTTCTTGAAATCGCAACATCTTCAGATTGAAACACTGGCAGGCCTTCTTCCTCATCAAAAAATAATACCTTGATCTCTCTCCCTGCCCTACTCTAACAGTCTGGCATTTCAGACACAAATTGTATTTATCAAGCGCCATTCAGGTAAGATAACGGAGAGTTGTACAGTGGTGGGATTGTACCCAGAGCAGGGATAGGGGATCATATTCACGGACAAAGAGGTTTGTTTCCAGGTGGGATTTGAAAATTGATAACATGGTGACAAAAAGTTTCACGAACGCAGTGAAAGACATCTCCTGTGATAGCTGCATACTCTCTACCAATGTGGTTTTTAAAAAACACAATTAATAAATAAAAACTATGTGTAAGGACTTCTGATTCACACTGTATAAATGCAATTATTGTATCACATCATGTTTTGATTATCAGGTAATTACTGAGTTACCTTCCCTCACCCAGCAATAATAATAATAATCCTAGCATTTGGTGTAGCGCCTTTCATGTTGGGAGGATGTCTCAAAGTGCTTCACAAGATATAATGTAAAGCATAGTGACTGTGTAATTTGTAGGTGAACATACCTGCAGTCGAGGAATTGGCATTGTAGTTAAGTGCTCGGTCTCTGGGCTGACGATTGGAGGGAGCAGGGTGTTGCGGCTTGGAGGCAATGCAGAGGTTGAAAGTCGGTCACTTGCTGTTGATCTGGAATTAAAATGGCAAAAGATAATAATAATGTTTGTATTTGATATAGCTTCTTATCACATCATTGAGACGTTTCAAAGTGCTTCACAGAATATATTGTAAAGTGCAACGACTGTTCCTTTCCTTCCCAAATGTATGACTGGTTATAACAGACACACAAACTTTCTATCGTGGATCATACTTACAGCCGTGTGCCCCGGACCAGGTTGTCCATGGATCTGACCGGAGTTCCTGAACGAGGTAGGTTGGAATTTATGGGATGGAGCGTGCGAGGAAGTTTGCGTCTCCGTGCAGACTGGACTGGCCGAGACAGCGAGGAGGTGCTTTGCTGCAGTTGGCGACTGGAACGGAATTGGTTTGAAGACACGGTACTTGAATAGGGTCGTAGTAAAGGCCTCTCCTCTGGGTCCCTGTAACCAGGTCATGTATTGTTATACCACGTTACAGTTATTAAGATCCCGCAACAGTCTACATGCGGAGATAACCATTCCAGCCCAACACATACACAAACTATACAGTCAATTTTTTTTACAATATATTCTGTGATGCACTTTGAGATGTCTCAACGACGTGATAAGGCACAATATCAAATCCAAGTATTATTATAATTTGAATTTATATAGCGTCCCTCACATGGGATAGCATCTCAGTCTGTTTAACAGTGGTGGAGCTTGACGCTGAGCCGGGGAGAGGAGGAGAACATCTGAATGATTTGAATAAAAAAACAGATTAAGAAGGTTGACCCAATACACTCTTAAACATATCGCTCAGAAAAACACAGATGTAACAAATGGCCAGGGATTTGTGGGCAGCTGCCTTGCTGATGGAATTACAAAAGCATTCTACAGAGGTGTCAACACTTACTACTTAAGACAGAGCAATACACTAAAGGGGAAATAGATAACACTAAGGAGGGAAATGATTTGCTTTATTACAAACTTTGACATTTCATCTGTGACAAGCAAATGGGAATCAGAAATGACATCCCTTTACTCGCAAAAGGGTCGTACAGGAAATTGAAACGTTCCAATTTGAAAAAAATATTTACTGTAATTTACTGATATTGTATTTGTGATTGTGTAACACTCTCTAAACAAACCACCACATCTGAGCAGGACAAGATCAAATGGGATGAAGACATTTCTTCACCTGAACCTCTCTTGTGGTTAATCCCTTACAAGCAGATCGCTGCACAGATCCACTGTCCAAACTACTTACTGTGTCTTCTCGGGCAGTGGAGAGGTTCTTTGCTGAAGGGAAATTCCTTGAATCTTTAAACTGTTCAGAGTACGATGTACGGCCCCTCCTTGCAATCGTTGCCCCTTGATGTGAAATAAAAACCTCGGAATGACGACAGATAAACAGCTCATATCAAAATACTGTGCAGAATTAATCTGTGCACTAGATTCACTCTTTTTTCAAAGGCTGGTATAGGGATGCTAATGCACATGATCCAATACCATAACTGTGGAGTCCTATAGAGTAGTGGTTATCACCTTAGCCAAGTTTCCCGACAACACATGCCTCTGTTTACCTAGCAGTAAGAAGGAACCCAGTTGTTAGTCGATTAGTGGATCACTTTCCGGGGGTAATAATCCCTCCAAAAAAACAGGAATTGGTTGCTGGCTTTCAAAAACATGGTCAATTCACTTCATAATATATTCCGTGAAATGCTTTGAGAAGTCTCAAAACACTTCACAGGAGATGGTGTAAAGTGTAGGGTGTATTTTGTGAGCGATGTGGCAACCAATATGTGCACAGCAGTGTCCCACAAATAGCATTGGAGAGAAACTGGTTTCTCTTTTCAAATAACACCATGGGATCTTGTAACATCCACCTGATCAGGCAGATGGTAACTCAGTTTAACATCTCACCCAAGGACGGTACTCCAACAATGCAGTGATCCCCCAGCACTGTACTGCATTGTAATATTCACAACATTAACAAACCAAATCCACAAGCCATACTTACAAGTATATACATTCCATACTGCACCACGCCAGCTGAATCCATTACACAATACTAACCTGAGACTGGAGTAAATAGGAGTTGAAAGCAGGCAACTGCGAATGTGGTGCCCGTGGAAACAGCTCAAGAGGCAAAGCTGAATTCACTGGGATGGTTCGTACATTTTCCACAGATGCGATGCCTCTCTCATCATCTGCACAAGTTAAAAATCATTTAGAGACAAGGGTGTGCGAGACATCAGCCACTCCTCCCCACCACATTCGTTAAACATATTTCTATAAAATACATTCTTATTAGAAGGACATTCTGATTAACCCTAGTTCTTAGCTAGTTCAAACACACAATACGTTTTCTAAAGCAGAAAATATACCCTCCGTATTCCCCATTATTCCCAAACTTACACTGGGAGGCACTCAGTAGTCTGTTTAATCATTGCTTTGAAAACAATTGCTATTTGTGGAGTCCTGTAGCTCAGTGGTTAGAGCACTCGCTTTGCAAGTGAGAGACCTGAGTTCAATTCCAGGCAGGGCGAAACCTTGGGCAAGTTTCCTTACTCCACACGCCTAATAATAATCCCTCCAAAAAACCAAAAACAATAATTAAATTGGTCATTTTCAATCTACGACTGTTTGTGGGACATTGCTGTGCGCAATTGGCTGCCGCGTACGCCCACAAATATACAGTCAATTCACTTTACAGTGTGTTCTGTGAAGCGCTTTGGGACGTCCTCCCGACGTGAAAAGCACTATATCAAATGCAAGGATTATTATTATTATTTATCCAAACTTTCCTGTCCAGTAAATCAAATAGTGGAGGCCAACAGCATAAACTTGGAATCTGAAGGGCTCAGATCCAGGTGGGTCCCTTTAGCCTTCAGCCTTTCGAGACAATAAAATATCATATCTAAACACATCTTCCTGGAGAGGGGAGGCGGGGGGGGAAAGAGGAGGTAAGCAAGTTTTTTGTCGGATTGCAACCCACTCAAAGGAAATGTGCCCGAGAAAACAAGGCAGGTCTGCATTTATCCAAGATATTCATGATAGTTGACCAGCCTGACTGGTAGGTCAATGACACTTGGATTTGCTGATATGTCTCAATCCTGTGAGCCAAAGTCCCAATGTGTTGACAGTTCCCATTTGGGCAATTAGAGTGAAAAACATATCAATAGTATGCCATTTGTAGTGACGGCACTGGAGAATGGATTCTGCACACAATGTCTGGTCCCAGCTGGCTTTCACCAACTGTTTCAATGCAAACACAGGAGCACGGAAAGGATCGAGAGACACCTGCAGGTATAATGCAGTTAATAACCTTGTCCATTAACAATTTAAAACCCAAATTATTCCATACGACAGACTTGGTATTTCAGTCCAATGGTCTGTATACCTGAAATGGGCACTTCCCAGTGCTTACGGATCAGCTCCTTCATACAGCCCATAACCTCCCTCCACACTTCATCAAAGAGATCTGCCATAATTGCACTCCTTGTGCATTGGACAGGGGACACTGGAGGCATCCCCAGTCTATTCTCACACTGCAAGGCAAGGCTCATCCTCTTCTCATAGCAATCATCCTCCCTGCATAGACCCAAAGTGCACATATCTTAGTCATCAATTTAACATACAAACAAGACTATCTTACAATGATTTATGAGTAATATGTCAAGGAAGTTCAGTCAATCTGGCCTCTAGTGGAAGGAACAACTAATAAGAGTGGGTTTCACAGTCATACTGCAGACAATGCCTTTCATTTATAAATTATACATTCAGAGTCCTGTAGGTAGGTGGTTAGAACACTCATCTCGCAAGCGAGAGGACTCTGGTTCAATTACTGCAAAACTTTAGACAAGTTTCCTTACTCCACCCGCCTCTGTTTACCTAGCAGTATATAGGAACACCATTGTTAGTTGATTGGTGGATTGCTTTCCAGGGTTAATAATCCTTCCACACNAAAAAAAATCTGGTCACTCAATCCATGAATGTTTGCGGGACACTATGTGCAATTGGCTGCAGGGTTTTCCCACAAAATACACATCCAATTCATTTTACTGTATATTCTGTGAAGCGTGTTGAGTTGTCTCAATTATGTGATAAGGTGCTACATCAAATGCAAGGGTTATTATTATAATAATTGTGGGACATTGCATGTGGAAACTGACTGCCAAATACAGACAATATACTTTGCAGTAAGTCCTGTGAAGTGGTCCTCCTGTTGTGAAAGGCACTATATGAAATGCATGGATTATTATTTAATTTTTAAATCACTTTAGTTTTTTCAAGGTATTTCTCCCAATTGCTCTTCAGTACTTATGCAAAGTACTTGTGTGTAAAACAACTTACAAAAATACTGTATCTTTTGTAGAAAGAAAAATATCTCAAAGCACTTCACAGAATAAACCAACCACAGAAATTTACAGTACAGAAGAAAACCATTCAGCACATTGATTCAAGATAATGAAATTAATTGGAAATTAATTGAATATGGTTTGGTTTGGATACTCTTGATGTGTTTCTGCACATGTCAGATGCCTGTCTGACCAAATAAAAAAAAGTGTTTGTTTACAAAAATAATAATAATCCTTGCATTTGATAATAGCGCCTTATCACATCGTTGAGATGTCTCAATGCGCTTCACAGAATATATTGTAAAGTGGACTGACTGTATTTCGTGTGCAAAACGCAACAGCCAGTTACACACAGCAGTGTCCCACAAACAATCATCACTGAGTAGCTCAATTTAATATATAACATTCTTGCGTGACAGCAATTCCTGTGAAGGGCTTGGACATATTGTGATGTTAAAGGGTGCTAGGAAATTACAGGTTTTTCTTTAATTAAAAGACAGTCTTGAGTGATTTAAAGCTAAACGATTGATACTAACAGGTCTTTGTGATCAAATGCAAGGTATTCTTCCACTAAACCATCTGCTATAATCACACCATTCTCTGCCTCTTCATCTTCTTCTCCAGAAAGCGTACAAATACCTATTTTACACTGAGGGGCATCTGACAGCAACACTTTTGTACCGACAATAAAGAGTCTGAAAGAAAGAAGAGAGAGATGGTTCCACACTGTCTGAAAAAGATGTTTAAAACACGAGTGAAGCTGGGGCAGGGGCGGACTGGGGAGGGACAGAGAAAGGGAGAGAATTTGACTGACATATGCAAACTATTTGCACATGATAGCAGTGTTAGCCCTGTAAAACTGATACTGCGCACAGAAAAATGTATCTGAAAGCCAATAATAATTCTTGCATTTGATATAGTGCCTTATCATGTCGTTGATACGTGTGAAAGCGCTTCATAGAATATATTGTGAAGTTAATTGACTGTGTATTTTGCAGGCGAAACACGGCAGCCAAGTGCGCACAGCAGTGTCCATGAGGCAAAGGTTGAGCCTTACCTTTCAGGCGGTGTATGTATTATAACAGTAACCTCCTGGGACATCCTGCCCACCATAGTGTAGACCGTGCAGGCAGCATGGGAGACTTGGAGGTGGGGAAGGGAACAAAATAGAGTCAAAGGAAAAGATGGTTATGTGATTCCCAAAGCAGGTCTGTCAGTGCAGGGATAGCCTCATTCCCTAGATTGATATCTAGCTCAGGCCACAAGGTAGGACAGCATATACAATGGCTTTCAATACAAATGGCTGGTTTGGTCAAGTTATGCTTACTCATTCGCATCTCTCTCGTGGCCTGGGCTGTTGGCTGGTGTTGATGTGTTAGTCCCTGTCACAGAGCTGGCATACCACTGATAAGCCTCATCAACAGGAGCCATCACTTGTGTCCCCAAAATCCTACAGGAGAAAATGTGCAAGATTTAAATGACTGATCGGCACGAAATTTGCACTGCATTGAGACCCTTATCCAACAAGAACCTATCCAGCTTAGTCTTGAAAATTTGAATGGATCCAGCATCCACAGCCTTGCGGGGGAGAAAGTTACAGATTTCCACTACCCTTCGTGTGAAAAAGTGCTTCCTGATCTCACTCCTAAATGGCCAAGCTCTAATTTTAAGACAATGCCCCTTGTTCTGGATTTCCCCACCAGAGGGAATAGTTTCTCTGTAGCTGCCCTATCGAGTTCCTTTATCATTTTAAACAACTCAATCAAGTCACCCCTCAGCCTCCTAAACTCAAGAGGATTTCAAGTCATGTTTATGCAACCTGCCCTCATAATTTAACCCTTTCAGCCCTGGTATCATTCTGTTGAATCTGCGCTATAAGTCCTCAGTGTGGGAGTTCGGGTTCTTTTACGCACACATCGTCTGATTGTTATTTTTATTGAGAGAACCAACATCAAGCGATCCCGGAGCTGTGGACATGTTACATACATGGCTTCGAATTGCACAACAGGTTCTCTTAATGCAGCAGGTGATTAACAACTGGAAAGGGTTTGCTAGGAAAGTTGATAGAGGAGGTCAGGAATGCCTTTAAATTCAAACAAATAAAATAAAAACACCCAGCTGGAAATTTCAGAGATCCATTTGAATGAATCGTCTCCACTAATACTGTCATCTCATGTGGGACAGCGTCAGTTGGAGGTACAGGATTTGATTTAATTTTTAAGAGTTTATTTACTGCTGGCGTACAGATTCCTTGGGCAGAACAAAACAAGACAAACATCTTGCACGTGAAGTTCACAGTCCTGCTCCTTACCGAAAGTGCTGGAAGCTGGATTTCCATTCCTGGCACTCCTGTTCCAGTCCTTCTATACGAGAGCATTTCTTTCCCTCAAACAGAAACTCTTCAATCTCACAGAACATCTGCTGGACCTGCTGCGAGGCTGCCTTCTCAAACTCCTGGTACACACAACAAGACACGGTTAAAGGAATGCATTGGATACTGAAAAAACACTCTCCCTGTATTCTTCCACCTTGCCCCCTCCTTCCCCACCCTCCGCACTGTCAAACGCTCTGGGTGCTACCCTGTGTGGGGAGCGCTATATAAATGCCAGTTACTTTTGAAACAAAAATTAGCACTAAAAAAAATGAAATAAGTTTTAAAGATTTTGTTTGTTCTAAGCATTGTAACAATTGAACTTCTGGTGGCTTTCATGAGGGGATGAAAAAGTACTAAGGCAAATCAGCCCAGGAAATCAGTTTACAGCCTCAATGTACTGCACTTGGAATGATTCAAAGCGTGGTTTAGAATCGTGAAGCCACCATACCCCAACGCAATTCTCTCTGAGCTGACTGTGAGAGAAGGTGCAGATAGGACAGGCTCTCCCCAGAGATGGAAAGAGCAGGGTGCTGAAAAATAAATCACTCCTGCGCTGTTCTAATACAAGGTACACTGTGTCAGATGGTTAACTTGACTAACAGCTGCCTTAGGCCAACACACCTCTCACAGACACAGAAAGGCTTTAAGGAACACTGGTGTCATAATGAAATTCAACACTCGTGCGATAGAGGGAGTAGTTTTGTTTGAAGTATACTTTTAGGGTGGTTTTAAGGATATGGAACCTGCACTCTGCTTATATCAGCACCTGTGTGCTAAACGGATCATTAGCTTGCATCCAATTATGCACTTGACCTCTTTGACCGTGCCTTCAGCTCCCCGCTCGACTCTCTACCCTCTACCCCCTCCTCGCTCCCTCCCTTCCCTCCCCTCCCCCTGACCATTTCCCCCTTGCTCGGGTCCTGACCCAACTGTACAGTGCCTTGGGATGTCCTCCCGACGTGAAAGGCGCTCTATAAATGGAATCTTGTTGTTGTTGTTGTTGTGACCTGGGACTGCTTAAAATCAATGCCAAATGTGGGGAAAATGCTCCATTCACTTTGCTGAGAATATTTATTTTTTAAAAATCATAGAAAATGGATTAGATACCAGTAAGCCTCATTCTTTATCCCAGTGATGATAACAATAATCATCCGTGCTTTTGATATAGCGCTTTATCATGTCATTGAGACGTCTCAAAGTGCTTCATAGAATATACCGTAAAGTGAATTGACTGTATATGTTGTGGGCGAAATGCGGTTGCCAATTGCGCACAGCAGTGTCCCATAAACAGTCGTGGATTGAGTCACCAAATTATTATTTTTTTTAGTCTGTTGACTGTCCTGTGGAGTCCTGTAGCTCAGTGGTTAGAACACTCGCTTTGCAAGCGAGAGACCTGGGTTCGTTTCCTGGTAGGGTGAAACTTTGGGCAAGTTTCCTTACTCCACACGCCTGATAATAATCCCTCAAGAAAAAAAACAATAATAATAATAATCCTTGCATTTGATATAGCGCTTTTCATGTCTTCTAGACGTCTCAAAGCGCTTCACAGAATAGACTGTAAAGTGATTTGACCGTATATTTGTGGACGAAACGCGGCAGCCAATTGCGCACAGCAGTGTCCCACAAACAGTCATGGATTGAAAATGACCAATTTATTATTGTTTTTGGTTTTGGAGGGATTATTATTAGGCGTGTGGAGTAAGGAAACTTACCCAAGGTTTCGCCCTGTGCCTGGAATTGAACCCAGGTGTCTCGCTTGCAAGGCGAGTGCTCTAACCACTGAGCTACAGGACTCCTCAAATAATAAATTAGTTATTTCAATCCACGACTGTTTGTGAGACACTGCTGTGTGCAATTGGCTGCCACATTTCGCCTACAAATTCACTTTACAGTCTCTTCTGTGAAATGCTTTGTGATGCCTAGAAGACATGTAAAAAGGCACTATATCAAATGTAAGGATTATTAATATTATCGTCTGTCAGACATCATTTTGATGTCCAAAATGCAGTATCACCTTTAACAGTTGCACATTTCAATAATAGTCTGTTTCAGCCTGGGTACAGAATGATGGACAACACTGATTGCGATGTAACAAAACACAGCTGTACATAGGGTACTCGGACTCAATCGAGAACATTGCTACTCACATCGTCACCCCAGGAGAAGACCGAGCTGCACTCTGTGGAGATTCCAGTCTCTGTGTAACTGTTGATAACAGACCAGGGGAATCTGACATCACCCAGGAGAGTCTGGTTGCTGGTGTCTTCGTAAGTCTCAGACTCGCTGCAACATTGATCAGTTATACATCATCTCGGACAACAACAACTCACATTCATATAGCGCCCTTCAAGTGGGGCAGCATCTCTGAGCACTTAACAGTAGCAGAGCCTGATGCTGAGCTGGGGGGGGCGAGGCAGAGGTAACCATAAGCACAGAATGCCTTGCCTTCTCCTGCCCCCCATTTATAAACGACTAAAGACCTTCAGAAGGAAGGTCTTCAGATGTGATCTAAAAGAGGAGAACAATAACAACTTGCATTTACATAGAGAGCTTGAAGGTAAGGAGCAAGGAGGAGGGATTGAGGGAGAGTCACAAAGCTTCGGGGTGTAGTAGTTTCCAGCGCCTTGGGACGTCCTCCCGACGTGAAAAGCGCTATACAAATGTAATCTTGTTGTTGTTGAAAGCACAGCCACCAATGGTGGAAGGGAGGCTATGAGCAGGAGACCAGAACCAGCTGAGCGGAGGCAAACAGGTAGTGGAGTGAGAAGAAAGCAGGTCAGAGAGGTAGGGAGGTAGGTAAGTTGCAGACATGCAACCTGGAAAAGATATTGTTCACAGAAACACAGCATTTTCTGTGCAGACACAGTGACGTGGAGGTCTCAGGCCTGGATAGATAGAAGCAATCATTTGTGTGGAAATATTTAATCGGAAATATTTTGTGCAGAACAAGGAGGGAATCTTCCACCTTCTACTCCTTGTCAACAGCACAGGACGCTTTATAGCCTGTAATTTGGAACGCAAGACTAAGACATAACTTGACGAGGATATATTCCAATTCAAATTTGCATTTATATAGCGCCCTTCACATCAGGGGGTTGTTCTAAAGCACGTAACAGTACTAGCTAGTGCAGGTAATCAACAACAAATTACATTTGTATAACGCTTTCACGTCGGGAGGACATCTCAAGCCCTGGACAATCAGGGATTTGGACCCGAGTGTCGGGGGGTGGGGAGCTGGGATTAGGAGGGGTTGGGATTTGGAGGCATGGAGTACGAAAGGTGATTGTTGGAACAAATGGGAGTTATTACCTGCTACAGGTAGAATATGTGTCCTTAATGCTGGGGATGGGAGAAGGTGACAAATGCTCCTCCAGGGGCTCTGGCAGTGGGTGATTTTCTATGCTGCTTCGAGACAGGCCACAACTGTGAGAGTAAATAGGATGTTTTAAGTCACATTGTTTCATAGATTTTTTTAAAAATACAATAACAATAATAACCCTTGCCGTATCACATCGTTGAGACGTCTCAAAACACTTCACAGAATATATTGTTTTATGGATTGACTATGTATTTTGTGGGCAAAATGCGGCAGCGAATTGTGCACAGCAATTTCTCACAAACAGGTGTGGATTGAGTGACCGTTTTTTTTTCAAGAATTATTACCCTAGTGGAAGCGATGCACCAATCGACTAACAATCGGGTTCCACTTACTGTTAGATAAACAGAGGTGTGTGGAGTAAAGAAACTTGGCTAAGGTTTCCCCCCCACCTGGGAATCGAACCCGGGTCTTCTTGCTTGCGAGGTGAGTGTTCCAACCAATATGTTGCAGGACTCCCAAGTTACATTTCCTAATTGCATTTTATTAAGGGTACAGCAGCATTGGTCTTGGGAATGGACAGGTTACAGGTTACAGGAATGGACAAGTCCCAAAACAAGATACATTCTTGATGTGTATAATAATAGAATAGAATAATAATCCTTGCATTCGATATAGCACCTTTTACATTGGAAGGCGTCTCAAACATAGAGGTTGTAACGATGTGATTTTTGTGGGCAAATGCACCAACAAAACCATTTGGATTAAAGGTAGGAGATTGAACTGCATGTGCAGCCGGCAAATCCTCAGACCATGACCAGCACCTACCTTGTGGAGATGTGGGTAGTTAGAGATTAGCAGGATAATAATAATCCTTGCATTTGGTATAGTGCCTTATCACTTTGTTGAGACGTCTCAAAGTGCTTTGCAGAATAAGTGAATTGACTGTGTATTTTGTGTGCGAATGAAGAATAATGAACAGTAAAGCCACGATCAGCCAAATCCCAGGTTGAAAAACTGCGGCTGGAAATACGATTTAACTGGTGTTATTACCTGCACATCCAATCGAAAAGCACTCGGTCTCGATCCCCAGCCCTCCGTAACGTGCTCGGGATCAATTAATAATTTATTTCAGCTTTATTTCTCGGAAGATCTTGATTCCTTGCCGGGCTGCTGACTGCCCACTAATATACCCGGCAGTCTAGACTGACTGCCAATGTTGGCCGGCTATTCAACCGTGGGGGCGTCACACCCAAGCCTGATCCTGGTTGCTGAGTGCTGGCAAAGAGGGGAGGGAACCCGCAGCCAATTCTATTTTCACCTGACAGCCCCCCGACCGCCCCCCCCCCCGCGCGCTTCCAGTGGCGGAAGGCACCCCCGACTGATTTCCTCTTTTCCCTTCGGCTTTCCTCGGTTCCCTTTGGGCTCCTCGAAGTTTGGCTCGGGCGCTCCAGGAGGAACGCACAGGTCCGTGCGCTGACCGCCGGCCGAGCGGTGACCAGAGGTATTGGGGGCACGCGAGGAACGAGCGGAAGGGGCCGACTGGCAGCACCCAAGCGCTTCGCAATGCCCGATCTCCAACGCGCCGCGCGCTCTGGGTGGGGAGATCCCCCCCACCCCCAAAAGCCTGGGCTCTTGCCAACCAAAGCCTAATACTCTCCAGAATTAGGTGAACAGGTCGCGTCTCTCCCAGGGGGGGAGGAGGAGGAGGAGGGGGCGGAGGGTGGATTCCATCCCAACAGCCTGAGTCCGGAATCTCCGATGTGGGTGAGAGGCTCAGTCTGGGTTTGGGTCGCGTTGGGCGATGGGCGCTCAGGGAATCAACAGATGATAAAAGACTCTCAAAACACTCACATCTCCCGGGCGTTCGAGACCGGCTTCCTGGAGTACCTGTTGATCATCGCTGCCTCGGCTCCCGGCTCCGCGCGGCGCACTGCTCCTCTGTGCGGGAGGCTCCCTCCCCGGCGGCGGCGGCGGGGGGGTGGGGGGACGCGGCGCATCCTCCGGCAGCCGAGGCCCGGCCCGGCCCGGCCCGGCGAGGCGGCCGGTCCGCCTGCGGCCTACAGCTCGCGTTCACTCGGCGCCCCCACCGCAGGTTCCTGGCGCGTGTGGCGGAGCGAGAGGCCGAGGCGCTCGGATTCCCGAGTCAAAGTTAATAGGCCGCCGGTTGCTTCACCGGAAACCGCGGAGGCTCGCCATTTCCGTGCGGCCTTTTGATCCCTGCGAACCGCGGCGCCATGGAGACGGCGGCCGCTCCGCCGCAGGGGCTGCTGGGATATGTAGTCCGCAGCGTCGCTGGTCGCCATGGAGACGGCGCCTCCGCCGCGGGCGCTGCCGGGACATGGAGTCCACAGCTTCACTCATCACCAGGACGCCAATGGGGCTCTCAGAGCAACACCACTGCTGCTGATTATATTTGCATTTGTTACAGCGCCTCATTATGTCGTCGAGACGTCCCAAAGCGCTTCGCAGGGTACACAGTAAAGTGGATTAATAATAATAATCCTTGCATTTGATATATCACATCTTCTCGACGTCCCAAAACGCGTCACAGAATATACCCTAAAGTGAATTGACTGTATTTTGTGAATGAACTATGTATATGTTATGGATTAACTATATATGTTTGTCCCACAACAGCCATCCCTCCAAAACAAAACAATAATAAATTGGTCATTTTCAATCTACGACTGTTTGTGGGACATTGCTGTGCGCAATTGGCTGCCGCGTTTGCCCACAAATATACAGTCAATTCACTTTACAATGTGTTCTGTGAAGCGCTTTGGGATGTCCTCCCGACGTGAAAAGCGCTATATCAAATGCAAGGATTATTATTATTATTATTATTATGGAGTGAGTGACCAATTTTATTTGGGGGATTGTTAAGATGTTGTAAAATAATTCTCCGCGGTTTAAGATTAAAAGGATTTTTTTTTACTGATGGTACAAATTTCATAAATACACTGTACACCACAGAATGGAAATCTGACCTCTGTGTTTCACAAAGACTATTATTGTCAAAACATCCTGTGTGGTTCCAAGCAACTGGAAAAACAAGAGGGCAAATTATCTCTTCAGCTACTTCTACCATCCCAAGTTTTGCGAGATTGAAATCAACAGATCAGAAGTTTGGGCAGATAGACCTTGCGACTACGATGTTACTATTGATTTCACGCAGTCTGATTTGAAGCCTGCTGTCTGATTTTGGTGGAAAGTTCAGGTATTTGGTGAGTACTGAGGTCCACTGAGGCGTCAGGCTCAGGCTTCTTCACGTCCTTTCAGGCTGGATTTCACTTTACGCTTTTCTTTCTGTCCTAAGACCCGGTAGATCTTCTTGCGAGCTTCCTTCTGCCTCTTAATCTTGTCTTCTTCCTGTTTCCGCTTCTGCTTGAGAAAGTCTTTGCGCTGCTGGCGATGCTTCACCTTCTCCTTCTGGACTTTGTGTCCGTGGACGGTACTCAGAGCGCCCAGCAGGGCGGAGATCTAAGGGTAGAATGATTAATTTAAGAAAGGGCCAGTTCATTTTCACATGCAGAAGGACATGTACTTAAAATGCTGATGACAACACAGCTTGGCTCATTGGAAGGACTTGAAGGGCAGACCAGTCACTGCGTGCAGGAATCCTCCCACTCAGCTCTTGTTTAACCCTGAAAGCCAAAGCCCTAACAGGTGGGGTGGTCCTAGCTGGACAAGCATCGGGAAAGCTTGCCAGACAGCGATATCAATGGCAAGCAATGTGGTCTTAGCTGATTAAACTCCAACAGTATCCCAACGCACACTCTAAGGGTCCCCAAGCCTTGGCTCCTACCGACCCTAATACTCCTAATACTTTCTGGAATTAGTGAGTAGGAAGCATCCCTCAGGGAGAGTGTGTGCATTCCATTGCAACAATCTATCTCTGGAATTTCCACGTGTAGGTGAGTTGCATGGAATTCTCAGTTTGGTTTGGATACTCTTACACATGGGTTTCGGCATGTGTCAGACACCACCCCCCACACCATCCCCCCAAATATACTGTGAAACAAATATGTGGCACTTCAGTGGAGCCACTGTGACCCAGGGTTGAGTGAGATTGGACTTCATTATATATGTATCTGTGCGACCCAGTTGTGTCCTAAACGGACTGTGACCGAAATGAGACTTTCATGTGTCAGGTGTCTGACGCTAGGATTTACCTTTTGCTCATATCTATCTCTGATGACTGCTGGTCGCTGGCGATCACGTCCCACTTTGGCCTTCTCCCCGAGAATCTTTGGCTTGTTCTTGAAGGGAAGAGCTTTCTGTAGTTCCTTGGGGATGTGCAAGGGATTGAAATGCCTCTTCTGCCTCTCAATGGGCTGCAGGGAAAATCCAGAGTTTCAAACCAAGATAACCACAGTAAAACACAGCAAGTGCACTCTCACTATCACAGAGGGTCAGGCAGCTACATGAGATTGCAGCTAGAGACAAACAGAATGGTTGGAATTATATCCAGAATTATATACAATATTAAGGAAACGTTGATGAATCTTTATAAGATGTTGCTGGTCACAGCTGGAATATTGTATGCAGTTTTGGACTTGTACTACAGAAAGGATATTAGAGCTATGAACTAATACAAGAACAACTTGCATTTATATAGTGCCCCTCACACTAGGGCATTGCTATAACTGTTTCAATCCATTCTGTCACTGCCTGGAAGGCTGATAATTATGTAGGTTTAGTGCTGGCAGAACACAAGCCTGGCTCAGTTGGTAGCACTCTTGTCTTCAAGTCAGAAGATTGTGGGTTCAAGTACCCACATTGGGACTTTGAATTCATCTAGTATAGACTGACACTTCAATGCAGTATTGGGGGTATTCAGACAAGACATACAATTGAGGTCCTGTCTGCCCCTGTTCAGGATGTTAAAGATCCCATGGCACTATTCAAAAAGAAAAGGAAATTTCTTCTGGTGTCTTGGCCAACAATCCCCCAAATAAAATTAGTTAGCACTTTATGGCTGCTTGTGGGACATTGCTGTGTGCAAATTGGCTACTAGTGTAGAAAATACACAGTCGCTACACTTTACAGTATATCCTGTGAGGTGCTTGGAGACTTTCTTCTGACTTGAAGGGCTATATATCAAATACAAGGTCTATCATGTTGTTAATTTTATTATAGACTTATGAGCTTTGCTGTTCAATATTCAGAGGGATAACTTGGCAATTGTTAGAGGGAATTGCAGTAAAGGACAAAGGGGGGAAGACTGGAAAAAAAATGGCTATAGAAAAATATTGTTTAAAGTGTATTGCACAAACCTTGTAGAGAGAATCCTTGTTTGGTTTTATTCTGATACCCAGGTCATACTTAAGCTGCCCCAAGCTCTTCATTCCAGTCCAGGTCTCCTTCTCACCACTGGGTCTCAGTAGGGATGTTACTGGATTATACAGTGTGGGCAAAGTGACAGGATACCATGTTCGTATGAAAACAATATCTGTACAGAAGCACAGAATAGGAAGTTAAATTGCCGAATGGTAAATTTGTGGATGTGAATCACTTAGTGATTCAATGGCACTACTCGAAAATAGATGAGAGTTTCTCCTGTATCCTGGGTAACAATTACCCAGGAAAAAAATGTTCATTTGATTCATGGCTGTGTGGATCAATGCCTTCTGAAAAACTGACTTCCACATTTGCCTACCATTACAATCACCAAGCTTTACAGAAAATTCTGTGAAGTGCTTTGAGATGTTTCAATGTGATAAGGCATATCAGGCACGGAATATGATGGTAACTTATTAAGAACAAGAGTTTAGAAAACAATGACCCTAGTGGGGTCTAATATGGAATATTTAACTAGTGGGTGCTGCTGTTTGCCAAGTGTGACAATTTCTGCCATGCACCAGAGAGAAACTCACCAATATTTAAAGCACAGCTTGATGCTGTGATGGGAGTACGGTAGGGTGGGTATTTTGGAAGGATGAGATCAGATGGGCAGAAGGGCCTTCTTAATCCGAACCAACTTGTGATCTTGTGAACACGAAGCCTTAACAACGATGCATTACTATTCTAAGTGCTGGTTCTCTGGGTTTCCTCTAACATTTTTCATCCTTGACTGAAGGATTCCATTTTTCCCTAAAGATCAGGGAAACAGTACCTCGCACACACGACCAGGATTTTCTTTCTAACGTGTCCCATAAGTATCACTGTGGGTTCTGGCATTTCTTAATTCCATCCAAGGCCCGATTTCAGAATAACACTCCCAGGGACAAACTACTCACCGCTCATCAGCAACTTATCCTCGAATGAGGCTCGGAACGCGCCTTCAGGAGTCCGAAGCGCTTTCTTCAGGATCCCGCGGATCCCGCTTACACTGCGGATGGCGGCACCCTCGAATTTAGCAACTTCCAGCATAGAGCTAAACATCCCCTGTGTGCAGAAGCAAGACATGTTTTCTGAACTACACCGGAAGGACCAAGCGTCATGGGGAATCTTCCCCCACTCATAGAGCAAAAAGGAGGAATAGTCTACACGTCTCACAGCAAAAAGAGATTTCTAGAGCAGCTGGTGTATCACACAGGCAGACAGGCCTCATTACATCACGGTTGATGCTTACCTTAATGAAGGAAGTGTTCTTGTAAATCTTGAATGGGTACCCGATCAGCTTCAGTTTCTTTACAATGGTAACAGACTTGTCCAGGTCAAGAACCACTCCAGTAGCTGCGATCCTGAAGTTTTTCTGGAGCGAAGACAAATACATGTTCAACTGCCATGTTGTTTGGGACATGACAAGTGCATGTGACTGCCAGGAAGGTGGAAGGTGAACTGGATGGACCTTGGTCTTCTTTTGTCTAGCAATTCTTAACTCCAGGGGAGCGGTGGATAGCCCAACGACAGAGAATAAGGGAACTATTTACTCATGGATGTTTATATTGAAGCCTCCAGAGTCCTTCCACCACTAATCAACCCCCCACCATCCCAACTGCCTTCACTATTCTGCTATGGTCAGTCTGGTCTGACACATGCAGAAACCCATCACCGTGTTTAAGAGAATCCAAACCAAAATGAGAATTCCATGCATTCCCACCTACACACGGAAATTCCAGAGATAGATTGTTGGAATAGAACGCACTCTCTCCCTGGAGGGATGCTTTCCTAAATCCGGAAAATATTAGGCATAGGATGGCAAGAGCCAAGGCTTGGAACCCAGAGTGTGTGTTGAGGTACTGGTGGAGTCTAACCAGCTAAAACCGCATAGCTTGCCATTGATATCACTGTCTGGCAAGCTTTCATGCTGCTTGTCCAGCTAGGACCACCCTAACTGTTAAGGTGTTGGCTTGCAGGGTTAACAGGACCTGAGTGGGATGATTCTCTGCCCCTCTGCCCTTCGAAGTCCTGCAGATGAGCCAGGTTGGTTCTGTGCTGTCATCGGCAGTGCCCTGGAATACTGCGGCCCGCCTGGCTCAGGAACAGGACTAGAGAACGTCACAGAGGGATGGCTCGATTCTGACATTTCATTACCTTCCCTACTGTATCCCAACACACACAGACATCATCACGGTTCACACTCACCGTCACCCCAGCCACAGATTGAACTGCTAAGAAACCAGTGCCCTGCGGAGTGATGGGACCTGGAGAAAGCAAAGAAAAATGTGCGTTTGGGATTTCTTCTCCATAGAAACAAACCAAGAGACACTAAACTAGTTAAAAGTAATTAGTCCTGTAAGTATTGTTACAGTGAAGCCAGGATTACTTTACAGAAAATCTAGTTTCATTATATTGCAAGTAGGCAGGAGATAATGTAATATGCGCAATTGCTGCCACGTTTCACCCATAAAATGTACAGTAAATTCACTATACAGTATATTCTATGAAGCTCTTTGAGCCGTTTCAATGACGTGATAAGGCGCTATAGGAAATGCAAGGATTATTATTATTAATGTTTTCACACTTGATCTTGGAAAATGCACTAGCTATCTAATGGGCATTTGTAGCATTACAACATAAGGTGATGATTCTTCACTCTGGTATTGGGATCCAAAAAAAAGGGGAGTGGTGTTAAAATTAGAGCTCAGCTGGTCAGAAGAGAAAAAATATACTTTGTACTCCAATAGACAGATACATAGGAAGTCAATATCGTTAAGTGATGTGGAAAAAAGGCAGGGAAATGGGATCAAAAAATATCCTACTACTGAATAAAATGGCTTTCTGTGTTCCTATAGTATGTCTTCAGTTCTCCAAGATGCTACCCCACACGTAGGGCACTATATAAATGCAAGATGTTGCATGACGTTAATAACAGCAAATGCAAATATTACAGTAAAAGGCTAATATAAATCCAGGAGCCCTTTCTTTCCATCATTCCTTTAACTCATGTTGCTAAATTGTAACTAGCCAAAGACGAGGATGTTTCATTATGGTCCAAGTGTGTGTGTGTGTGTGTGTGTGGGGGGTGCATGCCTGCCTGTCAGCAACACACAGATATCCGATGCTTTAAGTCAAGCAGAACTCAGATCTGATTTGTACAAATCCCAACACTTACCCCATATGGAGGCAGAGCAGTGCATGTGCTCGGGGGTGTACTTGAGCAGCCTGTGCCTTCCATTGTGGTCCTCGATGTAATACATAGGGATGGTCTGAAAACGTCTCCAGCCCAGCGAGAAGATTAGAGGGTCTCTCGTCTTCAGGATCTTCTTGTGCCATCGGTGCTTCTTCAAACGCATCTGTTCCAGAGATAGAGAGGAAAGGCATGGATTGGTCAGAGTTACCAGGTCACTTTTTGGTTGGAGCCATCTGTAATACCAATAATTCTTGCATTTGATAAAGCATTTATCACGCCGTTGAGACGTCTCAAAGCGCTTCACAGAATATATCGTAAATTGGATTGACTGTATTTTGTGGGCGAAACGTGGCAGCCAATGGCACACAGAGGTGTCCCACAAAGTCTGGATTGAGTGACCAAATTATTATTGAAGAATTTATTACCCGTGGAAAGCAATCGGCCAATCGACTAACAACAGGTTTCATACTTACTGTTAGGTAAACAGAGGTGTTTGGAGAAAAGAAACTTGCCTAAGGTTTCGCCCTGCACGGGAATTGAACCCGGATCCTCTCGCTCGCGCGGCAGGTCACTAACCACTACGCTACAGGACTCTACGATATCTTGCAGGAGACAAGATTATGGATTAGCCAAGAGACTTCAGCACCAGCGAGCTCAATACCTGCACATATCCGATATTTCCTTCAGTGCTTTTCAGGCCTCCGAGAATCAGTGGATAGTGAGCATCAAAATTGGCCACAAATTCGCAGGGAACATTGTTAATCTCAACCCGGACATACATTCCCGGCCTAAAGCCCTCATACTGGACACGAATCTCATCATCCTGGTCTTCAAATTCAGCACGGTTAAGCTGTTTAAAGGGAGGGAGAGAAAGAGAAAAGGGGTGGGAGAGACAGATGGACAGAGGGGGGGACATGGAGAGGGAGACAAAGAGGGACCAGAGAGAGGGGAGGGGGAAGAGGGGAAGAGAGAGAGAGAAGGGGGGTGGTGAAGGGAGAGAGAGAGATAATACTTTATTAAAAATCATCAGGAGATAAAAGCTGATTTTGTTTTGAAGATCAGTGCAGATCAGATTTCACACAGTCTTACTCCCAGCGATCACCAAATTCAGGATGTGGCACCAGCTCGTAAGCCTCAGTCACAGATGAACACTCCTTACTTGGTAGTTCCTGTTTATTCCCATTTAGATCCCACCTTCCCCTCCCCTCGAAAACAAGATTACATTTGTATAGCGCCTTTCATGTCGGGAGGATGTTCCAAGGTGCTGGACAGTTAGGGATTTGGACCCAAGTTGGGGGAAATAATGGCATGATTTTCCCGTTCAACAACCCTTTAGGAGTTTTTGCCCTGCACGGTCAATGGGTTAAGCAGTCAGAGCCGCCACCTGTATGAGTCTATCCAGCCGGCTACAGGATGTTGACAACGTGTTATAAGCTTCCCTCGAGTGGTTCACTTAACAACAACAAGACTACATTTGTATATCGCCTTTCACGTCGGGAGGACGTCCCAAGGCTCTGGACAGAGTACAACATTTCAGACCCAAGCTGGGGTCGGGGGGGGAGAGGGGAGGGGAAGGGGCGTGGCCGATGGCATGGTCAAAGAGGAGGCAGGACTTGAAGGAGGCTAAGGAGGGGGCGATGCAGAGTAACTGGGGGATGGAATTCCAGAGGTTGGGGGCAGAGTGGCTGAAGGCTCTCCCGCCAATGGTGGGGCAGCTGGGGTGGGGGACACAAAGCAGGCCTACAATACTGGCCTGGTTTCAGGGAACATTGTCCGTACCTGGGCCTGCTTATGCATTTCATCCTTAAGATCGTCGAAGTACGTTCCTTCCCCTCCGTCGTATTCCAAGTCAAACATTTCCTTCAACTTCCGTTTTTTTGCCAAACGCTTATTCTGTTTCTCGTCTTCTGGATGTGCAGCATTGGCTTTATCTTCCTCATCTTCCTCATCCTAAATAAGGAAGCCAAAGTTATTCCCTTTACTCTCAAAGGCACCTGAAGATGCCATGCCACAAAGTGTTCAATATTGTGAGCAGGTTTGAAATACAATTGCAGGCTGAAAATCAGGAAGAAATAACAGACAAGAAGAAAAACAGGTTTCTTTAATTCTGTGGTCCCTCTCTTCTCCCCCAGCCCTTATATTTTTATTCTTATTAAATCTTTTAAAATAATAATAATCCTTGCATTTGATACAGGATCTTATCACGTGATGGAGACGTCTCAAAGCGCTTCACAGAATATACAATAAAGTGAATTGATTGTGTATTTTGTTGGTAAAACACGGCAGCCAACTGCACACAGCAGTGTCCCTTAAACAATCGTGGATTGAGTGACCCAAATTATTTATCTTTTTTTAACATGATTACTACCCCCAGAAGTGACCTGCCAATCGACTAACAACTGGATTCCTACTGACTCCTGGCTAAACAGAGGAAACTTGCCTAAGATTTCACCACATCCGGGTCCTTTCGCTTGGAGGCGAGTGCTCCAATCACTGTGCTACAGGACTCCATGTTTGTTGCAACAACATCAATTTGCATTTATATAGCACCCTATAGGATAACGTCTCAGAACGTTACACAATGGTGAGACTGGACACTGAGCCAGGGAGAAGGAGATATGACCATAATTGTGGTCGAAGAGGTAGGTTTTAAGATGGGATTTAAAGACAATAACAACAACAAATTACATTTACACAGCGCCTTTCACATCAGGAGGGCATCCTAAGGTACCGGACAGGGAGGGTAGGGGTAGGAGGGTGACCGAAGTATGGGTCGCAGTGGAAGGTTTTGAGAGGGCCTTGAAGGAGGCAAGGGAGGGTATGAGGCGAAGGGAACTGTGGGATGGAATTCGAAAGAGTGGGATAAAAAGACATAAAGAAGGGATAAGGTGGAGGGATAGAGACAGGATTCATAAGTCTTGCAAACTTACACTCAAATGCCTGTTGATTTATAATGATTTTATCCTTACCTCCTCCTCATCCTCCTGCTTGGGTTTCCCCTGATGAACATCTCCTGTCTCCAGATCCTGAAATGTTCCGTACAAAGAATCTGAAAGAGAAGCAAATACTAAATAAATTCCCAGATGCCTGCAACTGAATCAGCATACATAGAGGGAGTAGCTCTCCAACTGTCTGCAACACCCTCCATCCCACCTTTCCCTCCCCACACACACAGGTGGGGAGCAGGAGCACAAAAGCAAAATTAATGAGACGATTATAAAGTAGCACATCCACATTCAACTTCCTCGATATGAATATGTGGGCATGATGGGTGTGTATTCAACAGTGAATTTGTGCCTGATAGACTGTGTGTGCAAGTTACACTACTCTTCCCCCTGAGAACATACAGTAATACTTGCATAAATCTTAAATCATATATTCACCGGAGTCCCATTCAGTTTCCTATCAAAACCACTTTGATTTCTTTACACTACTCATATTGATCACCTCCTAACTCATAACGCCACTGCCCTACCCTCCATTACTCCCCCTTACCGTTTGCTTTGAGTCGTGAGAAAAGACATCCTGACTCGTTGATACACATGCATTTACCGACTGCATTGAATGACGGGAAGCATAGTCTTCATCTATTGCAGCACACGCAGAAGAACTCCATTTCCCGCGATTCAAATGCTTGTAGGTAAGTGCACATGCGATGATGGGTCAAGACGCATTGAATAGGGAGAAATGTAGTCGTGACCTGTTGCCGCCTGCACACTTACCAGATGACGTGAATTATGCACACACAGTTTAGATTATTGATTAAATCAGATATTCTACGATTTATAAATTTGCCTGCAGCTTGGACTTCACGCAAGTCAGATTAAATGCTATGGTCCCGACTGATACAATTTATGTGAGTTTTACTGTTATCGTTCTATTTCAGTAACAGAACTCAATGAGTTTTTAAGAAAATCTCCACATACCATCTTCCTCCAGGAGAGCAGTTGCATCCTTGTCCGCTTCCCATTTTCCCGTGACAAAACAGTCTCGGATACAGTTCATCACCTGCACACAAAACCAAATCAAGTTATATTGACAGACGCTACATTCACAATTTCGCAGACGAAGCATTATTCATCTTAGTTCATCCCGGCTCAACTCAACCTCATCATAGCTCAGCCATTCCATAGTAATAATAATCCTATTAATCCTTGCATGTGATATAGGGCCTCATCATAGTAAACTGTTAACAATAATCCTTGCATTTGATATAGCGCTTTTCACGTCTTCTAGATGTCTCAAAGCGCTTCACAGAATATACTGTAAAGTGAATTGACTGTATATTTGTGAGCGAAATGCGGCAGCCAATTGCGCATAGCAATGTCCAACACACAGTCATGGATTGAGTGACCAAATTGTTCTTATTTTTTGGAGAGATTATTATCCCCGGAAAGTGATCCACCAATCGACTAACATCCGGGTTCCTACTTGTGTGCGTGGAGTAAGGAAACTTCACCCCGCTGAGAATCAAACCCAGGTAGTCTCACTTGCGAGGCGAGTGCTCTCACCACTATGCTACAGAATTCCACGTAGCAAAACCAGCATACACAGGACGGGTACCAATCACTTGTCAGATGCTGGCACATAGACTACGACATCACAGCAGGGATCAGAAATCCACTGAGAAGGAGATGACAAGATAGTAGCGTGGATTCACAAGGACGAAAGCAGCAAAGGCGGGCTAATGTACAGTGAAAAGTTTGTCAGCTTGGCTCAGGGATGTGAGATTAGGAGGAGGTAGTGTGTGGTATCAGAGAAGGTTTTGCAGTTGAGGAAGTTTGATGGCTGAATGTTCATCATCTGTTCCTAAATTGTCAAAACACGTTTTACTTCATAGAAGTCAACCCATTGGCACAACCTCCTTTTACTTAGGCTTCACTGTGCTGAGAAGCAGGTACCAGCCACTGTCTCTTGTCCTCACCTCCTCCAGGTCCCAATCTTGAGGCTTTTCCACCAAGAACTTCGAGGAGTCCAGACCATTAGCCCTCTGTCTGGAGTCCCTGTCCGACCTGGTGACACGGAAGAGTCCTCCCAAGATATCCTCCTCATCCGAATCCTCATTCTCTTCAGCCACTGTAAACAGAGTTCAGAAAGATCTCATCTCATTTCCCTCACCACTCCCTTCGCTTGTACCAGCCTGTTTCATGCCTCCTCTACTCCACCCCATCATCAGTGGGTGGGCTACCCCTGTTGTCAGAAACTTCACGCCATGCTCCCTCCCTCCCCTCGTTGCATTGTATTGTACTCAAAAAATTACAAGCAGAGTGTTCAATATTGTACTCCTCAAAACCCAAGCAACTTCAATAGTGTGGACCTCTCCACCGCTCCACTATGTGCACCTGAGAGACAAAGCCCAGCATCCCAAGTCCCAGCAGAAGGTCAGGCACTGTTCTATTTATTCCAGGCCAAGTGGCTAGGATATCCACAAGGGTTAATAAGTTGACACTATGACATTTCCCTGTACAGTGGGCAGTAACTGACAGGTTCAATCACAGCCTCACTGTACGCACTCCGCCTCCCCTTACCTGCTCCGTACACCAGCTTGCGAAGATTCGTCACCGACTGCTGCCGCCGTAGAAACGAATCAGCTGCTCGCTCGGCCAGGCCTTCCTTCCACTTCAGCGACCCTGCACACACACAGCAAGTGTAACACGCACACTGCTCAAACGTAATCCAACAACAACAACAACAAATTACATTTGCACAGAGCCTTTCACATCGGGAGGACGTCCCAAAGCTCTGGACAGTCAGGGATTTTCGCCCGAGTTGGGGTTTGGGATCAGGAGGGGTGGAGGGCAGGGAGGGTAGAGGTAGGAGGGTAACTAAAGGCTCAGTCGAAGAGGAGGGCCTTGGAAGGAGCAAAGGAGGGGGCGAAGCAAAGGTACTGTGGGATTGAGGCTGAAGGCCCAACCGCCGACAGTGGGGTGGGCAGGGCGGGGGCCATAGAGCAGGCCAGTGCCGCTGAACGGAGGGAACAAAAACAACAACACAATTACATTTGTAAAGCGCCTTTCACGTCGGGGGCAGATAGTTTGTTATGAAGTTAGCACGTCACAGAGGTAGGGAGAAGCAAGGCCATGAAGGACCTTGGAAAGGAGGACAAAGATTTTGAATTCTATCCTGCTGTAGAAAGGAGCCAGTGGGGCCGGACTCCATTATCATTAATGGGTGTCTGACACATGTGGAAACCCATCACAGGGCTTAAGAGTATCCAAATCAAATTGAGAATTCCATGCATCCCACCTACACATGGAAATCTCGGAAATAAGATTGCAGGAATGGAATGCATCCTGCTTAGCTAGAAAAAGGTACCAGACAAACGTCTTTTCACACACCTGCAGTTTCTGCAGTAGAATCAATACGTTCCTCATAATCCTCTTCTTTCAGAAGTTCTTCAATTTTGCTGTCTTCCTGGCTCAGAGGCTTGTCCTTTGTCCCCTCTCGACTGCTCAATGCTGCCTGCCTGTCCAGATCTGCCTTGGAGTCCAGATCTTCACCTCCACTGTCAGAGACCTCCCCCTCTGATGATTGCTCCTCTTCTGTGCAGTTGCCCGAGTCAACTTTAGGAAGCCTTTTACCACCCAGAACTGTGCCTGTACTTGTTCTGGACTTTGTTGTTGGCTCCCTTGATATTTTATCATCAGGGAGACAATCAACCTCCTCAGTATCGTTCACCTGCTCTCGGTCACCCTTCTCCTCGTCGCTGCTCTCCTCGGTCTTCGAATCCTCTTCAAGGTCATCATCACTATCCGCAAACACTGGCATTTCGGCGGGAATGCCCGTCTGATTCTCCTCCAGCCTCAAACGTTTAACTGGTCGCAGGTCAGTGGCTATTTTTGAATCCACACTGTCATCATCATCCTCCTCCCCATCTTCTTCACTATCTTCATCTTCATCACTCTCTCCTCCGCCTCTTCCTCACTCTCTGCCTCATCCTCGCTTTTCTCCTCCCCCTCGCCTTCGCTCTCACTCATCTCTTCCTCCTCGTCCTCAAACATGGCCTTGCGACGTACTTGGCCACTCTCGGGATCAATGACTTTCTCCTCTCTGGGCATCTGGCATCTGTTTTGCAAAGAAAATCTGATGTTAACTGGTTTTATTGCCTTCATCAGGAACAAGCAGTTCTCATCTTTCCCTGTACTCGGAAGAGAATTGTGTGTCAGTCTGACTCACTTGCCTCTGAGTCAGAAGGTTGTGATAAGGCACTATATCAAATGCAAGGATTCTTCTTATTATTATTGTGGGTTTAAGACTAGGCTGATACTTAACACAGCGCTGCATTATCAGAGATACCATCCTTTGAATCAGACGTTAAACCGAGGCCTCCTTTGACTGTTCAGGTGGACAGGGGAAAGGGGAGTTTCTCCTGTTTTTCTGGCGAACAACCGCCCAAATAAAATTAGTCATTCACATCATGGCTTTTTGTGAGACATTGCTGTGTGCGGGATATTGCTGTGTTTCCATAAAAATTCACAGCCAAATATACTTCACAGTAAAATCCTGTATCGTTCTCAACAATGCAATAAGGTGCTGTATCAAATGCAATGATTATTGTTATATGATGCCTTATCAGGCTAATGTAACGTTTCAAAACACCTCGCAGGATTTACTGTAGTGTCGTGACTGCCAATTTACAAACAGTATTGTCCCACAAGCAACCAGCAGGTGAACGACCGATTTTTATCGGGCAATCGTTAGCCCCAGGACACTGGGAGAAATTCTCTTCTCCTTTCAAATAGCGCATGGTATCTTTAACATCCACCTCAACAAGCACACAAGATCTCGGTTTAATAAAAACAATAATTGATACTGCGCCTTATCACGTCATTAAGGTGTCTCCAATTGCTTCACAGAATATACTGTAAAATGAATTGACTATATATTTTTGGGGTGAAACATGGCAGCCAATTATTTAATTGTTTGTTTTTTGAGGGATTACCACCCCTGGAAAGTGATTCACCAATCGACTACCAAACAGGCAGTCGATTACCTACTGCTAGGTAAACAGAAGCGTGTGGAGGAAGGAAACTTGCGAGGCGAGTGCTCTGACCAATACGCTGCAGGACTCCACGTCTTCAGATGAGATTTAACATCTGCCACTGCCCCCCACCCCACCAGCCCCCCTAAGCGCTCCACTGGAACATCAGCCGAAACTGCGAGCAGAATACCTGGCTTCCTCCACGTCCTCCGATGCCAACGGTTTGGAGTCCTTGAAGAGCGAGACTTTGCTGGAGGCCATTTTGCTGTCGATGGTGGTGTGTGTGGCAATCAGGCTCTGCACTAGCTCGTGAGTGGGCCCATGCTCTTCCTGCAAAACAAACAGGACTTTGTTAGCAACAATCAAAACCACCACAGAGAACTGTGCTCACCCACTGCATCGCGTCACCCAACCCCAGGCCACATTCAAACACTTTTGAGAATAAAGTGTACCAGAAATAGAACCATAGAAATGTACAGCACACGCAGCCATTCAGCCTATTGTGCCTGTGCTGACTCTCTGAAAGAGATCTCCATCCGAGTCCCATTCTCCTGCCTTCTCCCCAATGCCGAATGCAGTGCAAATGTCCCAGACGTGTGGAGTAAAAAAAAAACTTGCCTACAGTTTCGCCCTGATCGGGAATCGAAGCCGGGTCCTCTCAGTTGCGAAGAGAGTGCTCTAACCACTGAACTACAGGCGCCATATGCTAACTAGGGATCATCTTCTCGGTCCTCAGTAGAACATCCAGCGACTTATCTCAGGTGGCAGATGCTTCCTGACCCCCATAGACTGCATCTCAGCACCAGTCGCTAGAAAAGCAGAGAACTGCTAAAGAGCAGTCAGTCTCTGAAGTCGGTTACCTCTTTCGAGTGCATGTGGCTTCCCCCTAGGTCGATGTACACAGCATCCTTGTCGTAAACCACCCCTCCGACACCGGACATGGGGGCGAAGATCAGCCTCTCCTTCTCATTCAGAGAACGTTTCTTCTGCTGTTCTGGGAGGGGGCAGGGGTCCAGGAGGAAACTGACATCACGAAGACTAAAGTCACCCACACCTGGAGAAGCAAAACACAGGCAGAATAGGAATTTGCACCCACAAACGTTTATCAAATTAACAGTCATATATTGCAGCATTGCAGAAAGTATCCTTGCATCTTATGATAAGAAATATGTATTGTTAGAACTTAGAATGTCAAGACGCCTCAAAGCATTTTGACTGTCCATTGTTGAAACTTTTTGTCCGTAGGCATTTTATCACAGCACGGTCATTCACTAACCCGAGGTAAATAACCACTTTATCCACAGGATTGTTAGTCATGGGAAACTCTGTTCTGTTTTTCAAGCGCGACTGTATATTTTGTAGGTGAAATGCGGCAACCAATTGCACATATCAGTGTCCCATAAACAGCAGTAGATTGAGTGATCAAATTGTTTTTGTTTTTAAAATATTTTAGAAAAGCGAAAAGGGTACTGATTAGTGCGAGTGCGCTAACCACTACCCTACAGGACTCATGACACATACACGAGAGAGAGGAATAGAGGGGTGGAGGCTTGCATGGAGTATAAACACCGGCACGGACTAACTAGGTGGATGGGCTGTTTTTGTGCAGTATCATCGTGAGTAACTGTGCAAGTGGAATGTGTCACCTGGAATATGAACCTGACTGTTGTTCCTGATGTATGTTCCCCGCAGGTAGCCATACAGCGAGACTTTGCGGTCACACTTCTGATTGATGCGAACCTCCTCTGGGTTGGTCAGATCTTCCATTCTGTAAGGCAGGAGATACCACTATCTCTTTAGACACACGTACTTGTATCACAGTATAAGCAGAGCTCATCAAAGTAACAATGTGTTTTTAGATGTTACAAGATCCCTAAGCAGGATGTGTCCCTCCAGTGCTTCACAGTAAAGTGGATTGACTGTACATTTTGTGGGAGAAATGCGCCAGTCAATTGCACACAGCAGTGTCTCACAAACAGTCGTGGATTGAGCGACTACATTTTTGGAGGGTGGGGGGGGCTTATTACTCCCAGACAGCGATCCTCCAATCAACTAACAATAGGGTTCACACTTACTGCTAAGTAAAAAGAGGTGTGTGGAATAAGAAAATACGCTTAAGATTTCGCCCCATCCAGGAATTGAATCCAGGGCCTCTCGCTTGCGAGGCGAGCAGGCTAACCACTAAGCTACAGGACTCCACACGATATGACTCTTCATCGTAGGCAAGCCAGAACAATGAGAATTGGCAAGTTATTTAACAGTGGGAGCATTGCAGTCAAGCCCAACCCTTCCAGCAGCTTGTTAGAGCATTATGGAGTTTACAGCTTCCCCCCCAGTCATTACCTAGTTGGGCAGCACTCAGACCATGCTGGAGGCCAAACTCACTCCCAGTGTCGGCAATGCAGAATTCCCTTTCTGTTCTCTTTCACCTCCCTGGAAAGTCATCGCATTAAAGCCACGGGCTCTGTTTGTGTTCCGTAAAATCCTGCGCACCCACCTGTCGGCCAGGATGTAGGGATGAGCTGTTTGCCACACAAGGGGCCGGAACTTCATGACGGAGATGAAGCGGCCCAGGTTGCGGACTTCCTGCTTCTGGTACTCGCTGTGGACCATCCCCGACAGGTAAAAGAGCTTTGCTCCCTGGCGAACACAGACAAGACGTCACGCCTCGCTTCAGCCGAGACAGGCAGCAATTCCATGGACACAAATTCCCAGTACCTCGTCCCAAGGGGCCACTCGTCAAATCCCTATTAACAATCCTTGCATTTTATAATGTTGTTTACAGATTAACTGACTGAACATAGGTAGGGTTTGGTGGTGGGAGGGAGGAATTAAACCATGATTCTGCTCTAGGCTCAGTAACACACTCTGACCACCCACACCCACACCAGTTGCCTGTACCTGGTAAACCTCCGTCCAGAACCTGTGCTTCAGCCTCTTCTTTGTCTTCCTCAGCTGCTTGTTGTTCTTGAAGCTGTCCAAGTGGGTGAGGACCCCCATGATCTTGGGGAAGCCGTGCACCTGGCAGATGTTCAGGAATTCAAACGTCTCCATCTCAAAGCCAAAGCTGGCATCGATCAGCATCAAAACCTGCCGAGAGCAGAGACTCACTCAGACCCACAGACCCCGCACAACTCAGCCACTGCGCACCATAGCAATAATAATAATCCATGCATTTGATATAGCGCCTTATCACATCATTGAGATGTCTCAAAGTGCTTCAAAGAATATTTTGTAAAGTGTATTGACTGTGTATTTTGTGGACGAAACGCGGCAACCTGTCATGGATTGAGTGACCAAATTTATTTATTTATTTGGAGGGCTTATTATCCCCAGAAAGCGATCACTTTGCACAATACGTTGGTAGATCCTTTCTCAACTTGAAACCAGTCTCTTTACTTCAGCTACAGATTGGCACTAAGTATAAAACCTATTTCCCTTTGTTAACATTTTCATGATATTTGCATCAAAATGTTGCTTTTGATATATTTTCATCACATGCTTCCAGTGTTGGCATCTTGGTTAGACACACAGTAAAGCTCCCTCAACACTGTCTGTCCACACTTGCAGGTCAGTGACACCACAGGTTAGAGACACAGTAAAGTCACATTAAGCGTCAAGAATATTGTGTAAAAGGTGTACTGGGAAAATAAGATTCAGTCACTGAGCCAACACTGTCCATCAGGTAACACTTATTCTGTGTGAAGAAACCAAAATGAAAAAAAAACACCTACGAGATCAGCCACTTTGGCCAAGTCGATCATACTGTTGATGTCGTTCCTGCATTCAATAATGGTGAGACGCCGCTTTTTGCCTGTTGGGATCCAAAGTGAAGGGTTTACATTGTGAAACAGTAGAGGGGTTCAGACGGTTCCAGGCTTTGTATCACTGAGATGTTGAGAGAGCCTAACAAACTGGATTATATTCACAAGAGAAACAGTGCGTGAACAGGAAAGATCCATAATGTTTCCAAAACTATTGGAGCATTTAATTTTCAAGTATAGCAAGGCTGCTTCCATCCAAGCAAATGCAAGGATTGTTAGTATTAGGGAGGAAGGGAGGGAAGGAGTGGGGGAAGGAAGGGGGGAGGGAGGTCGAAAGAGACTTGCTGCCTTTGAAAACAAACACACTCATTATCTCACATACCTGAAACAATGGTGACAGGACCCCTGATGTCTGTCAGTTTTTGCTTGGTGAAGTTGCGAATAAGGCACTGGATCAGAGTGCTCTTGCCCACCTTTGGGGGTCCTACCACCACCACGACAATAGGCGGCGGTTCAAGGGGAGTGCGGTCCACCACGGGAATATGATGCTTTTTAATCTTCAAGTCCTGTGTCCTGGTTATAACAATAAAAAGGATTAGTTAATAATAATAATAATAATAATCCTTGCAGTTGATGGCGCTCATTCACTCTGATCCTCTGGACGTCTATCAGGCACTGATTTCCTTATTAAAATTCGAGCGGATGAGATACCACAAGACTTAATGAGGAAATCAGTGCCTGACCTTCCATCAGGAGGTGCAGGACTTTGTGGACACCCTGCAGCTCGATTTTTGGGGAATTTTCAACTGAACCAGAAGCCATTGATGTTCAAACCTTGACCTTTGGCAAAGTTTTGCAACCTGCACGAGCGCCGTTTTAATAATAATAATTCTTGCATTTGATATAGAGCCTTATCACTTCATTGAGACATCTCAAAGGGCTTCACGGAATATACTGTAAAGTGAATTGGTGGTATATTTTGTGGGCGAAATGTGGCAGCCAATTGCATACAGTAGTGTCCCACAAAGAGTAAATTAAGCAGTTTACAAAAGGAAAAATCCCCAGCGACATTAAATCGCTGCTCTAACGCTACCTGTGCATGCAAAAAAAAACAGGGTAGGTTTTTATTAACAAATTGCCCAACAAGAAGTCAGTCGGAATTGAACTAATTGCAGTTAACAGAGAGCTTTGCACTTCCAACTCTTCAGCTATTGGAAACCAAGAACGATTAGTGGAAGATGAGATGTTTCAGACACACCCCAAAAGCAATGCACTTAGAGCTGAAATAAATAGTGATCAGCACAGCTCTCTAACCTATGGAAGGTTTTGGCCATCCTGACGGCGGACTGGACGGCGAAGGCCTTGGGGTTTCTCTTGCGTGGGTCAGTTTCATCGCCGATCCCCAGGTTCTTCAGATGGCGCTTCCTCTTCTTCTCAGCCTTTGGGCCGCTGTGGCGCTGGTGGTGCAGCCTCTTCTGCTTCCCCTCCTCCATGCTGCGATCTTTCAGTTCACGGTGTTACCACACCAGCAGCTTCAGCCGATTTCACTGCAACTCGGCACGTCTCACTGCACAGACAAATAATAATAACAATTAAACACTTGTACTGAATACAATTAACTACTTCTAAACACAATGTTTCTGTTGTTGGTCAGTGCACTGTGGAAAAAGAACATGGGGGAAACAGGACTTTGTGAACACCCTGTAAGTGAAACAAAACGGCTCAGATTTGAATCACTGGTCTGTACCGAGTTAGCTGATCTCCAATGAGTTATTAATAATCCTTACATTTGATAGAGCACTTTACTTTGTTGTTGAGATGCCTCAAAGCATTCACAGAATATATTGTAAAGTGAATTGACTGTCTATTTTGTGGGCGAAAAGCGGCCAATTGCACACCGCAGTGTCCCACAAACAATCATGGATTGTATAACCAAATTATTATTTTTATTTACTTATTTTTGAAGGGATTATTACACCCGAAAAGCAACTAACAACTGGTTCCTACTTACTGCTAGGTAAACAGAGGCGTATGGAGTAAGGAAACTTGCCTAAAGTTTCGTCCTGCCCAGGAATCGAAGCTGAATCGCTTGTGAGACAAGTGCTCTTAACAATCCGCTACAGGATTCCACAAATGTACCAGGTTTCACATTTCACGTTTTAAATCCAGGCTTTGTTTGCAGAATCGTTAAAGAAAAATGTAAACAGGTACCAGGTGTGTGAATAAGGGACTTGTAATATGCCTGAAGCTAATAAATATTTTTGTTAGCTAAGAGTTTCAAGGGATATTGAGCAAAGGCATGTAATTGGGATCTAATAGTATGGCGGAACAGGCTCGAGGGGCTGTATGGCCTCCTCCTATTCCTATGTTCCTGTGCTCCTTGCCCTCCAACCCTTTTGCCTCCAACCTCCAGCTCGGGTGCAAACCTTATTGTCTAATGCCTAGAGACGTCCTCCCAACATGAAAGGCGCTGTGTAAAAGCAATTAGTTGTTGTGTTGGCTGAATACATGGAGGTGGAGGAGGGGGTTATTTATTACTCAGCTCAGACCCGGGCGCTCTCTCTCTCTCTCTCTCTTTGGGGATAGATAAGAGGCTGGGATTGTGGGGGGTAGTGAATGGGGGTTTATCTGCCCACCCCCCACTCTCTCCCCCCACCACCTCTCTCTCTCCCCACCTCTCCTCTGCTCCCCCACTCTCCCCCCCCACTCTCTCCCCCCACCTCTCTGCCCCCCCACTCTCTCCCCCACCTCTCTCTCTCCCCCCCAACTCTCTCCCCTCCCCACTCTCCCCCACCTCTCTCCCCCCCTCTCTCTCCCCCCAACTCTCTCCCTCCCCACTCTCTCCCCCCACTCTCTCCCCCCACCTCTCCCCCCACCTCTCTCTCTCCCCCCAACTCTCTCTCTCCCCAACTCTCTCCCTCCCAGTCTCTCCCCCCACCTCTCTCCCCCCCACTCTCTCTCTCCCCCCACTCTCTCCCCCCCCACTCTCTCCCCCACTCTCTCCCCCCACCTCTCTCCCCCCACCTCTCTCTCTCCCCCCAACTCTCTCTCTCCCCCCAACTCTCTCCCCTCCCCAGTCTCTCCCCCACTCTCTCCCCCCACTCTCTCCCCTCCCCCACTGTCTCTCCCCCCACTCTCTCCCCCCCAACTCTCTCCCCTCCCCTCCCTCTCCCCCCATATCTCCTGTCTCTCACACACACACTCTCCATCCACGGCCTCTCCCGGGGGTCTCTCCTCCCCCCTCTCCCCTCCCCCCTCCCGGGGGTCTCTCCTCCCCACTCTCCCCTCCCCCCTCCCGGGGGTCTCTCCTCCCCCGAGGGCTCCTGTCCCGGGGTCCGGGTCCCTCACCCGCTCTCAGGCTCCTGTTCACTTCCCAGCACGTGAAGTCACACCGGAAGTGCGCCACTGAAGCGGTCCGGCCGAGGAGCAGCAGAGCGCGGTGTTCGGTTCCGGGTATATTCCGCCCCCCCCCCCCCCAGGGAGGGACAGGTCGGTTGCTCCAGTTTTCACCAACGTTGACTCTGGTGATAACTCTCCCACAGGTTATTCACTGAGAAATCGTTTCGACTCTTATGTTAACTCCCTCCCGGGCAGGGCTGGCGAAGTCATGTTTATGATCCAGTCCTATAATAAACCCTCCAAAACCAAAAACAATAATAAATGGGTCAATTTCAATCCACGACGGTTTGTGGGACATTGCTGTGCGCAATTGGCTGCCGCGTTCGCCCACAAATATACAGTCAATTCACTTTACAGTGCGTTCTGTGAAGCGCTTTGGGACGTCCTCCCGACGTGAAAAGCGCTATATCAAATGCAAGGATTATTATTATTATTGAATTCAACTGAATTACTCAAATTATAATACTGATCTTTGCACTTTATCGAACGTCCAAAAACATCTCAAAAGTGCTCTTCGTGTTATTGCTGTCATTGAACTGCGGTCCCAGATTTTTCTGTTCAGGTGGATGTTGAAACCGCAAACAAATGCTTCTGTTTACCAAGCAGTACATAGGAACCCGGTTGTGAGTCGATTAGGGGATCACTTTCCAGGGGATTTATTTAAAATGTATTTATTCTATCCATGACTGTTTGTGGGACACTGCTATGTGCAATTGGCTCCCGGGTTTTGCCCACAAAATATGGAGTCAATTCATTTTACAATGCTGTGAAGTGCTTTGAGACATCGCAACAAAGTGATAAGGCGCTATATCAGATTCAAAGATTATTATTGTTAAAAATATTTTAACATTTTTCTCCCAGTATCCTGACCAACAATCCCGAATAAAAAAATGTTCACTACTTCATGGCTATTTGTGGGATGTTGTTCAACTGACTGCCCCAAACACACAATCACAACACTCTACAGAAATTACCGTGAAGCGCTTTGAGACCGAGACGTCACAGACACAATATCAAATGTAAGAATTTATTATTTTTTATTGAAAGTAAAGGATCAGCGAATACATTGCAGGAGAATTGAGACCATTAGTGACCAGGCTTTGTACAGCATTGTAACCAATAACACTTCACCACCGCCACTGACGGGCACCACTGGTTATAAACCTTATTTCAAATGCTCAAAATTGAACTATGATGTGCACAATTCTATTCAGAAAATATAAAAGGTACAGAATCAAAAGTAGGGTCAAACTCTTAACCCTCTCACTCCTCCCAACAGTACAGGATGCCCACAAATTCCTGTTACCCCATTACATACAGTGAATGATATGAGACTACAGAGCTGAAAGGAGTTCCATTTTGCCTCATCACTCCATTCATGTTACAGATGTTACAACGAACATGGCGACAGATCATTATCTGCCTGAAAATGATGCCGTATAACCTGGGTAAGAGGTATTCATTTCACAAGTATCAACTCGGAATATCATCTTCGATGATCCAGTTTATCTTACGGATAAGCTCACTCGGGAAGCCGGATTCACTGCCAGACACACGGGAAGGTTCATTCCCATTTTGTGGAAAAGCAATACTGTATCAATGGTAAGCTATGTGGTTTTAGCTGATTAGACTGCAGCAGTTACTCCAACACACACTCTAGGATCCCCAAGTCTTGTCTCTTGCCAATCTGCGCCTAATAATTTCCAGAATTAGGTAAGGAGGATGACTCCCTCCAGGGAAAGAGTGCGTCCATTCCAACAATCTATCTTTAGAATTTCCTTGCGTAGGTGGATGCATGGAATTCTGGATTTGGTTTGGATACTCAAGCATGGTGATGGGTTTCCGCATGTGCCAGACATCCGGCTGACCCCCAAAAAAGGTGATTTTTTTGTGGGAGGGGGGACAGGTGGGTTAGAAAAAGAGCAAAGAAAAAATCATCCAACATAACTGTTTTTAATCTCCAGCAAACAGCAGACACAGATGAGTGAGATGATCTGTCCAGCACAGGTCCTGTGCTTTAAACACAACGTGCACCAGTTCAAGACAGTTTATGTGAGACAATGTCAGAAGTAGAGGACACCGTGTGCTCTCTTTTTGTACTTCCCAAAAAATAGGTTCATCTCTCATCACAGCTGTTCTGTTCCAGTCTCAGAACAGTTAATTGTCTATGTTGCAGCCATGTGCTAATATGTCTGGGAGCGTACCAATCTGCCTGGCGTCCCTCAGAGAGACTCTGAATCGTTCACTTCATCCTTTTCTTGGCTGTTTTCTTCCCACTTTTCTGGGTGTTTTTGCAGTACTTGGCTTCCATGGCTGCCAGGAAATTGTCCATCTCCTTCCCCCGATTTTTCTGCTTTTGCTGCATACAGAATTGCAAGTTAGCAAAGCTTCTACAATAGATTACATTTGTATAGCGCATTTCAAGTCTGGAGGACGTTCCAAGGTGCTGGACAGTCAGGATTTAAAACCCGAGCTGCAGGCTGGGATCAGGAGGGGTGGAGATAGGAGGGTGACCAAAGGCACAGCCGAAAAGGAAGATCTTGAGACGGGCCTTGAAGGAGGCAAGGGAGGGGCGAGATGTAGGGGCTTGTGGATGGAGTTCCAGAGGGTGGGGGCAGAAAGGCTAAAGGCCGGATGTCCAATGGTGGATTCTCATCCCCTCTCTCACTCTTTTCCATCTCCCTTAATACGTAAACTGTAACTGGATGATAGTTGCTGGGAAGAAAGGACCAGTATATGAAGTATAGCACCAGGGCCAGAAGAGAGGGAGAGAAAAAAGAGAAAGGCTGAAAGAGTGGAGTGCAATACAGAAAGCTGACAGAGTGAAATCTCCAGCTGGTATCCGTATTGGAAAGAGAAACATTTCAAATGTAAAACTTAAGAGAAACTGGAAATCTTAACCCAGCTCTTCATTTCTAATGGAGCTGCTGAGGCTGTTGAGTCAGTGTTCGGCTACATCACAGTGAGTCTGGTTTACAAGACAAATTACATGTAATATGGTCGGTTAGGCATCTCCAGCAGGCAAATCGAAATGGCAGCAAAAGCCAGGAGGAAAGTTACCTGGATCAGCAATTTCAGGGAATCGTCCCCGTCATCTAAGTCGAGCTCCTTCTTGGCCTCCTCCGCCTCTTTGGCCTCTTTCTCTCCCTGACATAGTTCAGCAAAAAAATACATTGTTAGACATCAAGTCAAACAGCTGAATGGCCGATCGGTAGCACAGACAATATGTGAACCATAGTGTGGTGGTTAGCCTGCTGACTCGCAAGTGAGAGAACCTGGGTTCCACTCCCTGGTGGGGTAAAACCTTATGCAAGGTTCCTTACTCCACACGCTTCTGTTTATCCAGCAGTAAATAGGAATCTGGTTGTTAGTCAATTGACAAGATTGCTTTCCAGGGGTAATAATCCCTCAAAAAAAAATTGGTCATTCAATCCACGACTGTTTGTGGGACACTGCTGAGCAATTCGCCTCGGCATTTCACCCACAAAATACAGTCAATCCACTTTACAGTTTATTCTATGAAGCTCTTGGGAGACGTCTCAACGACGTGATAAAGTGCTATATCAAATGCAAGGGTTATTATTTCTCTGCTTACCCTCCTTTTCCTGGCTTTCTGTTTCTTGGTGCTCTCCTTGGTGAAGGCCTGGAACGCTGGGATCTCCTGGGCGTCGAGGGCCTTCTCCAGTATCTCCCGTATCCGCGGTTCATCCTCAAACGTGGTACACATCAGTGACTCCATGATTCCATCCATGTCGCCCTTCAGGTCCAGGTAAGCCTGCTTCACGTCCACCCTCTCCTCTTCTGAGCCCTTATACCTCTGCTCAAACTCCTTAATGTCTCCCACCGTCACCTGGAAGCAAATCGGTAAAGCAAAGAAGGGTTAACAAGAATAAAAAAATAATCCTGCATATAGCAAATTATCACACTGTCGCAATGTCTTAAAGCGCTTCACAGAATATATTGTAAAGTGAATTTACTGTATGTTTTGCACACAGTAGTATCCCACAAAGTCATGGATTTTTTGGGGAGAATATTACCTGCGCAAAGCGATTTGCAAATCGACAAAAAGCCAGGTTCCTATTTACTGTTAGGTAAACATAGACGTGCAGAGAAAGGAAACTTGCTTCGTTTCAAACTCGGATCCTCTCACTTGCAAGGCGAGCCACTACCCACTACACTATGGGCTCCAATTAATATACCGCCAAATTCTGGGGCCGATGGGGTCAGCAGATAGGAGGCCAGTGAGAGTGTAGTGGATCGATGCACTGGGTTCTGATGGTGCAGATTAACACAGATTAACATTTTGATCACATGTCAAAAATCAAGTGCAACATTTGACGGATGGTCATTGGTGCTCAGTGAGATGAATCGAGTCAATCTAGAAGGTCCCAGGTTCAATCCCCGGTCGGCATCTCAATCTCAGTTAGGGAGAGAGCGTAGGGTTTAAGATCTGGATTCAATGATCATTGGTCTTAAGATCTGGGCTGTAACGAGGGAGAGTCTGGGTTCCTGCCTCCCAAAAGCTACAATGCTCCCTGCTGTCAAGGTCATGTAAAGACGAGGTGAAGCTGCTGTGATGTGTCTTACATAGAACCCTGTGAGAACGAGAGACTGATTCATAGCACAGAGACAAAGAAACTGAGAAACAGCAACAAATTACATTTATATTGCGTCTTTCACATCGAGAGGACATCTCAAGGCGCTGGACAGTCAGGGATTTGGATCCAAGCTGGGGTTTTTTAATTGGTGGGTGGATGGCAGGTAAGATGGGGGTAGGAGGGTGACCGAAGAGTGGTCGAAGAGGAGGGTCTTGAGATAGAGAGGGAGAGCACCGTGGAACCCTCAAGAAAGGACTGGAATTAGAAAAAATCCAAATTGGTTTGATATCCTCTGAATCTGTAAGCTTTTATAGCTATCCCATTCCATTTACTCCCTCTCTAACAAGCCATAACTGTGGCCTATGTTCACAGGAATTGAAGCTTTCCCTGATACTATAGCCGGTGGCTGGTCATTCCCTTAGCCTCTCGTGATCAGCACCTTTTTGAAGAGCAGCCTCCAGTACTCTTGCCAGTCCCGCTCTTGACTCAGGGTCTCCACTTCCTCATCCACGATGCCCTGCTCATCGTACACTGCCCGCAGCTCCTCCTCACTCAGCACAGCGTACACTTTACCCAGGATCTGGTTGAACAAATGCAAGGAGTTACTAGGCTGTACCTGGCAAAGCTTCCCCCAGCGTTCCAGTTAGTAAAGTCACAATCTTCAGGGTGTTCACAAAGTACTGTTATTCCCCATGTATGTTTTTCTCACCATTAATTTTTATTGTCTGTTACAGATGAGTCACAGTCATGGATTGGGGGGCGCGATTATTACCCCAGAAAGCAATCCGCCAATCGACAAACAACCGAGCTCCTACTCACTGCTCGGTAAACAGAGGCGCATGGAGTAAGGAAACTTTCCTAAGGTTTCGCCCTTCCCAGGAATCAAATCTGAATCCTCTCACTTACGAGGTGAGCGCACTAACCAATACACTACAGGACAGTTAGCTAATCTCCAGCTAAATGCCAATACTGCACGACAAGTGACAGGAGCACCAGCCGAGACAAGGTAACACTGCTCATGGGATGGATGGCACAGGTATGGTGTAACAAGCTGGCGAGTGGATGAAGAGACTCACCTGGAATCTCTGAGTGGCTTCTTCCTTCTCATCCTCAGTCACCCGGTCTGGATGGACTTTGAGAGAAACCTTGTGATATCCCCTCCGGATCTCTCCCTCTGTGGCCTCTTTCCTCACAGCCAGAACACGATAGAGGTTGGAGGTCCCAAAATACTCCTGGCATTTCTCCAGCAGCCCCATGCCTGAGGGGGGAAATCAGATTTCCATTACACCCACCCCAGGTCTATAATCATCAGCCCTCCATTACCCCCACCTCGGGACTGTAATAAACAGCCACCGCCCACCACCCACTCGGGGACTAGAATTATCCATTACATTCCCCTCTCACACACTATTGGGTCTGTTTCTCTCCCCCCCTTCCCCACTGGTATCCTTTACCAAAGGCTCTCTCTTTCTCTCTCTCACACATCACAGGTTCCCAGTTTCTCACACCAGAGCCCCGGACCCCTCTCCTGGTCTCTCCCTCTCTACTAAACTCCTTGTCCCTGATCTGTGTGTGTGTGTGTCTATCTTGTCTGCCTGTCTGTCTGTCTGTCTGTCTGTCTGTGTCTCTGTGTGTGTGTCTCTGTGTGTGTGTGTGTCTCTCTCTCTCTGTGTGTGTCTCTCTGTGTGTGTCTGTCTGTGTGTCTGTCTGTGTGTGTGTGTGTCTGTCTGTGTGTGTGTCTGTCTGTGTGTGTGTGTGTCTGTCTGTCTGTGTGTGTGTGTCTGTCTGTCTGTGTGTGTGTGTCTGTCTGTCTGTGTGTGTCTGTCTGTCTGTCTGTGTGTGTGTGTCTGTCTGTGTGTGTGTGTCTGTCTGTCTGTGTGTGTGTCTGTCTGTGTGTGTCTGTGTGTGTCTGTCTGTCTGTCTGTGTGTGTCTGTCTGTGTGTCTGTCTGTCTGTGTGTGTGTGTCTGTCTCTGTGTGTCTGTCTGTGTGTGTCTGTCTGTATGTGTGTGTGTGTCTGTGTGTCTGTCTGTGTGTGTGTCTGTCTGTGTGTGTCTCTCTGTCTGTCTGTCTGTCTGTCTGTGTCTGTGTGTGTGTGTGTCTGTCTGTCTGTGTGTCTGTCTGTGTCTCTGTGTGTGTGTGTCTGTCTGTGTGTGTCTCTCTGTCTGTCTGTCTGTCTGTCTGTGTCTGTGTGTGTGTGTGTCTGTCTGTCTGTGTGTGTCTGTGTGGTGTCTGTCTGTGTGTGTGTCTGTCTGTGTCTCTGTGTGTGTGTGTCTGTCTGTCTGTGTGTGTCTCTCTGTCTGTCTGTGTATGTGTGTGTGTGTGTGTGTGTGTGTGTCTGTGTGTGTCTGTCTGTGTCTGTGTGTGTCTCTCTGTCTGTCTGTGTCTCTGTGTGTGTGTGTGTCTGTCTCTGTCTGTGTCTCTCAGTGTGTGTGTGTCTGTCTGTGTGTGTCTCTCTGTCTGTCTGTGTCTGTGTGTGTGTGTGTGTGTCTGTCTGTGTGTCTGTCTCTCTGTCTGTGTCTCTGTCTGTCTGTGTGTGTGTGTGTCTCTGTGTGTCTGTCTGTCTGTGTGTGTATATATATATATATATATATATATAACTGCGTCTCTCTCACCCGCCTCCGTGTCTCTGGGGTTTGTTTATCCCGTTCTTGGCGCCAAAGCCGGACGGTACCGGAAGTGTGCAGCGGCCTTACCGGGTCCCCCGGGCGCGGCCTGTGGATAGCGGAGCCTCTCCCCCCCACCCTCACCCCTCCCCCGGGCTCCCCCTCCCGGTGTGTGTGGTTCCCCCTCACCCCTCCCCCGGGCTCCCCCTCCCGGTGTGTGTGGTTCCCCCTCACCCCTCCCCCGGGCTCCCCCTCCCGGTGTGTGTGGTTCCCCCTCACCCCTCCCCCGGGCTCCCCCTCCCGGTGTGTGTGGTTCCCCCTCACCCTCCCCCGGGCTCCCCCTCCCGGTGTGTGTGGTTCCCCCTCACCCCTCCCCCGGGCTCCCCCTCCCGGTGTGTGTGGTTCCCCCTCACCCCTCCCCGGGCTCCCCCTCCCGGTGTGTGTGGTTCCCCCTCACCCCTCCCCGGGCTCCCCCTCCCGGTGTGTGTGGTTCCCCCTCACCCCTCCCCCGGGCTCCCCCTCCCGGTGTGGGTGGTTCCCCGTCAGAGCCCGAGCGCCAGACCCGGGAAGCAGAGACGGGAGCAGCAGCAGCAGCGGCAGCAGCAGCGCCCCCAGGCGGTGGGTGTCGCCGGTGCCCGTGACCCTGACCATCGCCTCTCATTGTCTCACATGGCAACTGCTTCACACACTGGCGATTGAACCGCGTCCGCCCCCCCCCCCCCCTCCCCCTCCCCCCCCCCCACACTCCAGGCTGACTCTCCAGTGCAGCGCTGGTGGGGGTGGGTGGGGGGTTGTGAGGGGAGCGGCGCCGTCCTTCGGGTCAGACGTTTAAACCGTCTGCCCGTCCGGGTGGTCCCGTTGAAAGATCCCGTGTCCCTTCGAACAGCGAAGGGAGTGTCTGTCCCGGTGTCCTGGCTATCAACCCCACCCCCACCCCCGCCGGCCCCGGTACAATTGGCCGCTCACTTCGAAGCTTTTTTTTTTTCCCCACTCCCCCCCCCACCACTCCGCCTTGTGCTCAGCCGCGGACGTGTCTTGGCGCGCGCGGAAAGCCCATCGCCGCGCTTAAGGGTATCCGAACCGCGCCGAGAATGCCATGCCTCCCACCCACACGTGGAAATTCCAGGGAGAGGAATGCGGACTGTCCCTCTGGAGGGACGTGAGATCACTTCAGCGCCTCGGGACGTCCTCCCGACGTGAAAGGCGCTCTATAAATGGAATCTTGTTGTTGTTGTTGTTGTTGTTTCTCTTTGACCGAGCCTTCAGCTCCCCTCTCGACTCTCTTCCCCCTCCTCGCTCCCTCCCTTCCCTCCCCTCACCCTGACCATTTCCCCCCTCCTCGCTCCCTCCCTTCCCTCCCCTCACCCTGACCATTTCCCCCCTGCTCGGGTCATGACCCAACTGTGCAGCGCCTTGGGACGTCCTCCTGACGTGAAAGGCACTTTATAAATGGAATCTTGTTGTTGTTGTTGTCGTGTGGCAAGCGGCTTGCCCAGGTAGAACCGCCCTACCTGTTAGGTCTTTCGCTTGCAGGGTTAACGAGCCGAGTGGGGGGGTTCCTTGCCGCCAAGGCTGTCAGTAAGGGAGAGACCGGAGAGCAAGAGAGAACTCGTTCATTCAGCAGAACAGTGGGAAATCTTTCTTGAGGTAGAGGCAACCTTATTTGAAAACCGGCAACTCAAGTCAATTAGCAGTTAATCATAGGCCCAGTGTTGTGGGGAATTAATAAATTTGCTGATTAATAAATTAATAATACTTGCGAGAGCCTCACTTGACCAGAGAATCCAGCAGCGTGAGGAGGGTACTGAGTGAGTTGGAACGGAGTGAGTATTCTGATTAGGAATTTGGTGAGAGTGGGAATTCCTCAGTAACAGAATACTTTCATTCAACAAAATCTTTCTGGAGGCAGAGGCAACCTAATATGTAAGCAGACAAACAAGTTAATTAGCAGTTAATCATAGGCCCCATGTTTGGGGATTAATAAATTTGCTGACTAGTCAAAACTGGGAACTGGGCGCTTTTGTTTGAGTCCTAAATAATGGAGAAGGTTTGCGAGAGCCTCTCTTGTGCAGAGCCAGCAGCGCGAGGCGGGAACTGAGTGAGGTGGAACAGAGTAAGTATTCTGTTAAGGTATTTAGTGAGAATGGGAATTCTTCAGTAAGAGAGATACCAGAGAGCAAGAGAGAACTCTTTCATGCTGCTGAAGAGTGTGAAATCTTTCTTGTGGTAGAGGCAACCTTATATTGTAAATCAGTCAATTAGCAGTTAATCATAGGCCCGTTGTTGGGGATTAATAAATTTGCTGACCACTCAAAACTGGGAACTGGGTTGCTTTTGTTTGAGTTCCATATAAAGGAGAAGACTTCCAAGAGCTTCAGTTGATCTATATAAATGACCTGGACTCAGGTATAGGGAGTACAATTTCCAAGTTTGTAGATGATACGAAGCGAGGAATAGTAAACCGTGAGGAGGATAGTGGCAGACTGCACATGGAGATAGACAGACTGGTAAAATAGGTAGATATGGGGCTGATGGAAGTTTAATGTGTCTAAACGTGAAGTGATGCATTTCGGGAGGAAAAATGAGGAGGCAACATAAGGTAGATGGTACAGTCTTAAAGGGAATGAGGGAACAGAGAGACCTGGGGGTTCAACAAGTAAATCTTTGAAGGTGGCAGGACAGGTAGATAAAACTCTTGAAAAAAGCATACGGGATACTAAACTTTATAACTATGGGCATACAATACAAAAGTCAGGAAGTTATGATGAACCTTTATAAAGCATTGGTTAGGCCTCAGCTAGAGTACTGTGTTCAGTTCTGGGCACCACGCTTTAGGAAGGATGTCAAGGCATTGGAAAGGGTTCAAAGGACCTTTACCAGGATGGAACCAGGAATGAGGGTTTTCAGTTATCAGGAGAGGCTAGAGAAGCTAGAATTAGAGAAGCAGAGAATGTTAAGAGACTTAATAGAAGTTTTCAAAATTAAGAGAGGATTCGATAAGGTGAACAAGGAGAAACTATTTCCACTGGTGGTGGGTCGGTAACCTGAGGACACCGATTTAAAATAGTTGTTAAAAGAAACAGAGGGGAGGTGAGGAGAAATTTTTACACACAGCGAGTTGTTCGGATCTGGAGTGCATTGCCTGAAAGGGCAGTGGAAGCCGATCTGAAAACAACTTTTAAGAGAGCAGATAATTATTTGGGGAGGACAAGTTTGCAGGGCTATGGGGAAAGAGCGGGGTAGTGAGATTGATTTGGATAGCTCTTTTCAAAGCATGGACACGATGGGCCGAATGGCTTCTTTCTGTGCTGTATAATTCTATGATTATTATTATCTTCTACCCCTTAGGTTACCTAAGGCTTGCTGCACATTCGCCACTCTCCACACCTCCATCAGGCTGGCCGCTCAGCTACCATGCCAAAACCTCTGGAACTCCACTCCCCCCACCCTTCACCGAGCCCTCTTGCGCCCTCTCTAAAAAAAAATCTCACTTGTGATGTAAGTGAGTAAAGTCACTATAGGTGGGTAAAGTCAGAGAAATAAATGGAAACTATTTGACATTTTATTATGTGTGATTGTCATGACCAAATAACACTAATACTTGAAACAATACTAAACAGATCCATACAGAGAATAAAATGGAGCAGAGACCATATTTCAGTACAGTAGATTCACCTCAGATACTGGGCTGTGTCAATTGCTCAGTCTTTTTCTCATAGAATCTTATAGCACAGGAGGCCAATTTTTTCCTTTTAAAGTATATATTTAATTTATAAGGTATATTTCATTGGCCAAAGTGATGCCCAATGACAAAGGTTTCACACACTTTCTTTCGTCTGACCAGAGCTAGTCTGTGTCTCCACAAATAAAATAACATTTGACTAAATAACGGGCTTGTTCGAACAGAGCAGGTGAAATTTACACTTGCCGATTTGCTTCCTGTTTATTTAACATCTGTAAAAATAGAAGTGCGAGACTTCTCTTTTTCCCCTCTCCCCAGAAACTTTCAAAACAGCCCACCACAACTGAGCCCTCCAGCCTTAGATCACCTATTTCCAGGCTTCTGCTTATTCTCTTCAGTTCTGTTCCTTGTGGGTATTGATGGTTTTGAGTGCCTTTCTTCCCTTCCTCTTATTGCTCTCTTGGGAAGCTTCCCAGATAGTTTTTGAGGTTTCCACTCAGGGTGTGTCACAAAAGCATAAATTAAACAAATAGAGAAATCTTACAAATGTAAGATTTTGCATTGAACAGCCCCACACCCAACATAGACATTCACCTCACACTACATACACACACGCACATTCACACACCCCAGCTTGGTTATAAATTCACTAATATGCAAAAGCCTAAGTGGTGTGACAGGCACGTGAAACTGAGAAATATTTTCTTTAGAAAAGGCCCTTTTATTTAAAAAGATATCAGGGGCAAGTAATAATAATAATCCTTGTATTTGATATAATAATAAAACAACAAACAAATATTACATTTGGAAAGCGCCTTTCACGTCAGGAGGACGTCCCAAAGCGCTAATCCTTGTATTTAATATAATCCTTGCATTTCATATAGCGCCTTATCACTTTACAGTATATTCTGATGTCTTTGAGACATCTCCAATCGCTTCACAGAATATACTGTAAAGTGAATTGACTGTATATTTTGTGGGCGAAATGTGGCAGCCAATTGCATACAGCAATGTCCCACAAACAGTCGTGGATTGAGTGACCAAATGATTATTTTTAGATATAGCGCCCTTCAGGCAGGGCAGGGTCCTGGAGCGCTTGACAGTGGCGGGGACTGACCCCAAGTTAGGGGGAAAGGGAGGAGGATGGGGAAGAGGTGAATAGGAAAGACAAAGCAATACTTAGCCTGTGGAGGGTTTGAAGATCACTATCTCTCTCTCTCACCTGCTCGTTACCAGAAGTGCCGCTGATAAAGAGTAGGTGGAAACTGATCCATATCAATTCCGCCCCCCCTCCCACACACACATGCTCACGCACTCAACTTTGCCATGTAAATGTTGGGACACTGAAAAAACACAATTCTTAACCCGACAAAAGCAGCTGGATTGAGAGCAAATTCCAGATGTTGAAATGTTCATACAGATCTGGAGCCCCACTCCCCCCAGCTTGTAGAGCAGAGCAAACTCGACAACATGTTAGACAACAGCTAACTGGAAAGATCATCAAGTCACTGATTGAATGGGTGAAATGGAGAATCCCAGCATCGACACTGGGAGAGACCAAACCGTTATGAACAGGGAGGGACACAGCTTCTTTAGAGTCTGGTCCTGATGCTGGAAATGAATGGACACCACATGGAGCTTGTGTTATCGGGGACTGATCCCGGAATGGAGAGAACACTCTCTGCATCAGGTCTCCTTCTGCCCAGCAGCAGCTCCATAGAACTCCACCTCTTGTCCGCCGTTAGACTGGTTGTTGGGGGGCCGGGGTTGGGGTCGGGGGCTTCAAACCCTCCTCGCAGTCCACTGTCCCCTGGGATGGCCCGCTCCCATATGCACTGTCCACCGACTGTTTCCCGTCTGCATAAGGGAGAAGAGAAAGAGTTTCACTGGGAACATGTCCGGCTGAGATCTGCATACAGACACTGTGAGCGCGCGCACACAAACACGTGTATATACACACACACACACATGTACACACGCGTGTACACACGCGTGTACACACGCATGTACACACGCGTGAACACACGCGTGAACACACGCGCACACCAACAGCTTGCATTTATATAGATTTATATAGCACCCCTAACTAAGGCTTGCATCCCAGTGCGCACATCTACACACACACACAAAAATACAAACACGTACCCACACCTAAGCAATTTAGCTCTGTGTCATTCGGCCCAGCTAGACCGCGATGGAGATTACCTCCCACAGAAGCCTGACCAATGCAAATTTCTTGTCCACAAACATGTTAAAGAAACTAATGAAACAAGGCCTGAATTTTACCTGATGACTGAAGCTTCCCGTGGATTTCTGTTTTCTGGATAACATTCACTGCCTCCTCCAATCCCAGGGCCTGGAGAGCATTAGCCAGCTGAACGACGGTCCCTCCTGACAGCTGCAGAGAGGGAGACATTTACTCAGCAACACATCTGAATCAACACCCCTCCTCACGGAGGAATAATGCTAAACACAGCAACCAATTGTGCACAGCAGTGTCCCAGAAACAGCTGTGGATTGAACGACCACATTTTTAAAAAAAATTTTATAAAGGGCTTATTACCCCCGAAAAGCGATCCACTAATCGACTAACAACCGGGTTCCTGCTTATTGCTAGGTAAACAGCGGCATGTGGAGAAAGGAAACTTGTCTAATGTTTCGCCCTGAGCTGGAATTGAACCTGGGTCCACTCGCTTGCGAGGCGAATGCTCTAACCAAAACTCTACAGGATTCCATGAATCGTAGAACCATAAAAAATTGGGCTGAAAGGAGACTAGTCATTCTCCAGAGAAGAAATAAATACTGTGAGGGAAACAGACAACATACGTCATAATTGTCCAATAGGGACTTGCTTGGAGACTCTGCACTTTTGAAGATTGCAATAAGAGAGCCGAGGTTCAGTCTGTCGGCCAGCTTCATCCAGTCAGCACCAGATTCATCCTTGTTCAACACTTGGTTTAACTCGGAGAGGGCTTCTGAGCCTAAAGACGCAATGTTGCCTGACAAGGAAAAAACAAGAGTTTACTGTCCAGAATCAAAATAGTGGGCTCCTCAGTGACCATTGAAGCACACAGCGCTGGCAACTCACAGGTCTACATTTAATAATAATAATCAGTAATCATAATAATCCTTGCATTTGATATAGTGCCTTATCAAGTCTTTGAGGCGTCTCAAAGTGCTTCACAGAATATATTGTAAAGTGAATTGACTGTATTTTGTGGGTGCAGCAGTGAACCACAAAGAGTCGTTGATTGAGTGACTAAATTATTATTTATTTTTGAAGGGTTTATTGCCCCACAAAAGCGATCTGCCAATTAACCAACAACTGGGTTCCTACTTACTGCTAAGTAAACAGAGGTGTGTGGAATAAAGAAACTTGTCTAAGGTTTCACCCTGCCTGGGAATCGAACCCGCTTACAAGGCGAGTGCTTTCACTAATATGCTAAAGGATCCATAAGTTAGGTCTAGTGAAAGAGTGACCAATTTATAATAATCCAACCGTACCTCTCTGAATTTTTGTCTCCTCCGGTTCCTTCCTCGCCCACGTTTCACCCAACAAGATGTCACGCACCTGAACAACAACAAAAATTTATAGTTGTATGGCACCTTTCACATCAGAAGGAAGTCCCAAGACACTGGACAGTCAAGGATTTGCACCCAAACTGGGGGTTTGGGATCAGGAGGGGTGGAGGGCAGAGAGGGAGGGTGGGGTAGGAGGGTGACTGAAAGCGCGGTCTAAAAGGAAACTGTTGACGAAGGCCATGAAGAAGGCAAGGGAGGGAGCGAGATGAAGGGACTGTGGGAGGGAGTTCCAAAGGTGGGGCCAAAAACGCTGAACAAAATGTCAAAGACAACAATTAGTTTGTCTGCACTTAATTCTAATAATAATCACTGCACTAACAGTTCGGTAAAGTGGAGTGACTGTGCATTTTGTGGATGAAACACATGTAGTCAATCTGCATAACAACATCCCACAAACAACCACGGAGCGAGTGATCAATTTTATCTGGGGGATTTGTTGGTCAGGACATCAGGAGAGAGTGACTCCCTTCTCTTTTCGAGTTAGTACCATGGGATCTTTAACGTCCACCTGAACAGCACCTTGATATCTCATCCGAAGGACGACACCCCAATCAATATGACACTCTCCCAGCACTGCACTGGAGTATCACCTTAGACTGTGAGCTCAAAGTACCTAAATCCACAGCCTTCTGACTCAGAGATGAGAGCGTTATCAACTGAGCCAGGCTGGCACACAGGAGGAGGGAGGAGCACAGAGATGTTGTTGGGTTTGTTGGGAGGGGTATTGCGGGCACACGGAAACACTTGCCTTGGCACTGGACGCGATGTCAAGCGGCGTATGCCCACGACAGATGGCCTGATCCAACTCGCTTTCTTCGTCCGAGTCTAAAACTGGCTCGTAGTTCTCTGCGTTCCGGTCAGCACCTGCAGGAGTTTGGAAAGATGGCGGTCAGATTTCAAACCGGGCTTTTCCCAACCAGCGACCTGTCTCAGGCTCAGTCGGGATAAATTCTGGGATTTTTCTCACTCAGCTCCTGTTAACCTTGCAAGCCAAAGCGCTAACCAGTAGCTGAAAAGCTTGACAGACAGTGCTCTCAATAGCAAGCTATGCAGTTTTAGCTGCTTAGACTCCAGCATCACAGCCACCCATCCCTACAGTAAAAAAAACATAAAAATAATCCTTGTATTTATTTTAGCACGTCATCACATCGGAAGGATGTCTCAAAGCGCTTCGCAGGACATACTGTGAAATGAAGTGACTTTGTATCTGTAGGCAAACGTGGCAGCACAAATACATACAGCAACGTCCCACAAACAGCAATGGAATGAGTGAACATTTTTATTTGAGGTTTTGTTGGCCGGAGGGGGAGAGAAACTCCCTTTTCTTTTCAAATAGCGCCATGGGATCTTTAACATTCACCCAAACAGGCAGATGGTTTAACATCTCATCTAAAGGACGGGAGTTAGTATCTGACTGACAGCAACAAGGTAACGAGCAACTGAAGTACAGAAGGATCTGTAACTAGTGAATACTAGACAGCTCATGTCTGATACCGGGACTCCACTACCAGTTCCATCTCAGTTAATAATATTAATAATTCTTGGATTTGACATCGTTGAGATGTCTCAAAGCGTTTCACTGAATACACTGTAAAGTGAATTGACTGTTTTGTGGGCAAAACGTGGCAGCCAATTGCGCTCAGCAGTATCCCACAAACCTTTGTGGATTGAGTGACTAAATTAATATTAATTTTTTAAACGGTTATTACCCCCGGAAAATGATCCACCATTTAATTAAAACCAGGTTCCTACTTATTACTAATAATAATCCTTGCATTTGATATAGCGCCTTTCACGTCGGGAAGACGTCCCAAAGCGCTTCACAGAACACACTGTAAAGTGAATTGACTGTATATTTGTGGGCAAACGCGGCAGCCAATTGCGCACAGCAATGTCCCACAAACAGTCGTAGATTGAAAATGACCAATTTATTATTGTTTTTGGTTTTGGAGGGATTATTATTAGGCGTGTGGAGTAAGGAAACTTGCCCAAGGTTTCGCCCTGCCTGGAATTGAACTCAGGTCTCTCGCTTGCAAAGCGAGTGCTCTAACCACTGAGCTACAGGACTCCACTAAGCAAATAGGAAACTTGGCTAAGGTTTCGCCCAGTCTCGGAATCGAATCTGGATCCTCTCGCTTGCAGGATGAGTACAGTACGCTCACCACTAGCTGCAGGACTCCACCGAGTTTCAATGTCCATGAAATCTGAGGCAGAGCAGATTCCCAGAGCATCGGCCAGGACTCTCTGTTGGGATTCAGAGCCGGTCGCAGTGAACAGCCGGGCACTAACCTGCAGCCAGTAGCATCGCGGTGAGAGCCGGGGAGCCCGAGCCAGCCGCCAAGTGAAGAGCCGTGTTCCCCTCAAACGTGGCAAGATCCACTTCAGCTCCAGCCTGTGTGAAAAATCAACAGTTTAGCAAGCATCGCAAGAGACAAGGGGGCCTGACAGGGAGTCTCCTCTCTCTGTTGCGTAACAGTGCGACCAGTGTGAGGGTTCCCAGCCCATCGCGACTGGCTCCTCATCACAAATCTTCCCCCCGATCAATACTGAACCCAATGCAGAGCGGTCGTGACCAAATTTCACACGGGAAATGGACACATTACTGTGTCATCGTAGGAAACCAATGCTATAACCAATCTGGGAGTGCGGCCGGACAGTGCAGAGCGAGCTTTGCTCGGTCTCTAACCCTGGCCTGAAAGTTTGGATGGACAGCTTTACTCTGTCTCTAACCCTTGCTGTCATTGATTTGGGAATGCAGCGAGTACGGACACCAGTTAAGTGCCAAGGAATCATTAACATCCAACTGAACAAATTCAGACATGCCCCGGTTTTAACGTCTCACCCGAAGGATGGCGTGTCTGACACTGGCTATGACCTGAATGGTACGGTCACACCAGGTGACTCACCTCTGCCAGGAAGTAGCCAGCCAGCCCCAGGCAGTTCATCTCCACGGCTAGGTGCAGAGCTGTGCGGCCACTCTTCTGATCAGCCTGGTTACTATCTGCCCCTTTGTTCACTAGCAGCTCCACCAGCTGTTGGCTCCTTGCCTTCACTGCCAAGTGCAGAGGATACAATCCTGGACAAGGGAGAGCAAGAGAGACACGTAGAATAATAATAATAAAAAAATCCTTGCATTTGATATAGGTCATTACCATGATAACAACACCCTTCACACAGGGTAGCATCATTTTGGGATGCTACCCTATGTGAAGAACAGCAAATCAATGCACTTTATTGTTGACGTTGAGATGTCTCAAAGCGCTTCACAGAATACATTGCAAAGTGAATTGACTGTGTATTTTGTGGTCGAAACGCGGCAGCCAATTGCACACTCCAGTGTCCCACAAACTGTCGTGGATTGAGTGACCAAATTATTATTATTTCTTTGGAGGGATTATTACCCTAGGAAGGCAATCCGCCAATCGACTAACAACTGGGTTCCTACTGACTGCTAGATAAACAAAGGCATGTGGAGTAAGGAAACTTGCCTAACGTTTCATCCCACCTGGGAATCGAACCTGGGTCCTCTCACTTGCGAGTCAAGCGCGCTAACCGCTACGATATGGGAGGTACGATACGATATGTGTATAAGTCCCTGCTAATGGTGCGTTAGTGACCACAGAGAACTTCCCCTACCGTTAAAGTCAGGCAGTTTAAGCAGCTTTTTGAGAACGTGGGGTTCCAGGCCATCCACTAACGACCTCACCATCGCCTCATCTTCCTGGTGCAGGGCAAGATGCAGGACCGAGTTTCCATGGCGATCCAAGATGGCAGCATCAGCCCCTGCGCTCAGAAGCAGGTCCACCAGGCTGTGTTGCTGGGTGATCACGCCCACGTGCAGAGGAGTCTAAAACGTCAATTGTAAAGAGTGGCATAAACTGCCCGTCTCACACAACAGCAACTTAAGTTTATAATAATAATCTTTGTATTTGATATGGAGCCTTATCACGTCATCGAGACGTCTCAAAGCTCTTCACAGGATATACTGTGAAGCGGTTTGACTGCGTATTTTGTGGGTTAAAAGTGACAGCCAATTGCACACAGCAGTGTCCCACAAACAGTCATAATAATAATAATAATAATAATCCTTGCATTTGATATAGCGCTTTTCACGTCGGGAGGACGTCCCAAAGCGCTTCACAGAACACACTGTAAAGTGAATTGACTGTATATTTGTGGGCGAACGCGGCAGCCAATTGCGCACAGCAATGTCCCACAAACAGTCGTAGATTGAAAATGACCAATTTTATTATTGTTTTTTGTTTTTTTGGAGGGATTATTATTAGGCGTGTGGAGTAAGGAAACTTGCCCAAGGTTTCGCCCTGCCTGGAATTGAACTCAGGTCTCTCGCTTGCAAAGCGAGTGCTCTAACCACTGAGCTACAGGACTCCACACTTGATTGACCACACTTTTTTTTTTGGAAGAATTATTACCTCTGGAAAGCAATCTGGCAATCGACTAACAACCAGGTTCCTACTTACTGCTAAGTAAGTTAATGCTCACTGGTAGAGAGAAAAACTCTTTTCAAATAGCACTGTGGGATCTTTAATGTCCACCTGAACAGGCAGACTGGACCATGTTCAACGTCTCATCTGAAGTACAGTACCTCTGACACTGCATTGGAGTGTTATGCTACGTGATTCGAAGGCCTGACGTGGGATTTAAACCCAACCTTCTGACTCAAGGGGTGAGACATTGTAGAGGGAACTTTACTCTCTCTCTAACCCATGCCATCGCTGACCCGAACGTGTGGATGGTCAGTGTAGAGGGAGCTTGACTAAGAGCACAGCTGAGAAGCATTCCTTTTGCAGCAGTGAGCCCTCTCAATGTGATGAGCACAAACACACGGAACAGAATTCCCACATGGATTTGGGCAGAAGTTGAATGTGCAGCGTGACACTAACTCTGTACTCTGTGGAATGACACTAACCTGCCGTAGGTTGTTGGGAGCGTTGATGAAGTTCTGGCCCGGAATACTGATAATAACCTGCAATAACTGCTGAGCCACAAGGGGCTGTTGATGGATGATCGCTAAGTGCAATGAACTGTGGAGAGAAATAGATCAGCTGGATACAGATGGGCCGCAGCTCATTAATAAATGCCCCAATGACCAGCAACACACCTGAGATGTCACAGACCCGGGGAAGGTGGTTATATTTGCAGGTGGAACTGTGGAAAGTAATCCACCAATCAACTAACTACCAGGTTCCTACTTACTACTAGGTAAACAGAGGCGAGTGGAGTAAGTAAACTTGCCTAAAGTTTCGTCCTGCCTGGGAAACGAACCTGGGTTCTCTCAATTGTGAGGCGAGCGGACTAACCACTACACTATGGGACTCCACAAGACTCCAAGGAAGTACACAACAGAATGGAAAGCTTTGGGAACTTTAGATCCAAAGTTGCCTGGTTCTTCCAAGCACAATACACTTACTATATGTCATGACTCAAATCACTCGTGCACTGTACCCTAAAATATTAATTTCCAAAAGAAATCTATTTAATTTCTATTTGAATGAATTGCACACAGCGTTACTCACACTCGCTTCAAATCCCTTCACGCTCTGGCACCTCCCTACCTCTCTGACCTGCTTACTCCCCAACCCACTACTCACTGCCTCCGCTCAGCTGGCTCCGGCCTCTTGCTTGTCACTCCTGTCCTCCGCCCCACCATCAGTGGCCGCACTTTCCGCTACTATGCCTCGAAACTCTGGAACACTCTCCCTCAATCCTCCGCCTTGTCCCCTCTTTCCCTATATTCAGGTTGTGCCCAAAGACCTTCCACTTTGACTGTGCTTAGGGTCACGACCACCCTCCCCCCCCAGCTCTCAGCGTCAGGCTCCGCCAGTGCCAAGCTCTTTGGGACACCGCCCTGCGTGAGTGTGGCTGTATAAATACAAGTTGTTGTTATTACTCACGTGTCTCCATTGTCATCCTGGACTGCAGTCAGGTGTCTCTGCACGGCCAGAAGCATGCGTGCGTCACCCGTGATGGCGTAGTCCTGCAAGGCCAGGGCCGTGCGCTCCGTGATCTGCAGTGCCCTCAGCCGCAAGAAGTACTCTGCGGAATGAGGGGCACAGTTTGTGAGACAAGCCAGCCAACCAGCCGACGGTAGCTGGTAAAGGCAGTGGCCTTTACCTCCTAAAATAGTCACCTCCCTCGACAGTCGTCTATATAATAATCCTCGCATTAAATACAGCATCTTATCACACTGTCAAAACATCTCAACACACTTCACAGGGTTTATAATAATAATCCTTGCATTTGATATATTTTGCCCATAAAATATACAGTCAATTCACTTTACAATATATCCTATGAAGCGCTTTGAGATGTCTCGAAGATCTGATAAGGTGCTATTTTCAAATGCAAGGATTGTTATTTTTATGCAGCGTCTTATCACGTCGTCGATTCGTCTCAAAGCACTTCACAGAATATACTATAAAGTGGACTGACTGTATTGCACCCAGGAGTGTCCCCCAAACAGTCGTGGATTGAGTGACACATTATTATTATTTTTTTGGAGGGATTACACTCCTAGGAAAGCAATCTGCATTCCTACTTACTCCTAGGAAAACAGAGACATGTAGAGTAAGGAAACTTGCCTACGCTTTCTCCCTGCCTGGGAATCAAACTCAGGTCCTCTTGCTGGTGAGGCGAGTGCACTAACCACTATGCTACAGAATTCCACACTAGGCGCAAGTTGGCAGAGCCAAGGCTTGGGGATCCCAGCGTGTGCGCCACATTCACTAACTGCATCTAATAACAACAGTAACTGTGGCTTTCTGAAGCATTCCAGGCCTTTGTGTGAAAGCTCTTGTTTCTGGACTCGCTCTAGTTGTAGATCTCTGTACCTTGTTGTGACAGCTGTCTGCGCCTCGCTGGGCCAGAGCCCTGCGGTAACCCTGGCTGCGTCTCTCTGGTAGCCGCTTTGTTGCCCCGCTCAGAGGCCTGCACTTCCTGGGGGCCAGGTTCAGGAAGCTCGCTTCCCGATGCTGTCTGCTCCCGCGGTTGGTGGGCAAGGTGTGATCCACCACCGTGTGACCCCGCCATGTGCTGACTTCCATACTGCTGATTGGAGGGATACATGTCAAGGTAACCCCCAAAGCCGTAACCAAGACCTGAGGCAAAGATAAAAGACAAGTCAACCTATGGGTCATTATTGAGCTCACAGTCTCTACGCTTACAGTTCTCTGTCAGGTTATATAATAATAATAATAATTTGGTCACTCAATCCACGACTGTTTGTGGGATACTTTTGTGCGCAATTGGCTGCCGCCATGGAGTGAGTGACTGATTTTATTTGAGGGATTGTTGGACAGGACACCAGGAGAAAAACTCCCTTCTCTTTTCGAGTAGTGCCATGGGTTCTTTAACATCCACCTGAACAGACAGACGGGACCTCGGTTTAACGTCATAACTCATACGCTGGCACACCTTCCTCTTATAGCTCTTGTGTTTCAGATCCACATCCCGACACCACACCTGTTGATTGTTAAATGCCAAAGTGTAGACAGTGGATTGAGTGACACTGGGTGCTTTACTGTCTGAGTGACACTGGGTGCCTTATTGTCTGAGCGGATCTGACCATGCCTCACCTCCACCACGGCTGTACATGTTGGAGCCCCACGATGGAGGACTCCCCCCAAAATGATCCTGGAAATTGGGTAGCTGTACCCCCTTCTTCCTGCGGTAAATTTCTTCCCTTTCTGTTGGAAGAAGAATGGGTAAAGGTTACAACAATAATATAATAATAGTCCTTGCATGTGGAGTCCTGCAGCTCAGTGGTTAGAGCACTTGCCTCGCAAGTGAGAGACTTGGGTTCTATTCCCTAGCAGAGCGAAATGCTGGGTAAGTGTTCTTACTTCACACGCCTCTGTTTACCTAGCAGTAAGTAGGAACCTGGTTGTTAGTGGATTCCGGAAATAATAAGCTTTCAAAAAAAGAATAATAATTTGGTCACTCAATCCATGACTGTTTGTGGGACACTCCAGTGCACAATTGGCTGCCGCCTTTCACCCTGAAATATACAGTCAATTCACTTTACAGCATATTCTGTGAAGCGCATTGAGATGTTTGGAAGATGTGAAAAGCGCTACATCAAATGCAAGGAATATTAATATTGTTATTACAATTTGACATGTCGTTGAAACATCTTACAGCGCTTCACAGGATACACTGTAAATTGGAATGACTGTATTTTGGGTGCGAAACGCGGCAGCCAATTGTGCACAGCAGTGTCCCACAAACAGTCGTGGATTGAGTGAGCAATTTTTTTTTATTTTGTGGGGGAGGGATTATTAACCCCGGAAAGTGATCTGCCAATTGACTAACAATGAGGATTCCTTTTTGCTGCTAGGTAAACAGAGATGTGTGGAGTAAGAAAACTTTCCTGAGATTTCACTCCTCCCAGGAATCGAACCTGGGTCCTCTCGCTTGCGAGGCAAGCATGCTAACTCCTATGCTATGGGACTCCACAATCCTTCTCCAACCTATGCCAGACTGAACGTTGCAATACTGTCTCTTACCTTTGAATTTGGGACAATAGGTGAATGCCGTTGGCTCGCTGCACTCCACTTGCAATCGTCTCCTTAGTTGGACGTACACAGAGACGGGCTTTCTGATGTTGGTGTCCCTATAGCAAGGAGTGCGGAACACAATCGCAAACTGCAAAAGGAACCCAAACCATGAGGTGAGGCACAGGGCAGGGTGTGAGTGTCACGAAGGAGAGGCAGGGATACAGTGGAGGAGCAATAAGATGGGTCGTTCGTACTTGGAAAGGCAATACTGTACTTTAGTAACAGTGCCCACACTCTCAGGTCAGCAACACCACGGGTTAGAGACAGAAGAAAGCTCCCTCTACACTGTCCTCCATCACGCCTTGATCAGGTACTGAATGGGCCAAGTACGGGGAAAATGTCAGCCTTAATAAAGTGCTCCCCACTACACTAAATTGTTTTTTTGTGTTTGTGTGTTCCTCACACCAGTTTATGACTTTCGTGAGTGAGACTCACAATTGCTGATCAGCTCATGTTTGTACCATTGTGAGCTGGGTTGAGACTCCCCCAAACCTCATTCCCAGCAGCCAGTGAAAAGTGACTGCCTTCCCAACAGTCAGGGCTGGATATGAGTCCATGTCCTAGAGGTGAAAGATCTACCTAGTGCATCATCCGATCCTTACATTCTTCCTCCATTTACAATTTTTTTTTGGTCAGGCAGGTGTCTGACACATGAGGAAACTCATCGCCAAGGGTATCCAAGCCAAGCTGTGAATTCCATACATCCCACCAGGTATCCGCCAATCTCCTAACAACCAGGTTCCTACTTATTGTGAGGTAAACAGAAATTCCAGAGATTGTTGGAATGGCATGCAAACTCTCTCCCTTCCAAGTCCTGCCGATAAGCCAGGCTGGCAACTCTGTCATCAACAGGTGCCCTGGAGTATTGCGGACCTGCCTGGCTCAGGGTTTTACAATGGATATCAACATTAACAACAACAACAAGATTCCATTTATAGAGTGCCTTTCACGTCGGGAGGACGTCCCAAGGCGCTGTACAGTTGGGTCAGGACCCGAGCAGGGGGGAAATGGTCAGGGGGAGGGAAGGGAGGGAGCGAGGAGGGGGTAGAGAGTCGAGAGGGGAGCTGAAGGCACGGACGGTCAAAGAGAAAGGTCTTGAGACTGGCCTTGAAGGAGGAAAGGGAGGAAGCAAGGCGAAGGCACTGGGGGATAGAGTTCCAGAGCCAAGGGGCTGAGAGGCTGAAGGCCCGGCCACCGATGGTAGGGTGGTTGGGGCGGGGGATGTGGAGCAGACCGGAGCCAGAGGAACGGAGGGTACGGGCAGGTAGGTAGAGGCACAGTAGGTCAGAGAGGTAGGAGGGAGCAAGACCGTGAATGGCCTTGTAGGTGAGGATGAGGATCTTGAATTCGATCCTCTGGGGGATGGAGAGCCAGTGGAGGCGAGCGAGGGTGGGAGTGATGTGGTCGCGAAGCAAATCAACATCAACAAGAAGGGACCAAGAGCAGTATATGGATGCCAATGTTCGGAGGAAGTTGGATTCACATCTGACCAAAGGGACACTGTATTTGGTTAGAGGTTGCTGTCTGTCGGAGGTAACACACCTGTCTGTGGACATCGGTCGGACCAAATTCTCCAAATGCCTCCCAGTCAGATTCTGCATTGCCCTCATAGAAACGCACCTGGATATCTTCTGAATGGAGAAGGCAGAGTAAATTTCCATCAGACTATGTCTATATAATATAATAATCTTGACTTTAGATATAGCGCCCTTATCATGGCGTTGAGATGTCTCAAAGCGCTTCACAGACTATATTGTAAAGTGGATTGACTGTATTTTGTGGACAAAACTCGGCAGCCAATTGCGGACAGCAGTGTCCCACAAACAGTCGTGGATTGAGTGACCAAATTTGAGTACTAGAGATACAATAAGTACCAGCCTGGCTCAGTTGGTAGCACTCTCATATCCAAGTCAAAAGGTTGTGAGTTCCAAGTGGGGTTCCAATGAACACAGTTCTCCAACCTCGATTGCCACTAGGTGGTGTCTTGTGCATGCAGTATCAAAACAAGGAGCGATATTTACTGCAGTTTAAACAAAAAATGTTTATAATTTTATTTCCAGAGGTATGAAATACTTTGTGAATCTGGCTTCATTTTCAATGGGACTAAATATTCACCCAGTTTTATCGGGGGTAGAGGGTGTGGGGGGTGCGAAAGTGCTTCATTGGTGCAACGAGACATTAAACCGAGAGCCTGTCTGCCAGTTCAGGTGGATGTTGTAGATCACATCTCATCCAAAGGCACGCTATCCCTCCCCACCTCCACCTCCCACCCTGGGACTGGAGCGTTAGCTCATAATGTGAGCTCCCAAGTGGGACATGACCTTCTGACTCAAACAGGAGCGGACCACCTCCTGAAAGAACACCAACATGCACGCCCAAATAAAGCTTGGATGTAAAAGCTGAGATGCCGAACACAAACACGCGCGCGAGCCCTGCCCTTTGACCAGGACGAACCTTTCTGAACCTTGTCACAAAGCAGATAAATCTCCTCGCCCCCGGTCACGCAGCCGAACGTCTTGTCCATTCTGACGATCCTCAGGTTAGAAGCATTCGGGGCCTCTGCAATCACACAGACACACAAGATTCATTTCATCATCACCGATCACCAGAAATTATAACAACAAATAGTTACATTAGTATTGCGTCTTTCACGTCGGGAGGATGCCCCAAGGTGCTGGGCAATCAAGAATTTGCACCTGGGCTGGGGTTTGCGATCAGGAGAGGTGGAGGGCAGGGAGGCAGGGAGTAGGAGGGCGACGGAAGGCTTGGTCAAAGAGGAGGGTATTGAGACGTACCTTGAAGAAGGCAAGGAAAGGGACGAGGCGAAGGACTATGGGATGGAGTTGGGCGCAGACGGCTGAAGGCCTGACCACAGATGGTGGGATAATAATAATAATCATCATCAAAGCTCCAGAGACAAAAGTGTTACCAATCGAGCCCAGGCTGATACAATAGGCAGTTTTGTTGCAACTTAATAATAATAATAATCCTTGCATTTGATATAGCGTCTTACCATGTCTTGAGACGTCTCAAAGAGCTTCACAGAATATATTGTAAAGTGGATTGACTGTTTATTTTGTAGGTGAATCGCAGCAGCCATTGGACACTGCAATGTCACACAAACAGTTATAGACTGAGTGACCAANTTTTTTTTGAGGTATTATCCCCACAAAGTGATCGCCAATTGACTAACAACCAGATTCCCATTTACTTCTAGGTAGACAGAAGCATGTAGAGTAAGGAAACTTGTCTAAGGTTTCGCCCTGTCCGGGAATCGAACCCGGGTCCTCTCGGTTGTGAGGCAAGCAAGCTTCAAAGAATATATTGTAAAGTGTAGTGACTGTTCAAGAAGTTTATGCTACAGGTCTTTAAAGTGTAATGGGATTTCCCATTATTAAGATAGCAACAAAATGATCACTATTTTTAGGCATGAAAGTCCCTTGATATGCCTTTTTAAAAATCAAAACAGCAGTATGACTGAGACTACAGACAATGAGTCTGTCTGACAAGTGTGATGCCATTTCACATCACTAGCAGGAAGTGTGTGAGTAAAAGGGGAAATAAATGACCAGAGATTCGTGGAGCCTATCATCATATGACATCTCCCTAGTTTATCTCTCCCCCCACTACCAACACACACAAGCTGAGACCCTCATTATAGTACATAATAATCATCCTTGCATTTAATATAACGTCTTGTCACACATTGAGACGTCTCAAAGTCCTTCACAGGATATATTGTAAGGCGAAGTGACTCATATTGTGAGTGAAACCCGGCAGCCAATTATGCACAGCAGTATTCCACAAACAGTAGTAGATTGAGTGTTCAAAGATTTTTTTGGAGGTATTATTATCCCTGGAAACAATCTGCCAATCAACTAACAACCAGGTTCCTGCTTACTGCTAGGTAAACAGAGGTGTGGAGTTAAGAAACTTGCTTAAGGTTTTGTCCCGCCCGGGAACCAAACCCGGATCCTCTCGCTTGTGAGGCGAGTGCTCTAACCACTATCCTACGGGACTCCATATACATTGATGCCTTTATCACGACCAGACTCAGTTATTCCAACACTCTGCTTGCTGGTCTCCCCAGCTCCTTTAACACAAGCTGAGGACTTTTCAGAACTCTGCAGCTCGTGTCCTCTCCCACACCTTTCTACACAAGCTTATCACCCCTCCTCCCTCACTCAACCCCCATCCTCGCTCAGCCCAACAGGCTCCCCATCCCCAGTCGATCAAATTCAGGATCTTCATTCTCCCATCCAAATTCCCCTCCTACCTCTGCAACCTCCCGAGACTCGACCGCCCCAGTCGCTTTCGCTCAGAAAACACAAACACACTGGCCACCCTGCCCTGTTTGAACCTTGGGACACTGCTGTGCACAATTGGCTACCAAGTTTCGCCCACAAAATATGCAGTCAATCCACTGTATAGTATATTATGTGAAGCGCTTTGAGACTCTCAACAACGTGATAAGGCATTATATCAAATGCAAGGATTTTTCTTATTGTTAAGCAATTGGCTAATCAGTCAAAGTTCTCAAAATTGCAATTAATGGCTTCCTCGTTTGAGCTGTGGTTTTGTTGACTCAATTGACACGCTAACTACTGTAAGCGAGAACTATGCTGTTCAAACAGTAAAGACTGAGGTTTCAAACGTGCTATCTCTGTCCGTTCTGAAGCAAATGTTGTGCAAACATCCTTGAGGGACTTTCCTGGCCTGGGGCTGTTACCGAGAGGAGTCGAGAAGCCAGAAAATAGCAGGGAAAGTCCACCGGGAAAGCTGGTTTTGGTCTGTTAGTCACCAAGTTGTACTGTCAGGTCAAGGTTCCATTGTATCATGAGGTTGTGGTCTCCACCCAACCCCCGAGTGATGTGCCTGACAGTCCAGAGATTAAACTCTCTGACCTTTAACTCAATATTGTGGAGTCCTGTAGCTCAATGGTTAGAGCACTCGCCTCGCAAGGGAGAGACCTGGGTTCTATTCCTGGGCAGGGCAAAACCTTGGGCAAGTTTCCTTATTCCAGATGCCTGATAATAATCTTTCAAGAAAATAAATAATGATTTGGTCGATCAATCCCTGCTGTATGCAACTGGCTGCTGCATTTCGCCCACAAACATACAGTCAATTCACTTTACAGTATATTCTGTGAAGCTCTTTGAGACATCTAGAAGACATGAAAAGCACTATATCAAATGCAAGGATTATTATTATTAATAACAATAATCCTTGCCTTTGATATCCCGTCGTGTCAAAATGTCTCGAAGCTTCACAGGAATTATTTATCTGAGTATTTTGTGGGCAAATGTGATATAATTGAGTCCCATAGCATAGTGGTTAGCGCGCTCGCCTCGCAAGCAAGAAGACACGGGTTCAATTCCTCGGCAGGACAAAACCTGAGGCAAGTTTCCTGACTTCTTCAACATGGTCCCAACTGATACGACTTATGTGAGTTTTACTATAATCCGTGCCGGTGTTTATACTCCACGCAAGCTTCCAGCACTACTTTTCCCCTCCAGAACATAAAAACATAGGAAATGCTACACGAAAAAAGACCAAGGTAACACCAAGCTACATGAAAAAAGATCATTGTTCGCCTTCCACCTTTCTGGAAGTCGCATGTACATATGTCCCAAACTACCTATGTACTATATCCCGTAATGTTATTTCCTAAAAGAAAACTATCTAATCTGTGTTTGAAAGAACCTCTATTCCCTTCTCCCTCATGTATGTATCAAGTTTTCTCAAAAAATATATTGATGCTATGCGCTTCAACCACAGTTTCTGGCAGTGAGCTCCACACTGGTGAGAGTTCCTCTTAAACTTCCTTTGAGATCTACCACTGACTAGCTTACAGTCATGTTCTTCAGTTATGAAATTATCAACAAATGGAAACAAACCCATCAATACCCTTTCAAGGATTATTGAATCAAGGATTGAATTCAGGGATTATTGAATCCTTTCACCAAATTAATCACCTCTTATATCATCAAGTCTCGGATTCCTGTAGCGTAGAGGTTAGCGTGCTCGCCTCACAAGCAAGAGGACCCCGGTTTGATTCCTGGGCAGGATAAAACCTTAGGCAAGTTTCCTTATACCACACACCTTTGTTCACCTAGCAGTAAGTAGGAACCCGGTTGTTAGTTAATCGGCAGATCGTTTTCCGGGGGTAATAATCCCTAAAAAAAATAATGATTTGGTCACTCAATCCACGAATGTTTGAGGGACACTGCTGTGCACAATTGGCTGCCACATTTCGCCCAAAAAATACAGTCACTCCACTTTACAGTATATAAAGTGGATATACAGAAGTGATAAGGCACTATGTCAAATGCAAGGATTATTATTATTACTGTGCACAACACAGTCTTTACAGTGGAGTCCTGTAGCTTATTGGTTAGAGCACACGCCTTGCAAGCAAGAAGACCCAGGTCGATTCCGGCCGAAGCAAAACCTTAGGTAACTTTCCTTATTCCACATACCTCTATTTACCTAGCAGTAAGTGGGAACCGAGTTGTTAGTCGATTGGCAGATCACTTTCCGGTGGTAATAATCCCTCCAGAAAAAGAGCTTCACTCAATCACCCAATAATCAGCAATCTATCAGTTCAGCTTGTACATACCAGCTCAGTGCTTGGAGATCCAGCAGAGGAGAATAAATGAAAGACAGAGACATTCCACCCACTGAGCTCTTATGTTGGTCCATATTGAGTCTGGGTTTTTTCCACTGACTAATATGGTCCGACAAGTTCTGGGCACAAAGAACCCAGCCTGAAACCTTGGGATGTGAATGGGATTTTCACAGTGACTCAAGAGATCACTGTTTCAGAAGGCAACTACAACTTACATCAATAATTACACCAGAAATTCTCCTGGTTTTTTCCTGTGGGATGACTGCAAATTTTCTTATGGTCAAAGACTGGTTAAAAGGGAATCAGTGCAGTGATTGAAGTGAATAAGAAATGATAATAATAAACCTTGCATTTGATGTAGCACCTGTATATTTTGTGGGCGAAACACAACAGCCAATTGCGCACATCAGCATCCCATAAATAGTCGTTGAATTGAGTGACCATTTTGGGGGGATGGAGGGCTTATTACCCCCGAAAGCAATCTGCCAATCAACTAAAAACTGTATTTCGCTGGCAAAACGTCGCAACCAATTGCGCATGACAGTATCCCACAAGCAGTTGTGGATTAAGAGGTTGTTACCCCTGGAAAGCAATCCGCCAATCTACTAACAGCTGGATTCCTACTTACTGCTGGGTAATCCGAGGTGTATGGAGTAAAGAAATTTGCCTAAGATTTCACCCCGCTTGGAATCAAACCCAGGTCCTGCTTGCTTACGAGGCGTGTGATCTAACAACTACACTACAGGACTCCACTTATGAGACCGAACAGCACCACACCAAAGACCGCACATGCCAGACAAGGTGAACAAAACAAGTCACAGACTGACGGAGATCACCAGCAGATGCCGTCCATGTGCAAACAATCAGCTCCTCCTCAGGCCACCAGAAAACAACAACAACTGTTTAGAAGTTCCCCATTTTGCCCCCTGTGGGTTTGGGCACAAACACCAGGTGGCTGTTGTGATAGAGGGGAACTTGTGGTAGGATGTGGCAAACAGCTGCCATTCATCTGTCTTCCTGCATATTATTTTCACATACACACACTTACACTCACCACACAAACACACAGACAAACATTCACACACACACACACCAGTCGATTTCATTCGTATCTGTTTCAGGGCAAAACCTTAGGCAAGTTCCCTTACTCCACACGCCTTTGTTTACTTAGCAGTAATTAGGAACCCAGTTGTTAGTTGATGAGGAGCTGTATCAAATGCAAGGATTACATTATAATTAGTTTGGATAATTGCACTGTTTGGGGAGTTGACAGCCTGAGGTGTATGGTTGGCGGAGAGACAGCATGGAGGACAATGGGAAAAGAGGCAGAGCAGAGATAAAAAGAGAGACAGCGCAGAGAGCAATAGGAAAGTGAAGTCACGAAGACCTTCGGGCAATTACATACTCTGTATAATTGTGTGGTGTATATCCAGTCCCTCCATGCAATTATATAGCGTGCACTTCATAGAAGCATAAAATCTTACAGCACAGAAAGGAGACCATTCTTCCCATCCCGCCTGTGACAGCTCTTTGAAAGAACTATCCAACTGGTCCCACTCCCCGCTCTTACCCCACAGCCCTTCATTTGTTTCCTTTTCAAGTACATATCCAATTCCCTTTTGAATGCTACTATAAAATCTGCTTTCCTTACTGCACATAACCTGGCTTCACCACCCTTTCAGGCAGTGCATTCCAGATCATATAAACTTATATAAAAATAACAGATTTGGGCTTGAATGTCCAATATTCACCAAAGGGGTAGAAGGAACAGACTGAGGTGCCCTTTTGCTCATCGGTCTTTGAGATATCTCGAAGACGTGATAAGGCACTATATCAAATGCAAGGATTATTATTATGATTATGCAGCCCACGGATGTTTCTCAAATCTGGCATTTAGCCCTCAGCAGCCAAAAGGTTGGACCAACCTGCTCTAAATGGATAACCACCTCAGCCTGGTCTACTCAGCTGTACATCATTTTCCCACCACTTTGGGGAATATCATACATCGGACCTCAATGTGGAACTCTCTAACGCCTCCATTAACACCATTAATTTGTCTCTTTCACAAACCTCTACAGCTCGAAAATCCATCACTTACTGCTGTCGAAAATAGGGTCTGAGATGACGGGTTTGAGTTCAAGTGTGTAGAGACCAGTGCTGTCTGGGAGGTAGGCAGTGAACTGGAGACGCACAACACTGAGATCCATTGTCTTTGCCAAATTTTCTGACTCCTTCTTTAACTGCTGGAGCTTTTCATCTGCAAGAGATGGGAGTCAATGAAATACTGGCAGTGTCGATAGCTACTAACAGGAACAATATGTAGTTACACAGCACTGTTCACGAAACAGAAACATCTCAAAACATAATAAGAATCACTAGAAATGAAGTGATTGTTGTGACAAGAAGTAAATGGGCAGCTATGTTATTCCAACAATGACCAGGCAATCAGCTCTCGTTTCTGAGTGAGAAGCTTGTGGGTTCAAGCCCCACGTCAGCACTTGGAATCACACCATCTAAGATGACACTCCAATGCATTGCTGGGGTTGTTACATTGTTGGAGCTGCTGTTGTTCGGACGAGATGTTAAACTGAGGTCCCACCTGCAACGTTCCTCCAACATCTCATTGCAACATCAGCCTGGGTTCAAAGCCCTGACATGAGGCGAGAGTGCTTCCAACTGAGCAAGGCTGAGACATAAATCGCTTTGATTCAAGTGATGCTGTTCCACTTATGACAGACCTACCTTGTGAGTTCTTCCGGACAGGAGTCTTGGTTGCTGCTGGATCAGACTCGGTGGGGCCCAGGAACCTCCGCAGCAGCACCTTGGGTACGTTCCTCTTTGTGACGTGAAGAATTCCCAGATTAGCGAACCTGGAGAGTAATGACAGCTTTGGAACCCTGACCCTGGACACAAGCTATCTGACGTCCTCCTGACGTGAAAAGCGCTATATCAAATGCAAGGATTACTATTATTATTATTATTATTCTAAGTTTCACACGCGAAGGCATAATAATGGTATTATAATAATTATTGTATTTGACATAGTGCCTTATCATGTCATTAAGACATCTTAAAGCGCTTCACAGGATATACTGTGTGTTTTGTGGGTGAAAAGCGGCAGCCAAATGCACACAGCAGTGTCCCACAAACTTCCTGGAGTGAACAATTATTTATATACATACGATCCTCTCTTTTAATATTGTTTTTGGAGGGATTATTACTCCCAGAAGGCGATCTGCTAAATGAACAAACAACCAGGTTCCTACTTACTGTTAGGTAAACAGAGGTGTGTGTGTGGAGTAAGGAAGCTTTCCTAAGGTTTCACCCTGCCTGGGAATCGAACCACTACACGACGAGACACCATGGATTCACGATGGAGTATAGGTCCTCAGGAGAAATCCATGCCCTTTAGATGGTGTGATTCCCCGTGCCCCACTCCCCCTCAGTGAGAGTGCAGTACTTACTGTGCAGTCATGTCCTTGGGTCCCACAGAGACCACGCAGGTGCCCTCCTCAGTGCAGTGTTTCCCCACCAGGCTGTGAGCGTGACACATGTGAGGCTTGTTGTTTGTCACCAAGCTCACCACAATTTTTGCATTGCCGCAATAATTAATAATCTGGAAAAAATGTACAGTGCGTTACACAGCGCGCAGGTGCACAGTGCGCAGGTGCACAGTGCGTCACACAGCGCGCGGGTGCACAGTGCGTCACACAGCGCGCGGGTGCACAGTGCGTCACACAGCGCACGTGGTGCACAGTGCGTTACACAGAGCGTGGCTGCACAGTACGTTACACAGAGCGTGCGGGTGCACAGTGTGTTGCACAGAGCGCGCGGGTGCACAGTGTGTTGCACAGAGCGTGTGTGCACAGTGTGTTGCACAGAGTGCATGTGCACAGTGTGTTGCACAGAGCGCATGTGTACAGTGCTGTGTGTTACACAGAGTGTGTGTGTTTCCTCACTGACCTTCACAGAGGGATACGTTTTGCGGTTCTTCTCACTAGACGCCCCGGGGACTCCCCCATGTGAGGGACCCTCACATCCGTACCGGAACCGGAATCCTCTCTGTAACCAGACACACAGGTTAGTGAGGAGTTTCTACATCCAAACCCCTCCCCCAGCATTCAACACCCCTTACCCATCGCTGGACAAACAGAGTGGGGGGAGCTTTACTACAGCTTACTAGCCTGTGCTGGTTTGGAGCTTTTACCTGTTTGGGCTGTTCGGTGATGATCAGGCTCGGACCATCTGTAGAGATCAAAACTGGGTCAGTTCACAGCACAATCTTCACGTCCCTTTTACTGTAACCAGACTCCACTGTCACAAACCTCCCAAGCTCACTGATACATCTGACTGGGCATCTGACCCATACAAAATCCTCTCAATAATGATAAACAATAATCCTTGTACTTGATATAGTGTCTTATCACATCATTGAGATGTATCAAAGCTCTTCACAGGATATACTGTTAAGTGGATTAACTGTATATTTTGTGCGGGAAACATGGCAGCCAGTTGCGTACAGCAGTGTCCCACAATGAATGAGTGACCAATTTTAGCTGTCGACTGAGTGACCAATTTTGTCTGGCTTCTCTTTTTAAATAGTGCCAAGTAGTCTTTGACGTCCACCTGTACAGGCAGACAGGACGAGGTTTAATGTCTCATCTGAAGGACAGTACCTGACAATTCAACATTCCTCCAGTGCTGCACTGGAATGTCATCTTAGCTTATGTGATTCCAAGTCCCCATGTGGGGCGTGAATCCACAACCTTTTGTGCTGTAACATCGTAAGGGGTAGAACCTGTGGTATTTCTTATTTAATGCCAGCACAAGCTTTCACCCACCAGGAGACAGCGTCACAGCTCCAGGTAAATGGCTGCTTCGTTTTCAGCTGCCAGTGTCGGCCATTCTTTTTAATAAGAGACAAGCGATTTTTATTTGGGAAATTTTAGGATCTACATCAGGTTTTGAGTTATTTTTAGTTTGTCAGTTTGATAGTTACACAGTTAGTTATTTAGTTAAGAGGTTAGTTGGTTAGTTTAAAAGGTGTCCTTGAATCCCCTTTTCCCTCCCCTGTAACCCGCTTACCTGTGTACAGATAGTTGTGGTTCTGTAACATACCTGGATGAGACTGCGAGTAATCCAAGCACTGAAAGTGAGAGGAGATTGTCAGTGCATCATGCAGGGGCCAGTCAGCGTATGGCGCGGGGTTATCGCAAGGGGGGAAAAGAGTATCCCGGCGGGGGAGGGGGGTGTGGTCAATGTATCTTTGGGGGGTGGGGGGGGGGGCAGCGAGGAGTAAAGGTATTTGAGGAGCAAATAATGTAAATAACGGCACGTCTACTCACATTTGCCATTTCCAAGCTGTAATCATCATCCATCCTGAAAGACATCAGAGTGTCAGGCTTATTAAACTAAAAACTACTTGAGGTAAAGTGATCGGCTTTGGAATGTCAGAATCGAGCCATTCCTCTGTGACGGTCTCTAGTCCAGTTCCTGACCCAGGCGGGTCCACTGTATTCCAGGGCAATTCTAATGACAGCCTAGCCCAGCGACAGGACTTGGAGGGCAGGCCAGTCACTGGGGGCCACTCAGCACCTGTTAACCCTGCAAGCCAAAGCCCAAACAGATAGGGTGGTCTTGGCTGCCCTAGCAGTGCGAAAGCTTACCAGAAAGTGCTATCAGTGGCAAGCTATGTGGTTTTAGCTGCTTAGATTCTACCAGTTACCCCACAATTTGTGCTGCCCAAGGCTTGGCTCTCATCAACTTGTGCTTGTGCTCTCCAGAATCAAGTAAACAAATTGCATCCCTCTAGAGAATGAGCATTCCATTCCAGACACGGGAAAATTTCCATGTGTAAGTGTAATATTATATCATGTCGTCAAGATGTCTCAAAGCACTTCACAGTATTCTGTAATTTGATTTTGACTGTGTGTTTTGTGGGCAAACGTGGCAGCCAGTTTGCACACAGCAATGTCCCACAAACAGCCATGAAGTGAATGACCAATTTTATTTGGGGGATTGTTGGCCAGGACACTGGTGGAAACTCACTTCTCTTTTTGAATAGCATCACAGGATCTTTGACATACAAATGAACAGGCAGACGAGATTTCGGTTTAACATTTCATCCGAAGGACGTCACCTTTGACAATGCAACACCCCCCCCCCCCCCACCCCATAACTGCTTTAGAGCATCATCTTAGACTATGTGATTCCAAATCCTGACATTCAGCTTGACCTACAATCTTCTGACCCTCAAACGAGAGTGCAACCATTGAACCAGGAAAAATAAAGGAGGAACATTAAATGGTTTGGGGAGCAAGCAAGATATTGGTACCAAATTGGTGAAGGTTCCGTCTGTGCCTGTTCAGATGGTCATTTAAGATCCCATGGCACTATTCGCTAAGAAAAGTGAGTTTCTCTCTCCCGGTGTCCTGGCCAACAATCACCCAGATAAAATTCACAACACGGTGTGTCCAAATTGGCTGCCTCGTTCGCCTACATATACACAGTCGTTACACTTTAGAGTGTATCCTGGGAAGCACTTTGAGATTTCTGGCTGATGTGATAAGGCGCTGCATCAATAATAAACAGCAAAGAGTTGATGAGTTAAACAGCCAGTCTCTGGGCTGTCACACTATGCAGCCTGCACACTCAGGTGCAGCCTGGAACTCAGTGCAGACATGCAAAGGAAACCCCCAGAAATTTCACACCAGCAACAGGACATGTAATCTGATAGCCCAGAAATTTCCTCAACTCATGGTCACGGTCCCCATTCCTGCATCCCCCATCATACGCACAATTTGGTGCTTTTTGGTCAGCCGGGTGTCTGGCACATGCAGAAACCCACCAACAAGCTTGAGAGTATCCAAACCGCGCTGAGAATTCCATCCACCCACCTACACATCGAAATCCCAGAGATAAATTGTTGGGATGGAATGTGCACTCTCTCCCTGGAGGGATGAATCCTGCTTACCTAATTCTGGATGAGGCGCAGGTTGGCATTAGGGGAACTGCCTAACCAGCTAAAAATCACACAACTTGCCATTGATAGCACTATCTCACACTCACACAAACAACGATCACACAGTCATGGGATGTTCTGAGAATTGGTATTCCAGATCCCTGGGATTATCTTACAAAAACCTCTGATCATTCATTTTTACCCTGGCAACAACATCAACTGCACAGGCACGATGGGGAGAGCAGGGAATGGGATTAGAGTAGAGAGCTCCAGTGGGAAGCGAACAATAACACAAACACGATGGGCTAAATGATCTCCTATATTCTGTAAACACTGTATGACTCTACAGTATAATTGATTAGTATTCCACCTACATTGCAAAAAAAACTGAGGTGGGGGAAAATTTTTCTGTTGTTTTGAGAGTGCTACAGGAAAAGCGTCTGGTGTTATTTTCCCATGTGACGCCCATGGTTCCCCCACCTACTGCCGTGACCAGCCAGTTCCTCAGAAAGAAGACTGATATTTACAGTAGTCTCGAGATTAGTTCAGGGGAAACATTTCAGAAGAGTAAATTCACCTTCTGAGCTATCAGCACCTCCTGATCTGAGTCTTACACACGTGTATGTCCTTTCAACTCAGGGCTGCAAAAGTTCCGTACCATAGGAGGCCATTAATAGGGAGAAATTCCCTAGTTAAGATGAAACTTTTCACTAGGTGTGAAAGCCGCTGGGTAAATGTTAATTTGCATTGCAACTTAACCTGGGTCTAGATTTACTCCATGTTCGTGGCAATTCATTATCCAGAATTTGGCTGATAATTAACACAGCCTTAACTTTGCAGCTAAGGAAAAATTGTGGAGTCCTATAGGGTAGTGGTTAGAGGACTCGCCTCGCAAGTGGGGGGAACCCAGGTTCATTCCTAGGCGCCGGATAAGCAAGGATTTGGACCCGAGCTGAGTGTTGGGATCAGGGGGCGTGGAGGGCAGGGAAGGTGGGGGTAGGAGGGTGACTGAAAGAGAAAGGTCTTGAGACAGGCTTTGAAGCAGCCGAGGGAGGAGGTGAGGTGAAGCGACAGAAATGCTGAACGCCCGACCATTTATGGTGGGTGGGGGGGCAAGGCGGGGGACATGGTGGAGGCCAGAGTCGCCTGAGCAGACACGTTGATATAGAGCGAGCAAGTCACAGAGATAATGAGGAGCCATGGAGGGCTTTGAAAGGTTCTCACAGGAAAAAGGTTTACCGACTGCTTGACTTGCATACTATAATTACATTTTCAAGAGGGGAAAGCACACAGGTTGTAAATGGGCTGCTGTCACTCTAATAGTGCGGTTACTGTAAAATGCTGATCCTGTTCATCTATGGAAACAGAAAGTACTTGCACTGCAAACATTTCAACCAAGGTGGCTTTGTTCGGTTTGAAATGGATTGGTCTCAAACTCACACACCACTACATCCCAGACACACTCTGTACTGGTATTTCTTTTCATATGAGCTACCCAGTCTAACCCCCCTCGCTCAACTAACACCCAGATAGCTACTTACTGCTAGATAAACAGAGACGTGTGGAGTAAGGAAACTTGCCTAAGGTATTGCGCGTACCGAGATGAGTGCGCTAACCTCTACGCTACAGGACCCCACAACGTATTATTATTTATTATTATTTGTGCTGTGAGGCTACACCTATGGTGGAAAGTCAAGGAAGTCCTGCTCTGGTAAGGCAAGTTATGCCTTAAATGAGTAGGGTGTGTCCCTCTGGGGAGATTCACATTCTATTCCACGGGAATTTCCATGTGTGAGTGGGAAGCACAGAGGGGTCAGTTTGGTTTGGATACTCTTAAGCACTATGATGGATTTCCGCATTGTCAGGCACCCATCTGACTAAAAAAAATTATAGTGCTTTGCAAAGCCCTCCTGACGTAAAGGACAATGAATGTAAGTTGTATTGTATTATTGTAAAGCTGCGATTATGTGTGTAAGTGACAACAACAACACCTCTTTGAACGCTTCAGTTGCCATCTCCCGCTCTCCTCCATAATAATCCTTGCATTTGATATCGTGCCTCACTGAGATGTCTCAAGGCTCTTCATATAAAGTGAACTGACTGTGTATTTTGTGGGCGAAACGTGGCAGCCAATTGCACACAGCAGTATCTCACAAACTGTCGTGGATTGAGGGTCCAAATTATTAATATTTACTTATAATACCCCCAGATTATTACTCCCTTGCTCAGTATCACTGCGAAGTCCTCCAAAATGTTGATCTGTGTAAAAGAACCAGAGGGGAGGCAAGGAGAATTTTTTTTAAAAAAACACAGGGAGCTTTCACGGCCTGGAATGTACTGCTGGAAAACATTCGACAGCAGCTTTCAAAAGGGAATTGGATAGATACTTAAAAAGGAAAAGTTTGCAGGGCTATGGTGTAAGAGCGGGGAAGTGGGATTAGTTGGTAGCTCTTTCCAAGAGTCAGCACAGGCACGATGGGCCAATAGGCCTTCTGTGCTGTAAGATTCTATGATTCTAGGGTTCTATGATCCTAAAGAGCACTATATACAAGTAAGGTGTTGCTGATTTCCTGGATACGTGCTCTCTATTGCAGGAGATTACACAACTTCAATACTGACATCCCTGTGAATCTACCACTAGAATTCCCCTCACTTGTGTTCTTACTTACTTCTTTTCAAGATAATCCTCTTTTTTGGCATTTTGTACAACAATACAGGGTAAATCCAGGAAGCAATGTTCAGTGATAGTAAATGTTAAAAACCTTGCTCTCCACAGAAAGCGAGCAGCCCCCGTTAATCCAAAATTCACTGTACTTTACAAAACCATACAACATTTCTGAACCGACAAGACAAATAACTTGAAAACCAACTCCCTCATACCAGAATGAGGGGAAATCCACACTCAATCACCTCAACCCTGCTAATGGTCCACACATTGAGGTAAACCTCAACTGGTAGCCAAGCTTTCAGCCACTCCCCTGCCCCACCCCCACTCTAAATCCTTCTAAAATTTACCTGTGGAGTACTGGTTAACACATTCGCCCTGCATGAGGCATGAGGAATAAGGAAACTTGCCTAAGGTTTTGCCCTGCCTGCCCAGGAAACAAACCAAGATCCTATTGCTTGCAGGAGTTTGGAATAGTATCTCTCCAAGGGGTGGACCTGATTCTGAATGGGGTGAAGGAGGAGTGCAACATACAATTATCATCATTGGATTGACAGACTGAGAAACAACGGTTGCTCTTGTCTCATACAACACAAACAAGATGATAGCAAGATCATAGAGGTTGTAAAGTTTAAGGTTTCCCCTTCAGTGGGTAAAAGTGCTGCCGGATGTGGCACAGGGCCATTCAGACCAGGAAAGTCCCTTGTATTAATCACCGTCTGTGCTCTGCAGCTCTAATCCAGGGGCAACAGT